TCTACTGGCTGGGAAACTCCGACGCTCATTAGTCAATACGAGCAAGGTTTGAAAAAGGAGATTAGAGTGGCAATGGTTATGACGCAAGAGGATTTCACGTCAATTGAACAAATCACTAATTTAGCTATCAAGATAGACAGTAAATTACACGGCGCGACCAACCCAACCTTCCATACGCCAAGCACGAGTGCAGGAATCTCAGACCCCAATGCCATGGATTTATCAGCCGCCTACGTTAGATTGTCCGAAGAGGAACGAGCACGACGTATGCGAGCGGGTTTATGCTTCCGCTGCAATGGCCAGGGTCACATCTCCAGCGCATGTCCCGATCGTAGAGCTAGTAGGAAAGGGAAGGGTCGAGGTGGTTATCAATCAAAAATAGCTGGATTGGAAATTAAAGTCGCAGAGTTGAGTAATCAGAGGGTGAATCATACCAGTAGTTTAGAAGGAGTAGGACGAGCTGAAACTTCAAAAAATGGAGAAGCTCAGGATTGAAGGTTGTGCCCATCCTGAGCCACCTGGAGAATTTGTCATCAATTAATGTGGGATCTAGTAGAATGAACTTGTGCAATACAAACGACCCGCGCATTTTTTTACACACCACATTATCCATGTCCCAAATTCCCCGAGCCACACCGTCCCAAACATTTCCCGCTACGTTCCTCATTGATTCAGGTGCTACGCACGATGTGCTCAGTGAATCATTTGCCTACCACGCTGGCTTGATAGCCGGTGCTGATCGACATGACCAATTGATCACTGGATTCGACGGCTCTGAGAGCCGATCTTCCTTCAAGACCCACCTTTTTATCAAATCCGACCCATTACCGACCCCATTCATCATTACAAGACTCAAAGACTCGTACGACGGCATACTTGGCATGCCATGGATCAAGAAAAACTTTCACCTGATTGACTGGAGTAAAAGTATGGTACACCCAGCCGAGACTCACGTTGCAACCACTTCATTGGTTTCGTATTGGCCGAAAACACCCTTATCTGGCCACTCGTTGGACCCCATGAGGGACGCTAGGCACAATTACGAGGGGATGTGTGTCAATTCTGACACGTTAGCATCCCCGCAATGTGAGTTCGAGAGTCCAGTTAATCCTAATCACCTTGAAACAGATGACAACCCTCTATCTCCCGATAGTTCCCCCCTTATCACGATTACACCCACCACGAACAACGAAAACCACGAACACATCACGACACAAGACCCGGATACGAGCATTGCGGCCGTAGTGAATACGGCCTCGTCCGTCCCGCCACAGAACCCCGACGATCCCAAGGAGGAGCCTCAGGGGCACGCAAGGAACAGTGACGAGGGGGCTAATGTCTTTTTAGATATATCAACGCCCCCGCAATGTGAGTTTATTACTGATTCCAACCCATGTTCAACCCGAACAGCTGGCAAGCCTGTTTCTCCCTTGAATAACACATCAATCCAGGTCACAGCAGCCAAGACGTCCTGGTCAACCTCAGCACGACTCGCCGCCGACAAAAAGAAACTCGAACCCGTCAAAGCTCTAGAGGAAATTGTCCCGTCTAGGTATCATAGGCACTTACACATGTTTAGGAAGTCCAATGCCCAACGCCTACCCCCGAGACGCCGCTACGACTTTCGTGTCGAACTGATACCGGGAGCTCAACCGCAGGCTAGCAGGATAATTCCATTATCACCAGCCGAGGACGCTGCTTTGGAGGAATTGGTGAATTCAGGCTTAGCCAACGGGACTATCCGTCGAACCACTTCGCCATGGGCTGCCCCTGTGTTATTCACAGGGAAGAAGGACGGCAATCTGCGCCCTTGTTTTGATTACCGTAAGCTCAACGCCCTAACCGTCAAGAACAAATACCCACTACCGTTGACTATGGACTTAGTCAACAGTTTGCTGGATGCCGAAGACTTTACCAAGCTTGATATGCGCAATGCGTACGGTAATCTTCGAGTAGCAGAGGGTGATGAGGATAAACTGGCCTTTATATGCAAACAAGGCCAGTTTGCACCTCTGACTATGCCTTTTGGGCCAACAGGCGCCCCTGGTTATTTCCAATACTTTATTCAAGATATCTTATTGGGACGTATAGGTAAAGACACCGCGGCCTTCTTGGATGACATTATGATTTATACAAAGCCTAAAGTAGATCACGAAGGCGCTGTTGATGGCGTACTCGACGTCCTATCCAAGCATACACTCTGGCTGAAACCCGAAAAATGCGAGTTCTCGAAGAAGGAAATTGAATACCTTGGCCTTATTATCTCTAAGAATAAAATCAGAATGGACCCGACGAAAGTGAAAGCCGTCAAAGAATGGCCAGCACCCCAATCAGTATCTGAACTCCAACGCTTCATTGGATTCGCCAATTTTTACCGACGTTTCATCGACCAATTTTCAAGAACCACAAGACCACTTCATAATCTGACCAAGCTCAACGCGCACTATGTCTGGGATGAAAAATGCGAAAAAGCCTTTGAGAGCCTGAAGACCTCCTTCACCACCGCACCCGTACTGAAGATAGCCGATCCATACAAGCCGTTTACTCTGGAATGTGACTGCTCCGATTTTGCATTAGGAGCAGTGCTATCACAATGCAGCGAGGACGATGGAGAACTCCACCCAGTAGCTTACCTGTCCAGATCACTAGTCCAAGCTGAAAGGAACTACGAGATCTTTGATAAGGAACTACTGGCGATTGTCGCGTCTTTCAAAGAGTGGCGCCACTACCTGGAGGGAAACCCCAACCGCCTAGATGTGATAGTCTACACGGACCATCGTAACCTGGAGTCTTTCATGACAACCAAGCAGCTTACCCGCAGACAGGCTCGATGGGCGGAGACACTGGGCTGTTTCGATTTCGTGATTAAATTCCGACCCGGCAGTAAAGCTACCAAACCAGATGCCTTATCTAGAAGACCGGACCTGGCGCCTACTAACGAGGAAAAATTGACCTTTGGCCAGTTGTTAAGACCCGAAAACATCGGCCCAGACACGTTCCCGGTCGAGCTTGCTAGCGTAGAGGGGTTCTTCGAAGATGAAGTGGTTGCACTCGACAATTCTGAGCACTGGTTTGAGGTGGATGTATTGGGCATCGCTGAAACTGGCACTAAGGCACCGGACATTCCTACGGATGATCAAATTATACAACGAATCAGAGACGCAAGCATAGAGTGTGACAGGATAGGGGAACTGATGAACGCAACCTTGAACCCGATATCAGCCAAGACGAAAGCAGCTTTGAAGCATTACAAAGTACAAGATGGTATCCTCTACAACCAAGGTAGAATAGAAGTACCTGACGTCGACGACATCAAATACTCAATACTAAGAAGCAGACACGACTCATTGCTTGCGGGACACCCAGGTCGAGCAAAGACTCTCGGATTGGTCAGGAGAAGCTTCATCTGGCCATCTCAGAAAGCGTACGTCAACAGGTACGTGGACGGTTGTGACTCTTGTCTAAGGGTTAAATCAACCACACAGAAACCCTTTGGGACTCTGGAGCCATTACCGATACCGGCTGGCCCGTGGACGGATATCTCATATGACCTTATCACCGGCCTCCCTGCATCAAACGGCTACGACAGCATATTAACCGTGGTGGATAGATTAACGAAAATGAGTCATTTCATTGCTTGTACTGAATCAATGTCGGCTGAAGACCTAGCAGATCTCATGATGAAGAACGTATGGAAGCTTCATGGAACTCCCAAGACGATAATCTCAGATAGGGGTAGTATTTTCATTTCACAGATCACGGAAGAAATTGACAAACGCCTAGGTATACGCCTTCACCCGTCAACCGCTTTCCACCCACGTACAGACGGTCAAAGCGAGATCGTCAATAAAGTAATCGAACAATATTTACGACATTTCGTTAAATATCGACAAGACGATTGGGAAAGTCTACTGCCCACAGCTGAGTTCTCGTATAACAACAAAGACCATGAATCCACGGGCATTTCACCGTTTAAAGCTAACTATGGATTTAACCCATCATTCAACAAAGTACCATCAGCTGAACAGTGTGTGCCAGCAGTAGAGAAGAGGATGCAAACACTCGCCGAAGTGCAATCTGAATTAAATCAATGTTTAGAATTAACTCAAGAGAAGATGAAAGAACAATTTGACAAAAGAGTACAACAAACACCAAGATGGGAAGTAGGAGACCAAGTCTGGTTGAACGGACGAAACATTTCGACAACTAGGCCAAGCCCAAAATTAGAAAATAGATGGCTAGGTCCTTTCTTCATTATCCAAAAGATATCAAATTCTACTTATAAATTGAATCTCCCTCTTTCCATGAAAAGCGTCCATCCTGTATTTCATGTCTCTGTACTCAGGAAACATAACCCGGATACAATACATCAACGAAAACAACCCCCAGTCGAACCAATCATAATACAGGATGAAGAAGAATGGGAAGTCAACGAGATACTAGATTGTAGAAGAAGGTACAACAAGAAGGAATACTTTGTGAGTTGGAAAGGATTTGGCAAGGAAAACAATTCATGGGAACCCGAAATCAACCTCAAGAATAGTCAAGATTTAGTTAATGAGTTTAATTTAAAATATCCCGACGCAACAAATAAGTACAAAAGGAGAAGGCGGAAGAAGTGAGAGGGCTATGCTTTTTCCCACTGGGTTTTTTAACGCAGCCCGTGGAAAGAATGCAGAGCTTGCAAGAGGAAGCTTGGGCATTAAAGGGGGGATAATGTTATGAACTGGTTCTATTTCACTTGAGTGACATATTCACATTACATGTCACAAGCTCGAGAACCATCTTATAGTTGTAGATACATTGCCTGTACAGATTTTCCCTCATCCGACAATCCACATAGGAAGACTGGTAATAGATACAAATCCTCACCAGAACTCCCTTGACCCTCGTCGCCGAAAACCCCCAAGTCTGTCCATAACATAGGTGCTGGAATACTCCAAAATGATGCCTAAATTTTGAAACAACCATGTATAGTTGAGGAGTTCAAGACTGTATAAATGTCTGACCAATCTCCAGAAACCATTCCCAGCTGCAACACTCATTGCTTTGGGGAGCCAATGAGTGCTGCGGAGCTGGGCCAATCTGGGTTATCCATCTATTCCTTTATTGAGTGTTTCATCACAAAATTGAAAAAAAAATGATAATGAAAGAAAATTAGGAAATGAACTTGCTCCTAGATTTCTCATTGGTCAAGGGCCCAGTGCACAGTGCTGGAATGCCAAGAGTATTGTTTTGGAATTGATGTGTTGGGGGTGTTTGATAAACGTTTTGCACCACCAAAGAAAATTAGTTTTTTAACCGCATTGGACCCCCGTAAAAACAGTTTTGATGGATTTGTGGTGTAGGTGATTGTTGATTATGAATCTATGTTACAATATGCCAGGGGTGGATATCAATCCTACAACAGTAAAATGGCAGAGAAAGATGAAGGGACATACACATTCTCACACACCAAGGCTCTTTTGCTGTTCAGATATGACAAAGTGCTGAAAATGCAACCAATATTGGAGCTTGGCCAAGCAATGCAATCAGCTTAGTACAATATTTCACAAAACCTTTGTTCACTAGTAAAAAATTTCCTAGAAGTTATCCAAACTCTAGGGATTATGCTTATAATGAAGAACAGTGGTCTAGCAGAGTAAGCACAAAGTCCCCAGAGTGCCTGATGAAGATATTTACTCTGGATGCTTTGATGCTCTTGCTAAAGATTTCTGTCTTAAAAACCTTCACTTTTAGTATTATTCCAATCAATACCCAACACTTCAACAAATCAAAGCTCATCTGGATCCAGCAGGTATCATGTCAGCTAATCCTCAGAGTATTCAACCAAGCCCTGGTGGTGTGTAAGATGGACACCATCAGCTTATACTTCTCGCTGATGAAGAAGAATTAAAAGATATTTGAACCACTTTGTTGTTGCAACATCTTTCTCATGTTTTCATCTACCATCTTCATTTGATTGGTAGTTTATCTGATTGTGAAAATCGTAAAATGTTCTGAAGTTCTGACAAGACATTTCACCTGTGTGCTATGTGGGCTCAATAGTGTTGATGTGTGATTTATTGGGATGTTGAGTTATGCGCGTTTTCATCTTATTAGGTATTGTAGGTGCACGTTATGCTTGTAATGGAAGAATGGCACACTTAAATCAATTACATATCTTACTCGCATCTCTTTCTCATTGAAATAAGAAATTCAGACTGAGCCTGTCACCTACATATTTGCTTTGATGAATGTGGGAAGCTCATTTAAAACCCATATATCTGTGACAAGTTCTGCTCTGCGGGGAGAGCAACTTGAACTCCTATAAACCTTGAAATATACTTCTTGGCTGGATGTTCAGCATGAGTGACCTATGAAAGGGAAAGGGGGAAAGCTGATGACCGATGACCACTCCGCCCAGATCTGCAAGGTCAGACGTCAAATAACTGCAACTGCGTCCCTAAATGATATTCATCAAGCTGCTCACGCCATTTCGAGGTTTTGTTAAGGGCCACCGGTGTTAAGGGCCGCCCTTCGGTTGCATGCTGACAGATGCTGACCTGCGGAAAGCTGTCTAGCTCACATCCACCTGCGCGATGTTATGTACGCAGCATGCGTTGAGTACAATCATGAAAGCTGATTTGAAAAAGTTCATTTCAAGAAGATCAAAGGTCTTACGACGTGGTGGTAGAATTCACACGGTTGCGGTTCGGGCGCCCAAATGATTCCCATGAACTACGCAACATATAAAAACGGCTTCACCGCACTTTCTTCTCTTCAGTCCAATCTTAGCCCACATTTTTTATTAAGATATGTTTTTCCATCTAGTTTTTCCTTTGATCCTTGGATTGGACCTCCTTGTGGCTGGTCAGTCAAAACACACGGACCAAAAACAGCGAGACACATACCCCGACATATTATCATGCTTGAAAGCAACGGACGATCCCATCCTAACACCCGATTCTCCAGAGTGGGGGGAGTCGATAAAACCTTATAACCCGAGAATCGCACCTATTCCTAAACTCATCCTAACACCCAACGATGTTTCCTGTGTCCAAGATGCAATGGCTTGTGCAAGACTTTTTCCTGGAACTCGCCTTGCACCTCTCGGTGGAGGTCACTCGTATACGTCTTTTGGGTTGGGAGGCACAGATGGAGCAATAGTCGTAAACATGAAGAGCTTCAAGCAGATCGAGATGCTGGAACCGCAAGATGGTGTTGACATCGTGCGAGTCGGTGGTGGGGTCTTAGTGCGAGAGTTGACCGTCTTTCTACTCAAAAATGGTGGCCTTTATTGGCCTCATGCAAGATGCACCGAGGTTAGTTTAAAGTTCAAACACTTGCACTTCCTTATGATTTTATCTACATACCCGACTCAGCACACATTGCATCGAAAGAATGTCTGCTGACATACCACGCATCTTTACCTCGACAGGTCGGGGTCGTTGGTTCCGCGATAGGTGGAGGTTTCGGCACAGCCTCAAGGCTCTTGGGAAGTACGCTGGACAACGTGGTGGTTAGTTGCCTTCTGTGTCTTCCAAGATGTTTCTGCTACCTATTGATGATGCAACCATTTTGCAGGCGGTTGATATAATCTTGCCGAACGGCAACCTTACACACGCAACAGCAACACAGAATGCAGATATTTTCTTTGTAAGCTTTCACTTCAGATTATCATTATGACGACGTCACTTTCTCAGCTCACCGCACTGGGAAATCGACATTATAGGCCGTGTTGGGAGCTGGCTCCAGTTATGGTATCATCGTCTCAATTGACATCAAAGCCCATAAACCGTACTCGAGTCCAGTGCTTTACACTTATCAATGGAACAAACCTACACTCGAGAAAGCAGTGGCGACTTTCAATGCGTTTCAAAATTACGGTATCGATCAAGCACCCCCCGAATTATCCCTCCGATTAAATCTAGGTTTTCCAACAGGTTTTCCAGACCACATTATATTTCAAGGTTTGTTTTCAATATATTTTCTATGATCTAATCTGTGGAAGTCTGTCGCTTTTTCGTGGGGTTCTCACCTTGTTGTTTCCAGGCGTATATTACGGAGATCGGAAGAAATTCGAGGCCATCATAGAGCCCCTACTCAGCCAACTATCGCCACCGGATGTTACCAATGTGACGTACGTGTGCCTATGCCTATACTTTCTCTTCACCATCGTCATAGTGTCTTTCACAGCTCATTTGCAGGAATAAAATCCGACTATATCTTTTGTATCTTTTTTATCTTTCACAGAGCAGTCACGTTTGCGCAATCTGAGGTTTGTTAATGAGATCATTTGAAGATTTTGTGTGTCCAAAGAGCTCAAATAGCTTGACTTTCTCTCCTTTCGGGCCCACAGGAGTCACTCATGGGACCTCTTGACGGCCCACCTGCCATTAGACCTAGCGCTGTGGCGTATACCAATTCTTTATTGGCTTTTCAACCGCTACCAAACAACACAATCCAAGAGTTCATGTCCAACTTGATGAAAAGAAGCCAAGAAAAGAAATCTATCAATTTTGTGGGTATTCGTATCTTCTCAATTGCTATTTGTGGGTGACTGACTATATTTGCGGTCTCTTGAAAATTAGAGGATGCAACAGTTTTTTGATTTATGGGGAGGAAACGGATCTTACAGTAGTAAGATGACCAAAGAAGATGAAGACACTTACGGATTTCCACACAACAACGCTCTCTTGCTTTTTAGAGCTGATGGAGTACTCAATGCGACTACTGCTGAAGCATGGCCAAGCGATGGAATCAGTTTTGTACAATCCTTTACTAAACCTTTATTCGATAGCCAAAAAGACCCTCGAAGTTATCCAAACTATCGAGATAGCGCGTATACTCAAGAACAGTGGTCTAGCAGGGTAAGTAGATATATTTCGAGAGCCCGATGAAAATTTGCTCTCTCTCTGCCTTGCCAATCCCGCTAACAAAGCTGAAATTGAAACTCTTTCTTTCAGTATTATTCTGATGAGTACCCAAAACTTCAACAAATCAAAGCCCATTTGGATCCAGCAGGTATCATGTCAGCTAACCCTCAGAGTGTCCAACCTAGCACCGATGGTGCCTAAAATGGAGACAATGGCTAGTAATTTTCCCACAAAGAAGATTTGAAAGATACACAACCTTGGTGAATCTTTCTGTATTCAACTTTTCCTATGGTTTTGATTTCCCCGTCTTTTCTTTTGAGCTTGTCTATGTGGATGGTACCCAGTACGTCCAGAGGGTGGCTGGGTTGGACATCCAACAAGACCCAAAACTTTGAGGTGATATTGCAAAAAAACTTGATGATCTATATCATAAGATCACAATGCAAGACAACCGTCTCCAATTCATGCTTCCGCGCTAAGCTTAACTCTTCCGCGCCGGTTTCCTCCAGCGCAGTGAGACAACCTTTTAAAATTTTGAGTTCCCTGCCCGTCCCATTCAGCAACCGCACGCCTCACCGCCTTGGTTTCAGTGTCAAGCAACACACAGACTGCACCACGTCAGTGTGCCTCCATCATAATAACTCGGCATTCCACTCAGAAACACACAGTTCTGCCGCACATCATTGTTCCAATTTGCCCATCAACCAATGGTTTTCTTTAAATCTGCAACCAGGTGCAATCAACAGGAGAAATACAAAAAATGTGATCTTTGTTTACAACTCACAAGTCTAACACCAAGTTCAAAGGAGATAGAACAAGAAATACATCATCAAATTCACTCCACTTTATACTTTGCCACTGACTTGTTTCACATCATCCTTTTCTTGGAAACATACTTGCACACTTTGACATTTTTGGATCCTGATTGACATCAATGGATGTTGATATTGATATTGATCAAGATGACCAACATCAACTTCCATCAGGTTATTAAATTGATCCACCACAACATGTTAATCCAATTCAAAATTCAATCCATATCATGATTGAAATCAAGTTTCAAATCTTATGGAAAATCATCAATTTTTGCCAATAAACTTCATCCTATTTACATCATCTGATACTAGAAGAAGTTGATAGATAAGAAGATCAAAGAGTCACAAGTCATCAACATCATTCTGATAATATAACACTTTCAAATCAAACTTCAACATACCAATTATCAACCCAAACAGATGAACAATATCCTATATTGAGTTATGATTTAACTGATGAAAAGCCGCTTACAATCCAGTCATTCCATATAATCATCCAGAACTCAATTGACTGACAATCAAAACTCATTGGATTATTGACTAGATAAATGCTCACTCACTGCAGTCAATTCACCTGTGAATCCTCACTGGGATTCTGCTCCTATGAGTAGAGCTTTAAGAAGCAATTGAACAAGAAAATGAGTGGCTTTGACTGATGAGCATTTATTACATGATTGTCCTATACCTGCATAGTCATTGGGTTTCTTGCCTAGAAGAGGGGAAGAAGAGTTTGAAACAATATTTGATACTTCTGCTACATGTGACATAAGTTTCAATTTGGTTTTGTTCCACTGCAATGATTTTGTCTCTCAACTTTATTGAATTTTGGGAAATGTGTACTTATTAAACTTACTAAAGCTTGGTATGAAAATACCAGAAGGCACGTGGTTTGGGCAAATCCCCAGGCTAGATGCCTAGGGTTATAAAATTACTTGAAACTAAAAATATGACCCTACGGGGTGGTAGCGGAATATAACCTAACACACTAAATAATACTATATCTGTAACTAACCATACCAAAGAAAAAGAAAGAAAGAAAGATTAAAAGTAAAATAAGGGGTTTCAAGTTTGAGTTTTTGCGTATCTTTACGTTTTAAAAACTTGGACGATGTTATAAATTTTACGTAAAATAATCTTAGAACGGACAACCTTTTTACGTTGCCCGTTTTAAAATTAGCGTAAATTTACGCTTATAAAAAGTATCCGGTCAACCTTTTGACCTTTTCAATGATGGTATCGCCCACTTCATCAAACATGAGATTGGTCAAGAAGGCCATCTTGTCATTGTCTTTGAAGGGAATGTCGCCAAAGCTTGGAGCGATTGGGTCACCGCTTCGATTCTTCTTATGACCATAATCATCCAAGGTGCTTGCTTTTTACAAACGGTCAAGTTTAAACTTTTAGGCTGTTGTATAAAACTTGACCGAATTTTTAAAAAATCATATAAAAGATTTAAACTTGAAACCCCTTAATATAAAGAGATAAATCATAAAACAATAACTGTTATAAAAGGAGTTAGCTAAAAATAATATAATAAACAACCAAACTGTTCACACCACAACCTTAACACCAAAGCAAAACAAAGAATAAAATAAAGCAAACGTAAAAATAAAATAACTCAGCGGGAAATAAAAAGGGTGGGTGGGATCAAAAAAGCCAATGATAACGAAATAGAATAGAGAAACGACGATATAACAAAGATGGAAATGAATCGATAAGTTGGATGAAGTGGTAAACAAACTATGACATCATAGTTATGATCACCAGATGAATACCCTGAAAAGTCCGACCCGTCAAATAAATAACCTGTAACATACAGTCCAACTTATCCCACATTCCCATCAGTTAATAAACTAGTTTACCAACCACTATTCTTTCTTTATAGCCTGATAAGTTTGAAGCCACACATCATAATCTTTGAGCAGCTAAATCAAATTGAGATACCAAAATTTTTGTTGGAGTGAAAATGTATTGGTAGATTACCCTAAGCCCGCAATGGTACATCTAAGTTCCATTGTGGGAGGTAGGAGAACCACTAAAAGACCCAGGGCTTACATGACCCTGTTCATGGATTCCTCACAACTTGTGAGATGAAAATTCTCAATTCAGAAGAGATCAAAATTTTTCCTGGCACATGGAAAATTTCCTCTTCTTCTCTCACAGTGCCTTTTAGCACTTTGACCAAGCTCTCTACTTTTATCTCTCATCTCATCCCCTTTTAGATCAAGAGACAAAATTTTTTGTTACCCACCCACCTCCCATGAAAAGAAGCCCTCAATGGGTTCCTTGTTCTCAGCCCGGAGGGACGGGTCTTATCTGTCCCTCCGGGACCTACCCCCACACCACCCCAGCATGGATTTAAGTAACCTTACTAATGTGGTTACAGGAGATCCCTAGAGGATCTCTTTCTGGTAACTTCAACACTCAGTACCAAAGGCAATAGTCTTACTGTCAAGGTACAGTAAGACTTTGACTGCCAAATAACCCCCCATGGGGGTACATAACTACCTACCCTGAGATGGATAACAAAAATGAAATTGTATTTATGCATAGACTGCATGAAGTCATGAATTCAGTAACATCAATCATATTCATTGAACAGTTCACTCATTCAATGTATTGGGTTTTTTTTTTTTAGAAAACATTGCACATCTTTGTACAAGAAACAAGTCTTGTTGTGACCAAGTTCAAAACCCATATTTAATTGAACCATGGATTTATGAATGGATATCAAAACAAAATGCAAATTTCTGTTGAACATGCATCCAATTTAATGAAATCAATTTACTTTATTCTCAAGATTTCATGGATTTGAATTCCATGGAATCTTTGAAAAATTTGTTCAACCCTCATGAAAATTTAAATCCTAATGAATGTTTTGACCAATTATTATGATTTATTTTTTGATGATTGAAATCTCAAAATTTCATAACTGAAACTTCATTTTAGCTTGATTACATCACTGTAAACATTATGCACTATCCCCAAGTGAGATTGGTAAGATGCAATTAAAATTGTAGTTTTTCATGAAAAAACATATCACTGCACACCTGGGCCATAGCACCCACACTACATATGTGCAGCAGGATGGTAAAATTGGAAGTGATCATGTACATACAGAGACGCTAAGCTATGGTGCATTGAAATGAGTATATCATATGTAATACCTTCTGTAATGTCTTTCAGCATGACAAAAGCATTCCAAAAATTGACTACATAAACTGACCCATAGTTTTGGTGTAATTCCATTAACTAAACTTCATGTAACACCCTTTCTGTCACAGTTGAATGGCTTTCCAAGTATTGCCTGAGTAGCTATGGAGGTATGTGTAGTCAAGTTTGAGACAATTTTGTCAAACTGGAAAAAGTTACATGATGTATCACATGTGATTTACTTATTCCTATGGGTAGGGAACTGAGCAGACCTGTATGTACATGATAGCTAACAATCTAGCCAGCTTGTTGCGCATATGTAGTGGGTGTGTTATGGCTCAGGTGTGCAGTGATAGATGTTTTTATGACAAACTACAATAATAATAATTTTCCCATTCCCACATGGGGATAATGTATAATGTTTACTGTGCATATTTGTTGTTTTTTCACCATTGATCATTTTTTTTGATTTGTTATGGTTCAAAGGTTGTTTGACAAATTGATTGATGATGTATATATACTTCATGAGAATGATGAACAAAATGGATTTTGATAAAAAAACCTTAATTGAATTGAATGATGCCCAGTTCCAACATGCCACTCAAACAATTAATTAATAATTAAATGGGCTGGGTTGTAATGACAGAGCTGAGCATTCAGGTGGAATATGCTTCTCCAAGTCATTGGCAAGCAAGCATCACCCATGTAAGTCATTTGAAGGTTTTTGATTTATGTTGGCGGGGACCTCTGGGAGGTAGCTGATGAAACAGGCAGAAGTGGGAGAGGGGACAAGTGATTTAGATTGATGGGCTCAGCTTCTACCACCTTGCATAGCCAATGGAAACTTACTTCACAATGCCATGCACCAATTTGGTATTGTTACATGACAGGCATAGGTCACTTACCATAGCTTTTGAAAATTGAGTTGAGGTACAAGAGTTGCCTGTAGTCATGTGCAAGACATATGACTATAACATGATTGTTTCAGCCTCTTAAAGTAGGTGGGTAATGTGGGTATAACTGTACTGTGCATTGGGGAGTATCAGGCTGATATAGATGGTTCTACTGTGCATGAAGACCAAGTAGGTGCCCTCGGGCATTGTTCATTACTGAGTTTTTGATGAACTGGTCAGGTACAAGGGCAAAGGATCATTGCAAGATGTGGAGGCAATGAAGCCAGGATGGGGACCTATCAAATAGTCTCTAGCATAGGCTTTACATATTAGTATAGTCCCATGGCTTATGTTGGCAGGGTGGGCAAGCATACAGGACACATGACGAGCTCACATAGGTTCAAACAAATTAGAGGGCTCTCTTCCAATGCAATGGGGTGCAATGGAAGCCCTGAAAGAAGGAATGTGTCTGAGAAATGGGTTGGGGTGAAGTGAAGGCAGAGCATGTACTGGAACAGTGTAAACAGTATCACTGTGGGTCATTAGCAAGGAGTTGTGGTATGTACTGGCTAGCCCTGGTCCAAGTAGAGCCGCAACTGTACAGGCCACTGCATGAATGTCTGGATAAGGGGTGTTTCATGCTGGTCTTGGTTGCACTTGGCACTAATGCAATGAACAAAGTGCACAACAGCTGGCACTTGACTCTGGGCTTGTGGACTGAGGAAAATGCAGCCAGCACTGTAGTACTGGGGGTCCATAGAGGACAAGAAACAATAGCTGTGAAATGTACAGGGAGGAAGTTTCAGGCTGAGCTGATCAGTGTGGCTGGGTCCAGGTTTGGTCAAGGATGCCATTGCAGCACCACTCTAGAGCTTTTGCACAAAAAGGCTTGTTGGATTAAACCAGAATGTAAGGTATTCAAATTGGCCTTGAGCATAGCATAGAGAGTAACATATGTTTGTTCTGGCACATGCAGTGTGAATTTCTAATGCCAATGTTCCAGTGGTATGTAACTTGGAACATAGGTGCTCTGCTACATGTAGCTTAAATCAGTCACACATTGGGACCATTGTGTATTTGCATAACCCGCGATAATGCATAGCTTAATTTGTCTCCCCAAATTATGCATTAGCGCGGGTTTGACTGTAATCCCTGGGAAATCAAAACAAAGTGTCTCATAAAACCTTTCCTCCTCCTCAGGATTAATTTTTCAAGAATTTAAAAGGATCATCAAGATTTATACAAGAAAACTAAAAGATCAATTTATATATCTTATTGAAAAACAATTTTCCATTACCATCTTCCTTTTCCAAATAGAAAGTTTTTCCTGTTTGTTTCAAGAATACATAGACAGTCTTTGATGGATATATATATATCAGTCTCAATATCTATATTGAAACCTTCAAACCTTAAAGTTTGATTGATTGATGATATTACAATTTTTTGTATAACCCAAAAGTGAAAAAATCTATAGGTATTCGTCTTTTACTTTACAGACCTTGATCATACATATCAACTTCAACAAACTTCAACAGCTTTTTCTCACTACACATAAGAACAAGATGTCCAATTCCTAAAGTTTTTAAACTCTTTTAAACCATACTTGAAATGAAAAAAGTAAATAAATACATAAAAGAATCTAAATATTCCCAAAGAAAACCAACTATACAAAATCAAAAATCATTCAAGTATAATTAAATTGATGATCACAAAGCTTTCAATCTCATATACCTTTCATATACCATATAAAGAAATGATAATATCAATAAGAAACAAAAAAAAAACATTACAATGTCTACTTCAACTATGTACTATCCTTCAAGAATCTCAACAAATCAACAATCAATCCAAAGTTAACCAAATCATCTTTCTTTCTTCAATTAATTCATTCCAAAACTCATGTTCATGTTCATGTTCATGTTCATGTTCATGTTCATGTTCATTTTCATTCATTCATCATCCCTCATCCCTCATCCCCCCAAAAAACAAAAACAAAACCAATTTTTTCTTTCCAAATTCTTCTTCATACACATCTTTTCTCTCATTCTCATAAATCATAAATAAAAGAAAAGAAAAATCAATTGATTCAAAACTGAATAAATAATTCAAAAAAAAAAAAAAAAAAAAAAATCAAAAACAAAATAGGTATACTATCTCTATATATCAACATAAGAAAAAAACCACACACACACACACAAAGAATCCTTCCTTTCTTTAACTCAAAAAATTATCACTACTAAAGCTACTGAGGCTACTAAAGCTACTACTACTACTAAAGCTACTATGTCTACTGACTACTACTACTAAACCCGTAAACCAGTTTAAAAAACTCATCTAATTCTAATTCTTTTAGGTTAATAAAACTATAGAAAGAATCTAATCAAAAAAAAGTAATAAAAAAAAAATCTAAAAACAAGAAAATGAAAAAAGGAAAAAAAAAGAATTGAAAAAAAGAAAAAAAAAAGACAGATGTTATTATGTTCTTAAAAGTAAACACATGAAATATTTTGTAAAAGATCAGGAAGAGCTAAGCCAAAAAAAAAAGAAAAAAGAAAATCTTCTCAAAACCATTCATCACTTGATCACAGACATATCAAAAAAAAATCTGAATGAAAAAAGAAGACAACGAAACAACAAAAGGAGAAAGAGAGATAGAGATGAAAAGGGAAATGAAAATTAAAAGACAACACACACACACACACACACACATAAACTGACGAAAAGGTAAAAAGAAAAAATAAACATAATACGAGATGACGACGACTTGGGTATATGAATCACTTCCTTGGGTTTGGAAGAAGAGACCAAACAAACCAAACCAAGGGAATGGAGATGGAGATGGAGATGAAGATCAATTAGAAATCGGGAATCATGATAAGATCGGCAGTTTTGATGATTTTTTTGGTTTTGGGTTAAGGAGAACGTTTTTTTGGGAAATGCTGGATATATCAATGGATGAACTTCATCTTCTTAGCACTTCCACATGTCCGATTTCTTTATCTTCTGACAAGTTTCCTTCAATAATAAGTATAAAAAGTTAAAGAAAGAAAGATTGGATCCCAATTTGTTCAAGAATGAACTTCCGGTCGTTTCCTAACATCCACCGAAGTCATACTTCTACCCTCACTAGCCAATTCTCGATCCATGATTTCTTTTGCATCTTCATCATCTACCTCTTCATCATTCGTACCACCATCCAAATCATCCATACTGACAACTTGAGCATGCATACTCATTCTAGTACGTGCTGGTCCAGGTACAAAGGCTTTGGATTCGGTTTCCGGTGTGGTCTCGGGACTGCTATCGTCTTGAGTAGTAGGTGCGAATTCAGGTTTCCGTAACGCTTTTCGAAACGCATCGGCCATGATAGATGCATCAACTGAACTGATCGGTCCATCTGGGTTGGTACAACTTTCATTCACACCGGTTGTTTGCGAACCAGTTCCAAATCCTCCCGCTCCTCCTACAATGGCGGGATAAGCAAACGAAGCAGCTCCTCCAGTTGCAGTAGCTGAAAGTGGTGAACCTGGTCTTGAGCTTGATGGTGAATTGATATCTCGACCTGATGTTTCCCCAAGCCCAGTTCCACCAATCTCATGACGTTTCTGACGAGTTTGTCCAATCAAGGCTGCAGCTTCTGGGTTTTGAATCATGGGACTTCGACTACCGATACTTCCACCACTGCCGCCGATCGCCGCCGATTGCCAATTTCGGATCTGTCTTCGCCGTCTCGCATTGCTGACAGTGAGGTAGGTAGCAATCAAGAAAGTCACGAGAGCCAAGACTCCAAGCACAACTGACAAACGGGCAGAGTGGAACCAAAGATTGTTTAGCGTGTAGTCGGCTGAAGAACTCGAAGCAAAAAACTCACCGATCAATGCAATTTCCCATTTTGGAAATGGCTCATCACTTGATGCGTTCTGAAGAGACGAAGTGCCATTAGAACCGGGTTCACGAGAAGAATTTGAAGGGCGAAATGTTTGATTGCCTGAGGACATAGTCGATAACGCGCTGATAGAAAGAGAAGATGCTAGAGCAGCAGCAGGAGCAGTTTGAACAACTGTGAAAGTCGATTGATGTTGTTCGCCGCCTGTGAGAGGCATTCCACCACCGGTGATAACAAAAAAGTAAGGAAATGTTCGGTTTTGACCATAGGTCCAAGAGGTTTGGTTCGGAAACCAATTATCACTGGCATAGATTCCAATCATTCCTCGATCATTTGCAATTGATGTCCAATTGGCGACGATCGTTTCAGATTGAGCATTGAAAAGATAGATATCAACCAATCTAGGAGAGAAGAAGATGAAGGAAGATAGATGAGAGTCAGTTGAAGCGAAACAAGTGATACGTTATAGAAGAGATCAACTTACCTAGAACCGATAAAGGTAGGGTAATTATTATTCCAAATGAATTTTGACCAAGTGTGTTGAACGAGTGTGCTATTCGATTCAGGGAAACAAGAAAGAACGGCGTTGCTAACAGCCGTACATGCAGGATCTAGAACAGAGTAGGATGTGATCAGTTGGTTTTGATTTTGAGTGAAAAACAAGGTAAAGTGAACCAACAGCCATCAGCAAATGGACCAGTCCCATCACCTTGAATGTTTTGACGACGAAAGAGATGAGAGAGAGGCGAAGAGGGTTGAGAACGTTTTGAAAAGGTTTGCTGTTGTGAAGTAGTCTGAGTGAATTGAGAACTACAGAGTTGATGAAAGATTGCCGAAGAGCTTAATTGATTAAGGGGTGATGAATGAAGAGATGGACATAAGATTGAACGTAATCGATTTAAAAGATGAGGTGAGATTGAATGAGGATCGAATTGATGAATATAATTTAAAGCGACTTGAAGTGAATCGATTGAATGAGAAGATTGGATTGAGATTGAAGTGAGATGTTCGATGAGTAAAAGAATTAATAAATCATTTGAATTTGATTGATCGATTTCCAAGTCTGTTGAAGATGATGAAGATGTAGTGGAAGTAGAAGTAGACGGTATTGAAGGTAATGAAGTAGGAATTGGTTTGGTTTCGATTGATGGAGTTGAAGTTGAAGAAGATGAAGGTTTGATGGGTGATGAAGATTGAATCGGAAGAAATGGTTGATTAGATGGTTTAGTGATGATAGTCTGATTTCGATTTGGAAGCGTTTGACTTGGTTTTTGATGATGATCATCATGATTGGAATGTTCATTATTAATCGTTTCATTCTTGTTCTTGATCGTCTTTCTTGATTCCACTTTCATCATGTAATCAATCCAATTCAATTCAATCCAATCCAAATCGATCAATCGATGAATCAATCAATCAATTTCTGATTCTCTTGAATATCTGATTTGATGATGATGATAAAGTGAGTTTGATGGTGGTTGAATGATGATGAAGTGATTTGAATGATAGTCTGATGTTAAGTTGAGTTGAAGTGTAAGTAAAGAATTCAAAGTTTGAAGAGTGAGTGAGTGAGTTGTTGTAATATTTGTTGATTTTATGGAATTTAATGAGAAATTCTTAAGTTTTAAATGAAAGACGACAAACCCATTCAAATTCAAATTCAAATTCTCAATCGATTCTCAAGATTTCTATTTGAGTCACATCATCCTCACGACTTATACCAATTCAATTCAAACCAATTCATATTAACAACAACAAAAACAAGAACAAAACACCTTTCTGACACATACTGACTCTAAATCAAAGACTTAGTATGTTAAATCAGTCAAAACCTCATCCATCTCAAATCTTAAGATCTTATCAAGCTAACATCTAACATATTCAATCAGCCATTCCGAAAAATTCACACAATTCATCTTGACTCTTCAAACTCTCTTTTAAAGTCTTAACTCTTGAGGCTTGGGTGGTAAATCCATCACGAAAGAAAACGCGTAAATTACACACTCTGTTTTAACTTTTGATGGGTCATCAAGAAGAACTCTTTGGGTTCGTTTCTCGGAATTAACCCCAGAGTATTATGTATCATCTTTAATCTGAGTTACAGTATAGGAACTAAAGTCTGAAGATCTCGAAAGAAGACTGATTAGATTTTTTCAGATTCGTCAAGATTCATCAAGAAGTCTAAAGCAAACTTTCATTAATAGGGGGTATCAAGTAGGCTTTTTCTGCTGCTCGTTGTGAAGTTTCCCACTGCTCGAATCTTTCATTAAGCTTGGTGGGAAAATTGTGAATCGAGCAACTGGCTTCTTCACCACTTTAAAATCTTAAGATTCACACACATACTTGCCTTAAACTTGGGCCCACTTTGTACCTGAAAAACATGTAAATGCATCCAAGATGACCAAAACATACGAAATGTGATTTTGATTTTCTTCCTCGCTTAGGAAATCTTGATGGGTTCGATCAAGATGTTAATCAAACTTGGTTTGTGTAGAGTGAACCTGTTCAAAATTTAATGCTAAGACCCACATAATGTTATACTGACCAACCTGAATTCTTTGTTGGATTAATTTATCCATATATCATCATCAACTCATTCGCTGTTTACTTTTTTCAAATCTAAGTCAATCATGTACCTATGTATATAAAGAACATTGGTTATGTTATGAAGCAGATCAAAGTGAAAGTTGAAACCAGTTAAAATCAAAATGACTCCAGAAACAAGTCAAAAAGAAAATCATTTCACTTATAATAAGGGCCTGTTCACTTAAGCAATTTCTGGACAGAAGTTGTATTCTGCCACCAAACTAGCACTTTGAAACATTTTAGAATGCAAGTTCTGTCCACTACCTTCTCTACATCCAACCTGATCATAAATACTTTAGTTCTACCAGGATCTCTCATCTTTCTTTTCAGAGGGAGAGTATATCTTAAGAGACTTGGGCTATGTATCTGTGGAGCATATTATACTTGTATTTAAATGATCACAATCTGGCCTGCTTTGAGTAGCTCAAAGTCACTCCATATGCTCAATTTCCAAAATCCAAATTGCATAAGAAGATTACAATGGAATCTTACAAATGTGATTTGGTGCCCTTCACAAGCTGCAACTATCAATTGACAACTCAAAAGATGCCACATTTGTATGTGATTGGATTTCTACATGTGCGGTCATCCACAACTTCCTGATTGTGGATGGTTCAGCAATGGTGATAATTGAGATGAACACTAACTTGGAAGCTGTAGATAACAGTATGGCTCAAGCTCAAGTTTGGCTTATGTGGATTCTGTGGGAACTCAATGGCATGATACTTTATTCTGTGCTCTTTGTATTGATAAAGGTTATGAAATCTAACATATTTTTACTCACTCAAATGTTCTAAAAGTCAATTTTGCCATGTTTTTTTTTGAATTAAAATGATATCTTAGTTTCAAAAGTCTCACTCCAAGTTTGATGAGTCATTTTGAACATGGTTTGTTTTGAAATAAAATGATATCTTTTTTGATTTCTGCAGATTGCAAAAGTTGAACCAAACCAAAGAGAAAGAAAACAGATCTTTTTCATAAATGTAAAAGAAAAGCACCCAACGTAAACATCAAACAATTTCCCTAAGTGGAGGGGGAAAACAATTAGGAGTTTCATTTGTTGTAACATGATCTATCACTTCACACCTGAGCTATGTCACCCACACTACATATGTACAAGAAGCCAAGTAAACTGTTAGCTATCATGTACATACAGGTTTGCTCAGTTCTCTGCTGATCTGAATAAGTAAATCACATGTGATACATATGTAATTTTGACCATTTTGGCAAAATTGTCCAGAAAATTGACTCTGTTGAAGCCATTCAACAGTAACAGAAAGGATATCACATGAAGTGTACTTGATGAAATTACACCAAAACTCTGATTCAGTGTATGCAGTCAATTTTTGAAATCATTTTGTCAACCTAGAAAAAGTTTTGGAATTTATTACATATGGTTGGCTTATACATATGAGTAGATAGCCAAGGAGACTTATACATATGTACATTATATCTACCAATTTACTCAGCCTGCTGAACATATGTAGTGTGGGTGTTATGGCTCAGGTGTAAAGTGATAGATCCTTTCACAACAAATAATACCCTTAATTGTTTCCCCCTCTCACTTGGGGAAATTGTTTGATGTTTACAGTGCATATCACAGATAAACTTTGTGTTTTGATTTTTAAGATAGCGTCAAAGTTGACCAAAAGAAGTATATCACATGCAGCCTTTCGATTTTTAAGACTGTTTTATGTCAGAATATATCAGATAGAAAAGCAGCAAATTTTTTTAAATTTAATTTGATTGGATTGAACGGATTCAGAGAAGGAACACAAATATGTTTGTTCCAAAAGCACATAAGAGGCCAATGTGGTCAAAACCCTTCTGAAGCAGAAAGAGCATGAATCAAATCAGATCAATTGTGATATGTCTTTGATGACAAAAGTTCAATTTTATTTCCTACTTGGTCACTTTGGGGGACATGTGATTGAAAAGCTGTTCCAGAGGCCTGAGAATCTGATATCTGATTTGGTGATTGAGAATTCTGGACATCTGGTAATAAACATAAATCCAGGTCCCCTGCTGTGGGTGGGTCCATGTTTCCATTGATAAGTTCCACAACCATCTTGCCATGAGTGATTCACAGCTCCACATTCATTTTTGAGATTGTGTTGTTTTCTTTTGAAGCCAATTCTGAAGCTCGATTAGTGGTCATCATCCTGAAAATTTCTTTGGTAAAGCTGGAGCCGGTTTGTCTTGGAATTTTGTAGCACAGTTCTTGCTCTGTTCTTCTTCTTCTTTTCTGGGGAGAAACTTCAGTACAGCAAAAGATGGTGAGGTGGCATCGCTTACCGTGTGCAAGCCATGGTGTTTTCATTTGGACTTTGAGATGGTTTGTCTTTGTGAAATTTTGTGAGAGAAGTCAAGCACTACATTTGTTCACCTAGTAAGCATCTGGAGGTCAAATGGCTGGCAGATGATTGATCTTGAAGTACTGGCTCCATCTGGAGAAAGGTAGTCAGTCAGTGTAGATCAAGCAAAGTTCCACTGTGACACATGTGATGTACCCTGAATACTTTCCCCTCCTTCTTCATATTCCTCACACCTCCTCTTACTCCATTTGAGTACAGCAAGCTTGGCCTTTGGAACAGTGAACTCAATGTCTGCATCCTGATTGTCTTCCCCAGTCACTTTTTGGAGACTATCAACTTCTTGGAACCTTCTTTCAAGGATTCCAATCTGCCTATGACAATGAAAAGTTAGGACAAATCATAACACAGTCACATACAAACAGCACACTTACTTTCTTTTTATACTCCCAACCTCGTCTTTCTGGATGCCCTGTTGAAACAAGTAAAGTAGTGACTGTCTTACAAACAATATTCTTCTGTTGCTTTTTCCAAGCATTGTAGTTCTCAAACACCTTGAACCATTCAGCAATGAGATCTAATTCAGACTTACCATCACTTTCAAGGCTGAGCCGACATTTCCTAGATTTGGTGCTGTCCGTGTCTTCATCCTCATAATTTTGAGCATCATGTTGAGAATCCCATGTAGTCTCATTTTGAGTATCAGACTTGGGTTGAGATGCTCAAATGGCTTTTGATAAGGTAGCACTGCTGGTGCTTTTTGAGGTTGTCCTTGTTGCCTCTTAGGTGGATCAGGGGTAGCTGTAATATAGATAGAGGGTTCAGGCTGCTTGGCTGATGGTGGAATGGAGGAGGTGAAAATTTATTGAAGATGTGCCCAATCTATTGGGGGAAGAGTTGGGATTGCAAAAGAGGTCAAGGATAAATTAAGCTGAGATCCCGCCATGTTTGTGCCAATTGAAATTGAATGATTTTGAACAGGTTGAACAAAGTTTGACAGAGTCAGAGTTGATGCAGGTGTGGGATTGATTTGTGGAAAGATTTGGATGTGTTGTTGCATTGGCAAGGAAGGGGTAGTTGAGTCCATTAGCCGTGTTCAAACCTGACCCGGTTTCAAAAAACCCAGTTGACCCGGTGGACTTTTTGGCTGGAAGCTGTCAAGAACTGTCAATGGATACACAAAGTTACCACCAGAAAAGCAACTGGGTAACCGGGTTTTTGTGTCAACCGGGTTAAGTTTGAACGCGGCTATTGTATCAAACTCATTTTTTTAACAAACGGGTGATCAGATCTAGCCAACTTCAACCCATGTAAAAACACCTGTCAAAAAACCAGGAAAAAAATGATGGGTTTTCATGGGTTTTTGACATTGGTTTTCCCTGGGGTTGCTAAATAGTGGGATCCTGTCTTGGGTTGTAGGTTTGTAAACTCTTAACATAGTATAGAGAAAACACCCCCGAAAAAGTGAACAAAACTATTTCAAAAGAAAATCCAAGAGGCAAGAGATCTAAGAAACAGTCTTTTGGTTTATAAAAGTTTATTGAAGAAAACAATTAATTGGTAATCAAGGTCACATCAAATAGTCAGACCAAAGATCAAAAGTCAGAGGTATAGGATAGAGATAGAGACACCAAGTCAGGATTTTTTGTAAAAGAGAGGTACAGTAACATACTGAACTCATCATGAAACAGGACTTGATAGATGAAACAAGTATCTAGAGAGACACAGAGAGAGACAAACTATCAAGCCTGGATTGAAAAGGTTTGATACTTATAACAGAGGACATAGAGCATCAGCTGTGGTTAGAAGGGGGAAAACACAACAACAAGCACTGTTTAACAATGCTTGATCAAGGCAACAAAGGTTGACAATCACGTCAATTCTCTTTATGTAGTTTGGCTAAAAAAAGCTTGTTATCCATGATCCTTATCATGTTGAGCCAACCACAAAATCAAAAGACATGGTCCATACAAATGACTATCTCATATGACTTCAATTGGAACAAAGTTCACAAATCAAAAGATACAACCTATCTTCCTTAAAGTTATACTCTTTAAATTTTGTTCAATTTTGATCTTTCTCATTCTCATTCTCATTCTCATTCTCCATTTCAAAAATCTTTACATTATCCCAAACATAACCCAAAACCCACAAGCTCATTAAGAAAAACCCACTACAAATCCAATCATCTCTTGACTATAAAACAAACATATGTATGTACTGACTTCAAAAACCTAAAATCCTCAAAATATTTCCTTCTATTTTCTTTTCACATTTTCTTTTTTTTTGCTTTGCAAAAGACACATCACAAACCAAAATGAACATAATCATCAACAAACAAACCCAACAATAATCTCTAATCATAATCTTTTATATTGTAAACTTTTTGGAATATTAAAAGTAAAAAAAAAGTAAAAAACCAAAAAAAACAAATTCATCTTCATCTTCATTTGATCATTCATTCATCTAACACACAAAAAACAAACCAACATATATGCACACTGACACACATACACACAAACAAAATAACCCCTCACTTTAGATCAATTCATTAAACTGATCTTCAAAAGATAAGAAAAAAAAAGATTCCATTCACAATATTAAGCAAACAAAACAAAAAGTAAAAAAAAGTTAAAATAAAAATTTCAAAACAATCTGATCTATATCTTTTTCTTTTGGTGATTCTTTCTTCCTTTCGTTTCACATCATCAACAAACCAAACCCCCCTCAAAAGATCAAAAGAATTAAACAAAAGAAAAAAAAGGAAGAAAAATGAAAAATGAAAAGAAAGAAAAGAGAAACAAAAGAGAGATAGAGAGATAGTTAATGAAGAGATTGATTTTTTTTGCACGCGAGAAGAGATTTCAATTTAGTTAATTTCAGTTCATTGAAATATGTTCATATATAAATCTGTCTTAAAGGAGAAAAAAACGTTCATTGAAGTTATATAAGTTGTAAAAAAAAAGGAAAAAAAAAGAAATTAACAAAAAAAAAAAAGTCGAGCGTTGTATTTCCTATGTATGTTGATCAGCCCAATCCTAATTTTTCAAAAAAAAAAACAATCATCAAACAAACCAATATCAGTCAAACCCAAATTATACTCCTCAAGGAAAGAAACCGAATTGAAGAAGTGAAGAAATCAATACTTACTATCCATTCACCATACATATTCGGACGTTCACATCTTAAATAAGCTTCAAATGTCCTTTTCAAAACGGTTGCCCAACCCAAATCCCTTTCATCATCTGCCGCATCATCTTCATCTAATTTCAAGCTTTTCATCAATTCTTCTTCAATCTCTTCACGTGTTTTATAATTCATCGGTCTACGTGCATCTGATCCTAAGTTATTACTCCAACTATTACTATTCTCTTGATTTGAATTCGATTCACTTTGTTGTTTTCTTTGATGTTCTTGTTGTTGATATTTCACCGTTGACATCTTAGCTGCTAATAATTTCACTCTCGCTTCTTTTTCTCCTTTGGCAAATCGTGGACCTAAGTCTGGCCAATTACGTGAGGTGTCAAATGGAATCCTAAAGAAACACAAACAAAGTCAGATTCATTCCAAACTTTCCTGATTTGTATCAAAAGATCGAGTAAGAACCAAGTAACTCACCACCAGAAATTATGAAAATGATAACTAAACGCTCCTCTAAAGAACCCATCAAACCCAATCGCAGCTGGTCCAGCATCCGTCTCTTTAGGCGGATCAAAGAAATCTTCAAACCGTTTAAAGTAAGGAAACGCAGGACGATCTCTTTGATAGTATTCTGTATTTAACCATGCTGAATCAAAAAGCGCATCGGGTACACGTAACAAGAGTCCATCAAGAGAAGCGTCTTTTGTATATCTGTCAAGATAAACAAAACATCAGTTTTTTAAGATCGATCATGATGTAGAAAAGTATTGGATCACTAACCTAGAGATAGTCATCGGATGAAAATCTAATCCATTGGCAAGTGCAGTCTTGAATAAGAAACTACCAATAGCAGAATGTCGATGTAATCGAAGTACAGCAGTGTTATACTTCTCATGTCGACTCCATCGATAGGCAAATTGACCTCTCCAACCCCAAAGCTCTTCCCAATCACGTAACAAGATCGTATCTGCATCAAGGTAGATTCCACCAAATCGATGACACAATACAAATCGAGCCATATCTGATAGTACTACTGAGAGACGATCATAACCTTTGGAGGATGTTGAACCAACTCGTTCAAAGAGTTCGTCTTCGGATTTCTTAGGTGCTGGTGCCACAGGAGCTGTGGGTGAGTCAGCAACAGGCTTCTCTTCCCCTTCAACCACTGGTGCAGGTTCAGTAACTGTCATGTCTTCTGCTACAGCTGCTTCACCTCGAGTATGATTTCCAAATCTACCTAATTCTTCTTCAACCACATCTGGCGCTTCACCATGTCCATCTCCGTCTTTATCCACCAGTTTAGCCTTTTCTTCTGGTACGACTATCCCAATCTTAACCGTCTCCTTTCCACTAGGACCATGTGCCTTATCGTCATGACCTGATCGAAGCTTTTCACTTGGCGTAGGCGTGACTGGTGCAGATCCATATTTAACACCTCCACTATTGAACAAAGGAAGTTCTCGCCAGTGATCTCTGACTTCTGGGACACCGTCAAGTTGTTCGGTAGTATTCCACATCTTAAACTTGATCACTTCACGGAACCGATCATGAAGAAATGGTGCACTCCATGGGTTTTGTTTCAAGTTATCAAACATTTCTCGTCTTGCGTTCGGATTCGGAATTGATGCAGCTGGACCTGGATTGATCCAAACCCACATCTGAGGTCTACAAGTAGTCGCCAAAAACTCAGATCGACGAAGATAAGCTTCCTCTTCTGCTGGTGATAATTTAGCATTTCTTTTCTTGGGCGCTAATGGAAGATGTAAACCAAGGTTTTGAGTGTAAAGGAATGAGGAGAGTGCCAAATAAGGTTTATCGGTAAAAGGACCAGCCCAAAAGATGTGAAAGATTTTAGGATAATCTGAATCACAAGTAGGATCAGAAGTAGGATGAGATGGATGCTTAGCAGTCGCTCGACGACGTGAATCAGCAGAATGCATTTTGTCTTGAAGGCTTTTGAGCTTCGAATGATAAGAATCGGATTTGAGCATTTGTAAAATGTCGATCGGACGATAAGAAGGATCTTTAATAAGTTGTTCACCAGATTCTTCATCAATCGTATGAGTTGCTGGTTCAGTATCTGATGAAAGTTGAGGTTTGATTTTCCGAACCGTTCCATCATCATTTTGTTCATGGTAAATATGTCTCCATCTTCGAGTATCACCTCGTCTAACCCGTTTTTCCAAATCCAAACCTCCTCCCATTCGAAGGATCTCTAAACAATCTCGAACATATTGATTTGTGGAAAAGTCACAATAGTCCATGATGACATCAAGATCCATGATAGCATTGGAGATCGGTCGTGGAGGATAAGGTAAAGGTGTTGATGATTTCGATGATGGATCGGGATGAAACGGTTTAGGAGTCGAGATATTGAGGTAAGATCGTCTAGGTCCAACTGGGACCACATCGTCCAAGAATGATAGAGGAGCACGTAATTGATTTTGTTGTAAAGATCGTATAGGAGGAGTCAGAACATCATCTTCAAAACTTGATAGGAATTCAGAAGGATCGGATACAGGTGTAGGATTTTCCGGAGGTTTGCGTGGTAGACTAGGATTAGGAATCTGATGAAGTCCTACGAGAGTGGGAGTTCTTCTTGAAGAAGGATAATGACCATTACTGATTTCCCATTCCCATATTCTACGAATCTCATCTTCAGTAAGGACAAGAGTAGAAGGATCTTGAAAAGGTAAAGGAATATGTCTAGTACTTCGCCTGATTGCTGATCGAATTTTACTAAAAGCCAATAAGATGACCGTCAAAAGGATGAAACCATAGATGAGAGTAAGTTTATAAGATCGTTTATCAGAAGAACGCCTTTGATGAGAAGAATGTCGAGGATGATTAGATCGATAGTTTGGAGGGATTAATAAATTTGAACTTGAACTTGGATAAAGGAAATTGGGAAGTGGGAACATCAAACGACGATGAGTAAAAGGTAAAGCCATTGGATAAGGAGAGAAATGAGTAGCTAAAGATCGTAAGAAACCAAAACCTCTTCTTCCAGATGATAATCTATGTTTCTCGATGACTGCATCTGGAGGATGAGGACTAAGTAAAGAAGAGAAGATAGTAGAGGAAGGACCCGGTGAAGCAGATTGAGGAGTTGCATAACCAGTACTACTATTTGATCGAGCGTTGATATAGGGTAATGGACTTGAAGGTGAAGGTGAGATTGGCATCGTTTTCTTGATTTCCTTTGATTTGATTTAATTTGATTTGATTTGGTTAAGCTGAGGAAGTCAGTGAGTGTTTGATGAGATGAGATGTGATGAGTTGATCTGCTTCTCCAAAAAATCAAAAAATCCAAATCCACCTTCAACCAAATCCAGATCGAAGCTCACTTAAGTGTAATACACCAACCAATTAACCTAAATTTTCAAAACAAAACTCAAAACAACCTTTAATTTGCATAACACATTCACTATCCTCACTACTATCAGGCTACAAATCTCACTGCAACCCAACCAAAGATTCAACTATTTATCAACTCATCTCAAGCATCGTCTGATCACTCTTTGTGAAGAAGAAGAGATCTCATTGCAAAGTTACAAAATGTAAAAAAAGCTCAATATTTCAAAGATGAAAAAAGAAAGCTCAATTTTCTAGCCAATCAAATCAAACCAACGCTAAAAAACATTTATATAAAACTCAATCACTCTGAGTGAGTTTCAAATATGCTTAATAAAAAAAATCAATCGGATCAATGAAAACAACCGATCAAGATGAAAAGTGGGGTTTGGGTAGATTAATTAGCTTTCGAAATAGCAGTTTTTAAAATTCCATCAAGATAAGAATTCCAAATAGATTCCATCAAAGTTCCATCGACATCAAAAAAATCTTTATAATGAGGTTTCAAATCGGTTTGATACTTTTTAATTCCATTCTTTTTAGGAATTTCATAATCCAAGTTAACTTTATAAATCGGATCATAACTAGTAGATTCAGTTGAAATCGTAATCCGTTCAAATGTTGACTATTTATTCATCAAAAACAAATCAATTAGTTTTCAAGGACCGGAGGGGATTTAAGAGTAGGCTTAAGGAAACTTACTTTATCATTCATAGAGGCTCTTCTTCCAACATAAATAATTTGTTTTTGAACAAACGTAGCATGTACCAATGCAATAGTTGCAATAATCCAATACCTAAACAACAATCAAAAAAAGAATCAAACCAGCAGATTAATATCTTATCATTTAAAGGCAGAATCAGGTGATCTTGAGAATTTCCCCGCCAAGAAAAATCACTTACACAACTACCACATAAAGAGTATAACCCTGAGTTTTTTCCCATCCATAATGCCATCCAGCAAAACTAACAGCACCAGCTAACAAACTACTCACCCATCCTAAAGTAAGTTTAATATCATCATGACTATGATCTTCAATAAAATTATGATTTTTAGTCAAGTGTACCTAAGCAAAAAAAGAACCAAAACCAAATCATCAATTCGGTTTCTGATCCCTAGTTTAAACGAAATCATTTACTTTGGTACTATCATCAAGAGCGTTTTTCAATTCGGTAATAGAACCATTATTGACCTTTACAGGAACAACTATAAATAACAAACAACCAAAAAGATGGTTCAGGACATATAAGTGATAATGATCCAAAAAAGAAATAGATCAAACCAATGAATGAATGAATCAACAAACCTTGTTCTTGTTCAAATTCAACTGATTCATCAAGATCTGAATCAGCATCAGGTTTGATTTCAGAAGCTTTAGAAGGTGAAGAAGGTGGAAGTGATGATTTTCCTTTTCGTTTTGATGCTGCCATGTTTGATGGTTTGATGGATTGATGGATTGATTGAGGTTGAGTTAGGAATCGGTTTGATATGAATGTTCTTTGAGTTGATTTCTTGATTTGTGGTAGTTCTTAAAGTTGATGGATTTCCACGTGGTCAGATTTGAAACTTCAACTTCGATCATTCACACATACCACATATAAGCATCACATCCCTATACTCGATGCAGCCCTGGCTCGGGTCTACCCGGGTCACATATCTCGGACTACCATATCGGACCTTTCATTTTTTGGGTTGGTTCAGGATGGTTCACTTCTGATGGAAAGTCATAAAGCATTCAGAGCTCATTGATCTCACAAGACTTCTTCTGAATTTTTAGATTTTGCTTTCTCAAAACGTCAATTGTGACTCAACTCCGGCTTCATACTTAATCAATATGAGTACATGAAGCATTACAACAACTAAAATGAATGACATACAAGATGAAATACAAAGACTCTCATTTGAAAACTACGTGCTTGGATGTATCAGAGTACAGAGAACCAAAAAAATCAAATGCCAGATCATCACCATGATTCAAAGGAAGGCATTGACATTTTGATCAAACGGAAAAAAGACTTGGTCCTTTTGGATAAAAACCCCTTACTTATTGCTGGATGAAGATATCTTTATACAGAAAGAGAGAGAGTACATCCCACTTCTGTAATGATGGTTCAAAATCCCAAGATTGAAGACAAATGGGAAAACGTTAAGTAGGTTAAAAAACGTCCACCAAGTACATACAAAATCTTCCTCCACAAAAAAGTGATGACTTACTATATATTATATATCATCAACCTATAATTTACTAACAAGTTTTGAAAACTCTTCTCCATCATTTTGTAAAAAGGTTTTAGGATAATATGATCCAAGTGAAGTAGTCGATCTTAAATGGTTTTCTCCACCATCAACAACTATACCCCCCCCAAAAAAAACAAAAAGATTCAAACCCAGATCAGATATAGTCAATAGAATGGCATCGATAGTAATGAAATAATGACCTATGATAGTTCCTGTGATGAAAGAAGCAGCTGGCGAGAATAAGAAAACAGTAGTGTTTCCAATATCATCTAGATTCACAAGAAATCAAGTCAGTGAAGTAAATGAAGAGTTTTGAAGTTTTGTGATGAGATTCGAAGTGATCTAGTTCACCTCGACTACCAAATCGTTGTAAAGGGATCCCTTGAGCCATTGTTTTCCTAGTTTCAGAAGTTGAAAGTCGCGAGAACCCTTCAGTATCTGCTATAGGACCTGTTAAAGATCTGAGTGTGAGTCAATCCGCTTAACATATACAATATGCATAAGTTTGCTCAACAAAACGGGTTTGAGAGATCAACTTACCTGGTGCAATCACGTTAGATCTGATCCCAAAAGGACCAAACTCCACAGCCATTGCCTGTGATAAAGCGTCTACACCAGCTTTGGCCGCGGAGACATGGGCTTGAAAAGGAGTACCTACGGAATTTGGATGGATTGCACGGATTGATAAGCCTAGATACTTTAGAGTTCATGATGAAGATCGAATTGCTCTGTAGATTAGACATACCGACGTAATGTAATGTTGCTGAGACGCTTATAAAACTTCCGCCTGTCTTTTTGACATACGGCAACGTCGCCTTCATTGTGTGATCTGGCAAGCCAATATTAATCAGTGACTTGAACACAGTATAAGAAGTTCAAGTCGGTACTCACAAGTTCCAAGCTTTAAAAAAATGATTATCTCCAACCATGAGCACTACAATTCAGACCTTAATTTTGAAAGAAAGACGACTAACCAGATCGATTTCAATGACCGATTTAAACCCATTCACACTAAGTTGATCGATTGAAGATAAAAAGTTTCCAGCTGCACCAGCAATGACAAAATCGATTCTACCAAATTCTTTGATACAACTTTCAACAGCAGATTGAAGTGATTCAATCTTTCGAACATCTCCAGATGAAAATGAACATTTCTGTTGAGTTGAATTGATTAATTCTTCACAGGTTTTTGATAGTACTTCTTCACGTCTACCAAAGATGAATGCAGATGCTCCGTCTGTTAAAAAGTGGGACAGATTGAGTTGCTATCAGTCGATGAACATGATGATGATTTAGTGATCTGGTTCAACATACGTACGTCTCATGACTGCTTCTACCATTTTCTTACAAATCCCAGTTCCACCACCTGTGCAAAATAAGACTTTACCACGAAAGATATCATCCTACGGGTATGATAGAAACAAATGAGTCATGCAGTCTTCTCAAGTACACGAGCAAGTGTAATCATCCAAAAATTTCATACTTTGAAGACCGTGTTTGATAGTACTGGTGATACTGATGGATTCGACTTCATGATGATGATGATCCAGATTCACTCCACAGCATCGATCATCCAATCACAAAGTTTGAATTTTCAAAAACATCATTTTCAGAACTGTATTATTATAGATTGACTGTTTTGATAGATAATGCACTTCCAAGTTCCAAGTCACGTAAATTTTGAAAATCACCAAAACCAATTCAAGTTCAACTTTCAAATGGCTCAAACTCATTTCCTACCGATCCCAAACACAGATTTAATTTCTTCATTCAACTTCAATTATCATGGTAATCGAATAGCTGTTTCTTCTTTAGATCATCATCTCTATGTACTTTCATCGGATCCTGAAACTGGTAATTGGCCTCAAGATATTCAACAAGAAGAAGATCAATTAATCAAAAATAAAAAACATTTGAAATCATTACCAAACTTACAAAGTTGGACAGCACATGAAGGTCCGATTTTAAAAGTCGTTTGGTCTGAACCTCCTCATGATGAATTATTGGCTAGTTCTGGTACAGATGGAACGATTAGGATTTGGGAAGAACGTTGGTTTTTCATTTGATTAGTCTTTTATTAACTTATGAACATATAATCTGATTTAAATCTTGAATGATATCTTTCTAATTAGAAACTCGTAGAAATGATCGATCATCAAATCCAAAAGGCTCTACTGGACCATCATCAAAATCTAAATCAAGTACCGAACCTTCATCAGAACCTATCACTCAATGGCGTCAACAAGCAATCTTGGCCGATTCTTATGGTCATGTTCGAGATTTGGCTTTTAGTCCATCTGAAACTAGCTTAAAACTCGCGTCTATCTCTACCGATCATCATTTACGTCTTTATGAGTGTCTAGAGTCCAATTCGATCACATCTGATAGTTGGAATATGATCATCGATCTTGATCTTTCCGTTTTACCTCCTACTCTCTGTAGTTCAGTTAATCATTTGAATTCAATCGTACCATCTGGCGCTGGTGTGGGTGGTGGTCCTTTTACTCAACATCCAGCTTTTACCTCTGTCAGAGGATTTGACACATCTGCAAGTCATAACCATCAAAAACATGGCTTTTCATCCAATTCCCTCACTAGTCCTCTCTCTGGTCTTCGAGCTACTCCTACTCCTACCTTGTCTTCACTCGCAACCTCTTCGAATCATCATCCAACAACCCAAGCGGCCACTACAAATGAGTCATCCGGTGGTTGGTCTTTAACATGGTGTCCTGAGACTTACTGGGGCGATATACTAGCTGTCTCTGCTGGTCCATCAGGGTTGATTCGAGTGATTAAACTTACCTCACATTCTCAATGGGAAAACTTTGCAAACCTAAGTCCTCAAACCTCAGCAGTGAAATCGACTGGCACCGAATCCAATCCGAATCTACAAACCCAAACGAGTCATCAGTTTTCAAAACCAGCACCAGTCTCAAGTTTAGCTTGGTCACCTGCATGTGCAAGGGATTATCATTTGATTGCAGCAGGTCATCGGGATGGAAGAGCAAGGATTTGGAAATTAAAACCATCTAGTCTGAATTCATTACCAAGCAATCAATCTAGTATGCATTGGCAAGTTGAACTTGATACTGAATTAGAAGATCATGTGATTAAGAAACCTTTGAAGGAAGTCGGAAGTGATGGTGACAACAGTGGTGGAGGAGGGGTTGGAAAGTGTGAATGGAATGTAACAGGAACGGTGTTGAGTACGAGTGGTTCGGATGGGAAAGTACGTATATGGAAGAGTAAGTTGATTGAGCTTCACTCTGATCTCTTGGATGGTCTTGGCTGATTAGATGAACTTGTTTTGATAGTGGGATATACCTCTCGATGGATCAATACTGGGGAAATCACGTGTGAGGGTGGAGAAGATGATGAAACAAATGATATTCCAATCACTGTAACTTGAAATAAAATTTAATAATCTGGAAAATGGTGTTGTGATCTGATGAGTTTTGAGAGATGGAGATGTAAATTAAAAACATCTGTCATCATAGGATCAATGTGGCTTATGTAGACACATTGATGAATATGATCGATGTCGGATTTCATGTATTTTCTGTTGTTTCTTGCTCAAACTTGAAGGAATTAAAACTTTTTCTGCACTGTCGCCAATTTCATGTGAAGCTGACTTTTAGAAACCTTTAGTTCACGCAGTGATATAGAGATTTCTGAGTCATTTTTTACAATGAAGACTTATATCAATTCAGGAATTTGATTTTGATCAGAATACAACAAGAGGATAAATTGCTTTGATAATACTTTTGAAAGAGAATCGAGACAAGAATCTAAAAGGTTCCCATTTATTCTTCTGATGATTATAACACAGTCCAAAGTACAATCTTTGAAGGATGAAGCTGCTAGATGACCCTTGTATGGGAGATAAGATATTTGATAACTGATTGGAAAAGATTAACTAGTTGCTGCAGTTTCTTCAATATCCACTTTACCCTTATAAAATGCAACATAACCCTTGATATCTTTGGCTTTTTCCTTTAAATTGAATCGATCCAGACAAAAAAATGTATAAGCGATCAAGTTGATGAGATGATTCTCAAGATGATCGAATTTGACTTACTAATGGATCTGAGTAATACCAAGCTACATCTTTTTCACCACAGATTGTATAATAATTGGCTTTACCCTTCCAAGAACAATGACTGATTGTATCAGATGAAACATAATGTTCTTTGACGATTGAATCAGGTGGAAAGCTTTAAAAGATCGTATCAAAATAAACAATCGAGAAAAGGAGGTTTTGGTTAAGAAGATTCGATTGGTTTTGGTAAAGAAGAGGTAAACTGAGGTTTTAGATTTGGATGGATGTTTGGAATGAATGACTTACTAATAGTTTCCTTCGATTGATTTTGTTTGATTTGATTCTGCTATTAAAGTATCATTTAAGGTAACCCGGATCAATCGAGACATTGTTGTGATTTGTTTGTTGAGTGTTTGGAAGTTCTTTGAAGCTGATTCGTATTTTGGTCTTTGGGTTGACTTTCTGATTTGTAAAGGTTCAGAAAGCTGGTTTGAACTTGTATGGTGAAGAATGGTCAGATGACGTCACAATCTCAGCTAATGAGTCTTTCTGTCCGCGCATACAAATGTCTTAACTCTTTGTATAATCAATTGACTGAACTTACGATAGTCCCGTTTTAAAGCTCTATTGAAAAGACCTTGGATGACCATCAGAATAATGATGTCTTTTTGGGCAGTTCACCTTCATCTGGACTCCTCATGAAGCCTCTCCGGGGGCAAATTATCTCTGCTGGCTGTCCTACGGTTGATCACTTCACTACACCACGGGGTAACTCTTTGTTGAGACACCAGCGTAAAGGTGGCCGTGTCACGATCTGGCAACGCTGGCCAATATTTCATGTTTCACCCAATTATGGATGGTTGGACAACACCAGGTGATTTATGGCCATAAGCAGAACTTTTGGCCAGAAATCAGCTGATTGTGTGGCCAGTTATAGGTCTGATGAGAGCTTTACCAGCCTTTTGGCAAATAGCAGAAGGTCAAAGGAAGTGTCTTCAAGCAAAACCAAATTAGAGGCTGCAAGCTTGGACTTTGTTTTCACATTTGCCTCCATAGATGTGGCTCTCACCACGTTTTTTTACTTTGATAATGAGAGAGCTCCTAGAATCCACTCTTTGGTCTGGGAGCTCTTTGCCATCTGCTTCAACATACAAAGCAGAAGCCAGACATGTGCCCGGCCCTGTGCTGGAATGTGTTTGGCTGTAAATCTGATTTTTGTGCCCAGGGTTTTGCCCATAAAATCCAAATTTACAGCCAAAATAATTGCAAGTGCAAGGCTGGGCACATGCCCAGATTTTACTTTGTATCCCATAATTGATGCCTCAGCCCACATGGGGTGGAAGGAGTGGCTATGGGCAGAAACAAAGAGGTTCTCTGATCAGCTCCCATATGATTGGCAGCATACAAACCTTATAGATGTTTGATAGGCTGCCAAATGGACCAACTTACAGCAGCCAGCCAATCTTGCTGCTTGAACACCGTACTTGTGACCATCTTGCAGCAGCTGTCCACCACCAAGCCAATCTGGTTACACAGCGGTAATTTCTGCTAAAAACAGAAGTCTGGATTACCTCATGGTGTATAAAAATCATCTTCTTCATGTGTTTCTTGTCCATGAATTACAATCTTGAAAAGCTACTTGACTCGTTGTTGGTAACTTGTTATTAACAGAGTGGAATGGGAAAGTTGGATAATATTACATGTAAGTATATACTGACGGGTTGGACTTTTCCTGACCATATCTTTTGATTCATCAGCTATGACATCATAGCTGTTGACCACCATCATCCACAACTTTCCCATAGCAGTTACTTTCGTCAACAACTTCATCAAACTCAAGGTTTCTCTCTATTCTCATTCCATTTCAGAAAAAAAATTCATCCCTCCCTCCTACTCCCTGTCTGAAGCTGGTAAAAAAAGGTATTAGTCAAGTATTATCATTTAGTCGATTATTTTAATTCTTTATCTTTTCAAGTATAGTTGTTTCAGTCTTTTATTGATATTTTAGTTCTATTTTATATCTCTTTTTCTTTTTGCTAGTATTATTCATATTTCATTCTTAGTAGTTACAAAGGTTGTTTAACATATATTAGTTGTGGTTGTCTTTTTCTAATATTTTTTATGTATGGCCCTAGCCACCCTGTAGGGTGTGTTTCATCATTTGTTCAAGTAATTATATACCCGGGGCTTATGCCTTGGGATCTGCACCAAACACAGGTATTGCCTTTGGCAATCTTTCTTGGATCTAGTAGTGAGTTTGACGGTCCCATTTCAAACTTTTTGAAAAATTTCCTGGAAAACCAACCCTTATACCTCAAGACTTTATAAGTTTGAGTTTAGGTTTCAAGGAGTGATGGAGTTACAGTCATTTGAGATTAGCTTGGCCAATTTTGATTTTTTGTACAACAACACAGGCGGAATTACAAGCATACATAGCCTTATACCCAATTGAGGTGCTGTTGACAAGCATACCCAAGAGCTCCTATCAAGGCACACAATGTAATTTTTTTATTTCCTTATGTTTTCTGAGAAATATATAGTTACAAAGTTCAAAACAAATGAGAGCAAAAAAATCAATTGACACCATGTAAATATCCGTGTGGCACGTCAACATGCACACACAGAGAGTTTTGAAATAAAACTCCAAGTCTTTTGGTCAAATTTAGACTGAGATTGTTGTTGAGCACCCTTTGTGCTTTGTGATTTGTTCAAAGGATTTGCAGAATCCTTTGTTGTCAGCAGGGGTCAACTGAATTTCAACCTCCCAGGTGATAAGGGGAAGATGTGCTTGTTGTGGCACCTCTTTGATGGGTTGTTACAGGGTCTAAGGAAAGTCTTTTGTGTGTGCACGTCAACGTGCTACAAGGATATTTACATGGTGTGAGAAGAATTGGAAATCAAACATGATAAACCAATGAAATCAAGAAACTTGAACAAATAAATATACACAACCCTGGCTGATGGTGGAGCAATTTCACCACTACATATGGGATCATTTGCTGTTGGATTATGGAGCACAGTGACTTCTATATATTATGGTCATATGGTTCCACAAAATGCTCTGCAACCGCAATCAACAGCGGATTGGTTGTGGTATTGTTTGGAAATTGAAGCAACCAAGGGTCTTGATAAATTGGGCTTGCTGTCTTGTTAGTTGATCAGTGGTCATGAAAATTTCAAGATTACAATGGTCTGTATAGACTATTACCTCTAGGTGGTTTGGTTTACATTTGAGGTAGTCCCTTGGTTCCTTAAAGTATGCTACAATTGCTAGTACAGTGCTTACCCCTGAAATAATGAAATCAAATTGGATCACCAAAACCCATCCTCTCCGCCACAAGTCACATTTTTGGATCCCAAGTGTGGTTTTGGAATTGTGAGATTGGGGACTTGGTGTCTATATCTATTGTGAACAATTGATAGCTTTTTCTTGTGTTTCAAAATTCAATCTCCAGGGCACAACCCTGTTCTATGTGTCCTTAGTTTCAGGGATAAGCACTATAGATCCTTATCAAAATTCTTGTAATTATGTTTGGCTTGGACTAATGAGCAAGATAAGTAAGCTACTCTCTGTCTTTGCTTGAATGCTGAGATAGGAAGGCTCCTAGGACAAAGTCGAAGTAGTTGCATTCCAGTCTGAAGGGTTCATATGAGTCTGCTTTCTTCAGATTGGTGTGGATGTGAATGCTACCTTTGATGTCTCAAATGTTTGTTTGTGGTGTTTGTCCCAGATTAATGGTGTCTTATCTTTTTTCAAGTTGTGTAGTGGACGTGTTGTGGCTGTAAATTGCTTAATAAACCTGCATCAGAAGTTGGAAGAACCTATGAACTGCCCCAGCTCCTAGGGATTATATGGTACTGTCCACATTTTCATAGCCTTTATCTTTGACAGGTCCATCTTGATTTTGTTGTACAAATTTATGAGACCTTGGTATCCAACCTATGTATTCAACTTCATCCTTTGAAAACTCACACTTCTTGTGTTTTAGCAATAGTTGCTGTTTGTTGAGTCTTTCTAGTACATTTGTGGGATACAAAGTTGAATCTGGGATTTTTTTCCCAGTTTCCCAGTTTTCGTTTTTGGCTGTGTTTGGAACTTTCCCATGTTCTCCCAGTATCCCAGTTTGCGTTTCTGGCTGTATTTTGAAAACTGGGAAACTGGGAAAAAACTTCCAGTTTTAACTTTGTATCCCATAATTAGTGATGATCATAGTTTGGTCTGTTCCATTCTTGGTATAGACAATGGTGTTGTCCAAACAGACAGCTGTGCCTTTGAAACATGGCCAAGTAGGATATCTTGCATATCATATCAAAAAAACCTGGCACAATGGTTGGCCCAAAGGGCATGGTGAGGGGTGCAAGCTGTCCTGCCATGCAGATGAATGCAAGTTTATCCTTGTCTCCTTCTGTGATGCATAAGTTGCTGTTGAATTATGTAGATCTAACTTTTTGAATTTGTTGGTGTCTATGAGGCTGTCAATAAGATACATTGTTGACGGTAGGGGATACTTATTTTTGACTGTCAGAGCATTCAGGGTGCTGTAGTTAAAGCATCGTCGTAGTTTGCCATCCTTCTTACAGGTGAAGAGTACAGGTGCTACCCGCAGTGAAGTAGTATGACAAATGGTTCCATTGGCAAGTCCTTAGGCTTCATTGATCATGAAGTTGAGTGCAGCCTGTTCCGCCAGTGACAGAGGGATGATGCGACAAGCTCGTGATTGTGCATTGGGTACTAATGGAGCACAAAAATTGTATTTTCTTCTTGGGTGCCAGGCACTGGGTGGTTGAAACATATGGATGAACTTGTGGTAACATGGTGGTACAGGCTCTTTGAGAGTCTTGGTGGCCTCACCACAATTTTTGCCAATGTTGACCAGGAGGTGCAGGCTGCGCTGATTCCTACTGTAGATGGGAAATAAGCGCCTCCAACTCACATTGTGGGGGCTTGAAAACATCATCTGTCATACTAGCTGCCTTGTCATGGTTCCTAGCTTGCCTCAAGGGCTCTTCTAAAAGCTCTGTTGAGGTGGTGGTTGGATTAGACAAGACCAATACTTGAGTTGGAATGGTTCCAGGTGTGATTATTTTTCAGAAAAGAAGTGATGGAAGGGACCCCAACAACAGCATGTAAGATAGTATTCAGTTTTTCAGGGCAATTGGTATGATACTTTTATGGGATACAAAGTAGAACCAGAACTCCTCTGAGTTTTGCAACTTGCACTTGTTGGCTGTATTGGGAAACTGGGAACCTGGGCAAGCCAAAAACCGCAGCCAAAAAGTCCAAGTTGGGAAGCTCGGATAAGTTGTCGGTTCCTACTTTGTATCCCACAATTAATAGAGATAGAAGATGTGAGCAACAGGGAATTGACAAAGTCAATCCGGAGCTTGAGATTCATACAATGAAAAGAGTGGTGTTTTTGACTCAGTTGAGGCTGAAGTGAAGCCCAATAATTGGATTCTCACTCCTCTCTTAAAGATCAATGAACCTCATCATTAATCACTGTCACAACTCCATACCGCTGCAATTGATGAGCTTACTCAATGATGTCGTGCCTTTGGTCTATTGCTGCGCACAGGAATTGAGCGAAATTCGGATTTGTTGTTTCAGTGATGAGTTTGGTTTTCCCGTCTGAGCAAGACAGATTTGATCAAGAACTGCTTCACCAGTGATGATTAACATGCAATCACCATGAACGAAGTGGTGATCCACGGACTAGTCTCCCCAATGATACGTGGGTGAATTGCACTACTTCATCCTGGAATCTTCAAGCCCATTTGAAGAGTTTATGTCCACTTAGTGAGCATGATTAAGCTGTTGTATATACCACTAATTGTCTGGAACGTATCCTTGACCAAGCATCATGGATTCATGTGGGTTGAATGTGCAATCTTGCATATCACCAAGTGTGAAGATCTTATACAACGTCGAACCGACCGAAAGTTATTCCGGAGTGTCATGACTTATGGGTTTTTAATGGAAATCAAATCGATCGATCGATGATGTCATAATTTCCAACTTAATGGGGCAGATCATCATTGTACTTTTGATCAGCTGAGCTGTTCACTTCTTCCTTCTTTACCTTCAATTCACTTTTGACTATTATCCCTTCCCATCCAACGATTGCAATCTCAAAACCATTTTAGACTTCCTCTCCACAGTTCTTATAACTTTGCTTTCTTCCTCTCTATTAATTCTTTTCCAAGATGGACCCAAATCAGCCCCCACGTCGAGTTTCTTTCCATACTAATGTTGCTGCCGATTCTACAAGCTCTATCTCCAGCAACACACCCAATTTGTCTAACCCTCCATCTAACCGTGGGCGACCAAGCTCAAGTTTTGGTGGTCCAAGACTCAGGCCATTGACTCAACTTAATGACGAATCAGGTCAGTTCATCCATGGATCTCTTGATCGCTTGAGGTTCTTGCATCGATTAACCTAACCAACTGTTCATTATCTCTGGGGATGACAGTCAAGCAAGTTGCGAGAAAAACTTCGCACGATGATCAATCTTTCCCGGGTTCAATTCATCAATCCGAACACTCCAGGCGCGGCAGTACGTCTGCGAATAGTTTGGCAAACTCGCCCCGGTCATCCTTGCCCACCCCTGGATTGACCACTTCCTCTACCAGTGTACCCAACTTCACCTTGGGGGCTCGAGTTCGAGACTTGGATGTAGAATCAACTTTTCAAACTCGTCAAGCTAGTCCACATCCTTATGATGTGATCCTACCAGGAGATGAGCATCGTAGAGCTGCCTTACCAACTAAGAACCGTGCTCCAACTACGATTGCCAGTAGTACAGTTGGCTCCAATCGCATGGGCTCATTTGCCAACCAGCCCCGAAACACGCCCATCGGTGCCCGTCGATTCACGCAACCTGCTGCTAGTTTCTCTTATGGTGGTGGCACCATTTCCTCAACTGGCACTGCAAATCAAGCGGCTGCTTTACATGCCAGGAGATTTTCTACCATCGCACGAGAGCCTTCAGTGGCAGTCCGAGCACGCAATTCTCACGCATGGTCTGCAGTGTCTGACGTCGACCATCTGGAAGACGGCTCTAGCGAAGCGAAGAAAAGTGCGCACTCAGACGCAAAAATCTTGCTCAATAGCTTCAGCTCGCTTATGGGACAAGAAGGCGGAGGCGAAGCTGTTGGAAATTTTGTGAAATATATCTTATCAGGCGGCCTTGCGAATTTGAGCACTGATGTGACCAGTAAGTCCATTTTCCGCGACAAACATTTAATTTCTCGATAACACCACTAGATGACCCGAAACTGACGATGACCCTTGCCGCTGGGTTTGGTAGAATTGATCACCAAGGTGCTAGAGAGTGTACCCACATTACAAGCAGCATATCTCACCGTCCATCTACACGAGATTATCGAACAATTTCAGCGCATAGGGGGCTTGCTATATGCAGAACCCGAGATTGCCTCAATGTCGGTGCTTTGATTCCTCACATTCGTGATTTGATCAATGCTGATTCTCCCTCCTTCGTAGGTTCGCTGAATTTAGTGGAAGCGTTCTCGGCTTCATGTCAGCGGCACAGTCTGAACCAACTGGCGTATCGTGTTTGACTATACTCCGTACAATGATGGACAAGGTGGTCTCACTAAGTATCTATAAATCGGCCTTCCTCAATTTGCTTGATCGGGTATGTCAACTCATCCTGGCGTCTGAAAGTGTACGTGACGGGCTTTGGTCAAGATTATCAGATTCGCTATTCGGCCCGCAAGGTGTGACAGAACAAAACGAAGTTCGACATATAGCAGAGTTTTTAAGTCTTCTATTTGCTAGCATTGAACAACTCACCGGAAGCTCCATCAAACCTCTAGTGAAGAGCTTCGTTTCATGGATTGCATTGATTGATGGATCGTCGACCAAATTGGCAGCGGAGACTCGCGACATCTTAACTAAACCACTGACCACCACGGCACCCCCATCGAGCGATTACCAGATGCATCCACTGGGTTATGTATATTCGCCCTGCGACACAGATGCAAAACTCGATCTGATTTTACAAGCATGGTCAAGTGGACTATTCGACACACCCACTCACAAGGATGTCTACGGTCGTTTCAAGCGGCACCTCGAGAATGTCATGCTGGGCATTCAGGGCAACAGTACCTTTGCACGATTTTCTCGTGATCTGCGTAGGGTCTGGTTCGGGATTATGGGAGATTCAAACTCTAATCAACCGGGGACCGGGGTAGAAGGCGCTTTGGAATCTGTGAAGACCCTGCTATCTCAGTTATTGATCATTCCGCTAGGGGATGTTGAGCACCACGACGAAGCCACCCGACTAGTCTTCTCAAAACTCGATCTTTCATTGGTAGATGAGCTACCGTCCGAGTTTGGCTTCAACACTCATTCCACATTCCATGCCCACGACAACACTTTCTGTAGCAATACGAGCTTTAGTATGAAACACATACAATTACAGTCGAAATCCGTGCCATTCACTTACATCAACAAGTCCCAATCTGCTGTTGAGCACACTGGCACCTTGGACGCCAAATTTGTATTGGACGTGGTCACTACCCTGAGTCCCAAGGACAAAGCCTTGTTTCATATGTTTTCCTCCTTGCCCGTTTACGAGGGAACAAAGCTTGTTGTCACCTCAGCAGACATCAAATTTTATCCAACTAATTCAAACACCTTGCATACGATATGGCCGGTTCTCGAGAAACATTTGATAAACAGTGTGCAACAGCGCGTGACTAGCTGGATGGAAAGTTTCTTTCAAACTTGGTTACCGACTAAACATCATGTCGCTGTAAAGACTCCGAAGCTCACAGTGTCCGCCCTCAACACACCTGCGCAAGCTCAAAAGCTTGCTCAACCATCACGTTTTCCCGAAACTCACGGGACTGCCAGAGATCGCTTCAAGGCGTCTATTCGCGATTTGACTGGCTTGAAAACAGGATCGGTGTTGACACACCTTCAGAACCCACTCTCTGGACCTTCTTCGCCATTGCTGAGCCCTGCTGCAGACGGAGAATCAATCGATGCCAAACGTAAACGAAGACAGTCAATGGCTGATCACCTTACCGACATCTCGAAAGCAGACAGCACATTGCCGCAAAACATACAGCGTCCACCAGTTGCTAGCTCGAATTATCAGGGACCAAGTCAACACGTCCTACCCAACGTCTTTGATGAAGACGACGATGAAATGACGACTGAATATGATACCATGGCCCGAAGCCTTTCAGTATCCGCTGAACGTGACACTACATCTTTATCTACGGTCCTTCGACCCGTCGTGTCCGACAAAGCAGACCTGAATTCAGTACTATCTCATCGAGGTGGAATGCCTTGTTTCCCGACCGGTGAAATGACATATGAAGCATATCAGATGGCAGAGGCTTCTTTGGGAGAACTTGGCTCAAACGGAGGAAATCTCAACCATCGAGAACTCTCCTTAATGGCTCAAAGCTTGTCTGAACTGACCTCGAGAGATACCACCATTCGAGCAACGATTGAAAATCCTCCAACCATCGACAACTTGCATGATGAACAGCACGTTATCGGTCTTGTCAACAATATGACTATGGACAAAGTGACACGGCATTTGAGTGGACTGCCTGACGAGGGTGAGAAGCTGATCACCGATGTAGCTATGCAACACAAGCTAGTCCGCTCAGGCAGCCATCCTCAAGAGCTTACCGACAAGGTGGTGATGGCAGATTTATTGACTGATAAGCTAATGGTTGACAATACTGTAAGTCGACTAGTTTCTTCTAGTATGATGATTTGGTCATATCGCTTACATGTCTCTTTTAGCTTCCGGAGCATCAAGCAACCGGTGATTTGGCGGGCCCTGTCTCTGGACTCGGCGTACCAACCCGACCTGGACTCACTCGTTTGCCAACTAATGAAGTCATACCGATGGGCAAAGTACTCAACAAAATTGCCACTGTCGACACCACACTCCCCGAAAATATAGCTTCGCCGCCCGGCCATGAACCCGTTCTTAGACATCCATCATCGCGCGGAAGTTTTGCTTCGCTCAAGAACGTACATCCAATGAGTAATACCTTGGACAGTACGATCGAAATGGACTTTACTACACCCGAAGGACAATCAGAGATGTATCGGATGTATGACAAAGCGAAGAGTGGTAGCGTCGGTGCAGATCAACAAGTAGTTGGACTGACGGAACAAGAGTTGAAACAGAGAAGACAATCTTTCAAACTCTCTGATGAGGCTATGCGGGATACTACTCTTTTAGAGACAATCCGAAGACCCCCGGTTATTGACTCTAAGGTGGTAGTAACGGCTGAACCCAGTAGCGCGGTAGAAGAATTGCACAAACAGCGAAAGAAAAGTATGAATGCTGGACAAATTGCTTGAAGTGTCCTTGGACTCATTTCAAGACTTTCTGCGGTCAATCGAGGTCATTTTCAAAAAGACTTTGCAATCATGGCGTTATCTCAAGTTCATTTATGTAGGTTTCAGATAAGGTGCTTCATAGTTGTAGCTACCATACAAAGTTGCGAGCCTGCTATGATTGTCTCTTCTCTCTCTTCTCTTTGTTTTTCATCACTTATTTGTTTCAGAAGATGATTATCCAAACCAAAAAAATATCACCTCCAGTCGTGAATCTTAATTCCTCCATACATGTTATAGAAACCTTCAGGGTTTCCTGTTATAGCACTCCTTATGAGGTGTCCTGTTAGAGTATATTCAGTGTATATCATTTCAAAATATATGCAAGATAATCATGTCAACTATATGTTTGTATTGAAAGAAATGCAAGAGAAGCATTGAGATGTTCTGAAACTGATCCCTCAAGTAGTCAATTAACAAGCCAGCCGCACTATCCTCAGTCACGTGCTCTGAGTCTCTATGCGTATGTCATTTGCTTACCCTCTCTATTGGGCCTTGATCTCATACTGCAGTTGGCTTTGTGGTGACCGATGTCATGGTTCTCAAGTGATGTACAAAGGTGGCAAAACAGAGAACAGCAAACTTTAACAGTAACGGTACTCAAAGTAACTAGGTGAAATCTACCTAGTTAGACCTAGTTGAGAAACCTAACTTCAAAAAGTAGGCACCAACCAGAAAAAGTAGGCGAGCACTCTTGTACTGCCGTGCCGGGTGCCCACTTTCAATTTTCTCAGTCATTGAGCCCCATCTGTCACCACACACACCATCTCACGCTCAGCATGTCAGATCAATTGCCACCATCTATTCCGGAAACCCTGTCTCCCGCTTCACCCACAACTGCTTTCCATAACTAAAGCTGGTGTTCCTCATGCCCAGGCTAGAAAGATGGCCAAAGCTTTTACTGACGGTTTGTAGTGAACCCTTCAACTCCTTACCTCATGAATACACGAGATTACACAGGTTATTTTTTATTGTCCCCTCTCAGTACAAACAATTGAAACCACAAAAATTACTCTTTTACCTCATTCACAACAAATAAAAACCAATAAAAAACAATTTTTCACTCTTAATTCTCTCGATTTTGATACCAAAGACACAAAAGACTCTTATAGTCATGTTTTTTATTTTCCTTTTACTCTGAAATGAAAACTATGATGCTTATATGTGGAAAATTTATCTATTTGAGAGTGATTAGTGTGAGTAGGTGTGAGTTATGATCTGAACCGGTGAGAAGTGTGACAATTGGTTGTTTTTTAAATCGATCAATCGTTCAAAATTTGTTATTGTTTTTGTGTATTTCTTGGTATATTTTTGTGAATCTCTGAAATGAAGACTTGAATAAAATTGAATAGAAGCCTGAGGGGAGAGGGATTGAGTCAACTCCCTCTTAAGACAGAGTTGAATCGATCGATCGTTTTGAAAATGATTGATATCTGAGCACGTGTTTCAAGTTGAATTTGATCAGTTGCATTCCAACTATCAGCAAGGGCTTGGGGAATAGAGTGAATGACTTACGATTGGTAAAAACATTTCAGGATTGATCAGGCCCATAAATGTAGAGATGACTGTTTGTGCGGACGAAAGGGCGAGTTCATTCACCTTCACCAAACTTTCATTCCAATGACCTAACAAAACTCAAAAAGAAACATGTTTAACAATAAGGAAGTTGTTCAAAGCCCAAACAAGGGAGTCGATGGAGACCAGTAGGGCTTTGTCGGAGTTATTGATTAAGATTTCCGATGCTGTTTTCATGATGTTGAGGTGGAGGTAGGCATATAAGCCAATGTAAGACGGAGGTTGTGAGGTGGAATAAATGGTAGATAAGACCTTTCCGGAGGCTTGGACTAGATCTACGGCCAGACCTTGCCGGAGGCCAATGCAAGGCATTATGTGACAGAGGCTAAAGATATGGTAAAAGCAGGCACGGGGTCCTCAAAGCTGCCCAGTTGGCAAAAACATACTTTAAAAAAAAATCCCCGCCAAAAGAAAAAAGTAGGTTCTAGGTTTCAAAGTAGTCAGAAACCACCTAGTTACTTTGAGTACCGTTAGTGCACATCTCTTCATCAGGCGTGTGGTCAAAAGACACCTTCATTACTTTTGGCTAGTACATTTTATTCTACTACTGAAAACTAGACAAATCTGTCCAATGGCACGGTAAAACCAAGTCTTCTTCTCTTCAGAACAGGATGTAGATGTACCGGTTTGATTTTATCAAACAGTATGTGATATTTGGAAATTGATGAAGATTGATCTTGTATCACTTCAATGGGTTTTTCATTCACAAACATTACAACCCATTTGAAAAACAAATGGCTTACAGATACACACTTCTATCTGTGTAACCTTTTGAACTTTTTATCTGTATATCTCATCCTATAATCCTTCATCAAATGGGTAAATTGATAAATACTTAACATCCTCTTGTTCTACTGGATTAGATTTATATTCAATTGGTTTTGAGAACAGTGAAAGAGCAAACCTGTTTTCATAATGATGTAGGATAGCTCTTCAGTAATAGGCTTTGATCCAGCAAATTCCGTTTGTTTGGTATTAAATATGTAAACCATTGGTAATGTATGATCTGTTGGATACTATGCATTTGGTTTTTCTCTTCTTTATGGTGAGCTATCTTATCATGGGATGTATCTAGAATTCTAGAATTGGATTCAAGTCTTTACCTTCTGTTTGATTTCTTTTACATCGGGTGCAGATGATATCTTTGCAAATTGAATGGGAATTGACCTTTGATCTCACAAAGAAGGAAATCAGTGTACATGTCATGTTTCCGATCAAGAGTTCCTTGGAGGTTACATTGATTCAATTCTCTTTTGAGGTTGACTTATTTATTTGCTGAGTTGATAAAGCAGGGTCAGACTGAAAGGATGTGTTGTGATTTTCTGAAAACGTCTGGGACCGTGATGTTAAAGTCCATTGTTCCTGGGACCGAGTCCGAGCGACCCTCCATGAAGCAAACCGCCTTTGTGAAAACTGATGATTCCTGAATCCTTAAAACGAACTTCACCTCTTTTGAGTTTCAAGAATTTCATCATCTCCTGTTCATTCAATTCATTCTCACCTTCTTTCTCATTCACTTGATCTATTGACTCGGACATGGATGGGCCTTTTCAATCTGTTTCCGACCCTAATCCATCCGAATCTCCTTCAACTCTGGAAGGTCCATCCTTCAACAGAAACCCTTCTCCTCATCGGTCTCCCTCTCCTCCCGCTATTCGGACTGCTCAAGTGATCGATTTGACTCAAGATCCTGATCCTACACCCTCAACCAGTCGCTATAGGCAATCAAACCGACCCCAAACATCAAGCCACGTCAATCTCACAGCTTCAGATGACGAGGTCCTTTTCACTGGTCAAAATCAAGCCTCTACTTCGAGGTACCGACCTCCTGCAAGACCTCCTCGCAGTCGGGTACCTTCGAATGGGCAAACCGACACTGAACCTCCTCGGCCTCCGAGTTCCTTCATGGGTTAGTTTTCAAAGCTAGATCCCATCTCTATTCATTCCAGACCCTCGATATCAACTACCAGTCTCTCCTCCCTGAGTTGAATCAGGTTAGACAGCCTCTCCTAAACTATCTCCGTCCTTTACTCATGTTCAATTCAATCTTACCCTAGAAAACGTAGCAAACCTCACTGCCGGAATACATGCAGGATTGTTTTCTTTTCATCCGACACCCGCACCCAATTCACCTCCAGCTCAAGGCCCGTCTACCATCGTCATCCGAGACTCGCCTCCACTACAGGTGAGACGAAATCCGACCTCGAATGGAACCTTTGGGGGCGGCGGAATACTTTCAGGTGGTTTCTTTAGTGGGATCGCCACATCGGGGATGCACCACTTCCGTGAATGGGCTCGATCAAGCGGACTCCCATCTGAGCCCAATGACACCATCGAAGGACTCTTCCTGAATCTCACTGGTCCCAATCGTCGACATCCTGCAAACGTCAGGGGAGACCCGGCTCGATTGTTTGCCTGGTTTGACTTGAGAGCCTCCCAAGCCAATCCTACTGCTAGTTCGTCATATGCCGAACTTGATTCTCATCCTCTTCGAATCAAGTCCGGTTTCTCGAAGAATATCATTCCACTCGATCGAGAATTCTTGACACTCGATTCCGATTCTCAAACCATCAATCCGACCAAACAAGATTCAAAACCAGTGTGTGCAAGTTGTGATGACCCCTTACTAATTGGTCAAGAGTCTTGTAGTCATGCAGGGGGCGAAGGGAGAAGGCCTTGGATTTTGGCTTGTGGACATGTGGTCGATTCAAAATGCTTAGAAGGCGCTCGACAACGATTACGAGATGTGCGCAGTTTGAAAACCGAAGCTGCTAGAGCTAAGCGTGCTACAAGGGGTCGAGGTCGGGGTCGTGGCAAACGCCCCTTGAGCTCCTTACACCACCACGAAGCCAGTGCCGATGATCAAGCCTCGAATACCACAGACACCTTTTCATTGAAGAGTCCGACTACTGCCACTTCAAAACGAGCTAGATTAGAATCTCTGACCCCCAAGAAGACTGGTACTGGTCAATCAAGCTCAAACTCACAGACAGATTGTAATTCGATGAGAGCCCATCGAGCAGCTGCAAGAGAAGCTCGTAGATCAATGGATTCGACCTCAGCATCACCTCAAATTACAAATTTAGCTCTTCAACATGAGAAAGAAGAGAGTGTACTAGAAGAAATATTGAAGTCGGACAAAGGAAAAGCAAAAGCAAAAGAACCGCTTGAAGAGCCACATCAAGCAGAAGCTGAATTACCCTCAAGTTTGACTTGGTTGGAATGTCCAGTGAAGAGTTGTATGGGCCCTAAAGGCAATGTACTTGCTCCTAAAGGAAGCAAGACAGCGCCATGGGAGATGTTTGTGTAAAGTTTGATTTAGATTACCAATCTTCTGCTTGCTATGGGTTTAAGAGTTGCTTCACCGGTGTGTTGCTTGCATGTGATTTCTTTCATTTTGTCTGTATCTTGTGTGATTGTGTTTTAAGGAGCTTTTTGTGATTTTATCTGTGCTCAAAATATCAATAATTACATTGTCGTGTGCATATGTATGTTCTAATCAATATCTTCCCTGCTGCTGGGTCTTGACGATTGTTATAGATTTAGTATTTTAGCTCATCTGAAGTTTGAATTTGAGGAACCCCGCGGATTGTTGCTTTTGGAAATGGACTGAAGACAATATCATTAAACATTGCATATATCACATCAGGGATTGTGAGGTTTTTTTACATACAGTCGCTAAAGCCAGATTCCAACTACCCCTTGCCGGCAAAATCGAAATTTCAACTTCGACCCGGTGTTACCCTAACTCAATTCTACACTACACTCTATACCAGGACATTTATGGAATGGGCTGAATGAGCTCAATCTGAAAATGTGAAAAGAAATCAAAAAAGTTGAACGGTTCAAAAGTTAATAATTTTTTTTTACTAAAATTCCCACATTTTGGGACCTAAGCATATATTTAGGCTGTATTATGCTAATAAACGTAGTACCTTAGCCACCTAAGTACTTAGGCCCGCTAGCTTAAGTACTTAATAGCTCTAGTCATAACAAAAGGTTGGCCACAAAATCAGATCAATTACCACCTTGAACACTGATTTTGACTAGTTGAAAGTCTGTTGAGCCTCATAGACTCTCCTTTGAGCCCTGAAAGCTATAATTCTGGTATGGTTCTTGAAGATTTGAAGATGCTAAAAAACTATTTTTTTGGAAATTCAAACCCCCAAAATTGGGACCAGGGCCGGCCCCGGGTCGAAAGGGTAGCTGAATTCAGCCTTTAGCGACTGTACCTAAATTGCTTGAGAGTAGACATATATTGAACTCATGGAAAGGCATATGTGGCCCACACAGCCCTTAACTATTATAGTTGAAACTCAACAGAGACAGTTCAGTATGGAGAATGATTTCCAGGGATCTAAAATTACAAATGCTCATGATCTTCCCCACTAGGTCAAACCTATCCATTCTAAGTCTTTAAAGAAAAGCAGGTATGGAAAGATATGTGTCATTATCAAGCATCCCTTGGATGTTGATTTACATCTTGTGCCTTATCTTTTCTTCTCTTACTTGTTGACCTGTAACAACTTAAGTTAACAACACACATTGACATATTTACGGTACTCAAAGTTGTGTATACTTTGCTGTGCATAGTTTTCTTTTCTTTTTTCACAAATTCACACAACCAGGGAAAACTATGTTTTTGGCTTAAAAGTACATATCTTTGAGCTTCAATCAAGAAACATACTTTTTCCAAGTTGTTTGTAGTTGCGAAAAAACACAAAAAAACTATGCACAGCAAAGTATACACAACTTTGAGTACCGTAATTGTACATCTGCTTTTCAAAGACAGCATTGATTCATATTCACAACTTGAGACATCAACTCCACTCACACCATGTCAATATCCTTGTAGCATCTCAATGTGCACACACAAAGATATGAGAAAAGAAAGTAGATGATTTTTTGCTTTTGGTGAGATGGGTGGAATAGAATACTGGCCTAAGCATCTGGTTGCTGAAAGAAAATCAGCAGGAAATGTTTCCTGAATTGGTAGTTAGATATGCCAAGGAAAGTACAACATGGCCTTTGTATTTCTTCAACATTTAGGTTCCTGGTCAAAGCTGAAGTTTAAAGTGTAAGTTTTGAGTTGCTCATATACCTTGTTTAGCCATATCAATCCTGATTTATTTTCTTTGAAATTAAAGATTCAATGAAACTTTTCAGGATTAACAGCACAGCAACAGCACCTATGAGCTTCAAAGAGCTAAAACAATAAACTGGTCTGTGCTCAGAGAAGAGGATTGAGATGAGTTTAAATATAAAAAAACATCCAAAATTTCTCAGTCTATACCTATTTACAACATCCCACCAACCATATTGTCTCAAAAAACATAAGCAATGGACCCTGTTCTTTGACATCCAGGTAAGATTAATTTGACAAGAAAGCTTTCATGGGTAGAAGTGAATGAGAAAATCTTTTCTATGTCTCTCTGAGATATCCACCTCTCAACATCTAATACACATAGATAATTACATGGTACTCTTCTCCAGCTTTTGTCCCAAGGAAAAGGATCTTCAGAGATAACTTGGTTGCTTGACTGACTTTAGTCTTTATCTTAGTCTGTGCTAAAGTTGAAAAATGTGTTTTTTTGCAGTGAGAGCCTGTGTGTGTCAAATTTGCCATCCATCTTGCACATACAAAAAGAGCAAAGTATGTGAAACACCAAAATTCAAGTGTACCTTGAAATGATACATGTGGTTCAATGTGATTACATAGAGTTTCAACAAATACTTTTTGCCCAGCTCAAAAAGAAGTAAAGTATATTTTTGACTGAGGTATCCCAGATAGTGTATCAGTGTGATACATATCTTCATGTTTTTTCTGTATTCAACTGCCAAGCAGTATGTGAATAAACATACTGGGAAGGATGTGGAGATATTGAGGGCAAACAAAATTGGGACAGATGTAACTTTTTGCTTCCAAAATTTTGCTTTCAGATAAATTATGCCATTACATACAAGAAGGAAAAAGTTTCAAGGATCCATGGTGCATGAACATGTGAGACATTCATTATGTATCATTTTATGGTCAGCTTATTTTCCACCCATTATTGTATTTCAACTTATGAATCTAAGAGCATCCACAGCCAGGTGGCATAAACTGCATCACACAGAAATTTAGGGCAAAATCTTCGACAGCCATTGCCTTACATTTTAACATAGCCAAGGGATTTCCCACTGTGCAAACCAAAATAGAAGAAATTTGTTGTATTTCAGCCTGTGAGATGTTCACTTAGAACTTATAGCCTTCGAAGTGGGGCAGAGCCGTATGGAAAAATTCCTGGGGTAATCAGGTGACAGTTGAGCACTACGGCAACAAGCCAACTCAGCTTCGAAAGCTAAAAGAAACACACCTGGGGTAATCAGGTGACAGATGAGCACTACGGCAACAAGCCAACTCAGCTTCGAAAGCTAAAAGAAACACACCTGTGCTTATTGCAACAGGGATACGTTGACAGTAGACGTGGTCGGAAAACAGTGAGTAAGAGTAAAGAGAAACGTTTCTTTCCGATCATAAATATTTCTACTAACCTGGGGTAATCAGGTGACAGATGGGCACTACGGCAACAAGCCAACTCAGCTTCGAAAGCTAAAAGAAACACACCTAATCACACACATGAAGGTTAGTAAAAGAAGATAAAGAGAAATATGAGAAAGTTAAAACAGACCTGTGCTTATTGCAACAGGGATACGTCGACAGTAGACGTGGTCGGAAAACAGTGAGTAAGAGTAGAAAAACGACCACTAGTTAGATTTGTAGATAACGTATAAAAAAGAAGAAGTATAACGACTCACCGTTTCTTTCTGATGAGGAAAGAAACAGAAGAGAGAGAGAGAGCATTGGTATATAAAAGACAACAACATTTGTTCAGGCTCGGACATATACAATTAAAAACACGCAGGACACATATGTCCTATTCCCAATAAGTCAAATCCATCCATCACTCTATCACGTACACACCAATTCATAACATCTCATTTCATATTCATTCGTACGCTTCTTTTCCACACGTAAGATGTTTGTAAGTTAATTTTTGCTAAAATTGACAGACAACTCGAAGTACGTTAAGTTATGTACTTCTTTTTGCAAATAGACCTACGGGGATAGAATACCACGACAGCCTGCTCCCTAAATTCATATGTACCTTGCTTCCCCTGTAATATTGATTGAAACAATCACACCCAGCACCAAACAAACACTTCAATGATCAACAAAGCCATGGAACTGATGTGAGAATGTGCTTACAAGCCAAGTGCAGGTGTGGATCACCTGAATTTTATACCTCAAACACTTCCCTAACTCTCCATGCAAACAATCCATATGGCAAGAAATTAGGGCATGGCTGGGGCTGCTCTAACAACTTGTGGTATGCAGCAAGATATTGAATAGGGAATGAGACCAAGTAAAAGAAAATCACATGTTTAACTTCTAGGGTCCATATCAGACTACTACCACAACAAAGATGTCAGCTATGCAGAATGAGCCACTCAAAGATCAATTGGTCTGTGTGAGATAAATGAGGCTAAGAGAGCCGTGATCAATACCTGCAGTGCTCAACAAAGACACCACGTCGGATAAAAACATGCGGGGGGCTTGCCAGTGGAACATTGATCATTCAACTGTCGTTCGAGTGAGCCATTCACGAACAACCTGACATAGTGTTGAATAACTACCATTCCAAAAATGATCTGTCTTGGCTTCAAATGTACTTAAGTGATTTTTTTGGAGGATTGCGGGGGAGATATCGCTCTTCAGACGATCTAGCCACTTCCGATACGCCTTTTGGGATGTGAACTGATCCGAGTCGCCGTAGATGATAAGGAGTTCCTCATCAGATCCCGTAAGCTGAGCTTGAAGGGCCTTTTCAAAGTGTGAAGCGTTGAAGGATGTAAGAGCCCATATATAAGAGACAGGGTAAGAGATCAAGAGCAAGGGTGTCTTCAATCTTGGGGCATCAGCTGGAAGGAGGATCGGAGTTGAAGCCGAAGCGACTAGTGCGCCATGGGAGTAGCCCTATGTTTCAGCAACCTCATATTAGTCTCTTTGGACAAAATCAATGATTTCGACTTCGCGCCCCCATGTCAGAGGAATTGAGACTGAGGGTTGGGGGAGGAGATACAAGATGGCGCACACCGCGAAGAAGCGTCCAATTCCTCGACCCCGTACCTGAATCTAGGGAGCGCGAGATGGATCGAAGAATCATTGGCTTCAAGAGCTGATCGAGGATGGCCTGAAAGTCTCTGCCTTCTGGCAAACTTCTATACATGTTCAGTCACGTGAATGATGACATGACTCAGATACATGCGGTTAAAGTAATCAAAACATCAACCAACACCCACGTCCAACTCGCTCGACCCGTGCTACTTCCTATTCCTCTGGCGTCGAACAGTACCACCATCCAGTTCAGGCTCGCCAGATGAAAAGCAAGTCGCCTGATGACAGGATCACGAGAGCTTCCCCCCAGTCGTCCATAGGGGTGCGCCAGAAGCGCGAACCGGGTGATATGCTCAGCTGCAAGGGCAGGATCATCGAAGTTTGATGTGCGAATGTTATCAGGCTGCTGATCCTCTGATATCCAGATTTTTACCGACAGTTTCACCGCAGAATTGGAAACCTCGGCTGATGGGGTGAACGTAGATCGAAACTTTTTGACCCGGCGTGGATGCGTTCCTGTAGAATAAGACTGCATGACTATGACTTACTGATATTGATAATGTGGATTGGATTTCATCTCAGTATTATTGATTTGATTTGTCTGTGATGAGGATGCATCAGGCTCTCCAGTGCCAAACTTTTAGCTTGACAATGAGCGGCTAAGACCCGGTCCGTATCAAAGGATCGGACCGGGACCGGCTCAATGTTTGAAACTGAGAGAATGTTTGGCCAGCGCTGAGCTCAACTTATCCCGACACTTCACTCGCATCAGAACTTAGCTTTGCAAATACCAACCTGATTGTTCAGCTGCAATTCGTCTTACTATATGGAAGAAGATAGTGACTTGAGTAACCCCAACAACGGGTCTCTCGACGGTTCGGCTTCGCAAAAAGATGAATTGATTAGGTACATATCTCACTTCGGGCTCCACTCCATTCACATTTCATCCGACTAAAAATGTTTCATTTTTGATCTTCTCGGTTTTATAGAGAGATCAACAGTTTACAAGGCAGCTTTCAAGGTCAGCTTCCCTCCCAATAGGTGTATCCCAAATCTGACTATCGACAATGCCTCCCATGATTTTAGAACTCTCGGAGCGGGTTGACAAGGTGCAGGCTGAATGTGACCGGAAAAAAGCCGATAATGAGACTCTTCAGACCTACGTCAACAACCTAACTCGGCAGAAGTAAGAAATTATATTGAATCACAATAGTCTTTCTTCCTATTATCATGATCCCGGATTGCTGATGGTGTGTTCTATGTTCGTCAGCATGCTCATTACCAGCGCTAAATAGGTACTGATCGATAATCATGAAGCGCAAATTGACATTTCACGCCCTGTAGAAAGAGGATACGCACGGCATATTGCTCTGGTTACTCATCGCTGATCTCTACCTTACGGTCACCGCTTGGACTGCTCGCATCATTTCCCGACAGGATCTACCGCTATTGCGTGGTCGATGTCTCTTGGCGTTGTTTACCCCTTGCCCATCACCTTCGAACCTGTGCTCTGTCGCTCAAGGCCCGGGCGTCTCATCACGCGGCCTGGAATAGGACCGGAGTTTGCTTGGGTACGATTGTCCAGGAGTTCGTGAAATCGGTTTTTCTCTCTTGAACTCGGTTATCAACGCCCAATCAGGCTTTTCGGAGCAACTTTCACTCCGCCAACTCGCAAGGTCAACTACACGTGTTCAATATATAAACTGGATACTGAGTGGGGGTCAGCTACCCCATACTAAGTGGAAGCACACCACGCATCTGCCTCACCTATGTGATAAATTCGGGTTGCTCATTCACTTCCTGCACTGCAATGTACCTATTGTAGAAGGTTTTCCAGGCTACTGACATATGTCTAATAGCTCCAATGAACGGGTTTTGATACGTGTTTGATGCAGCAAAAGAAGCGGAAACAACGATAGAAGAGTAGGAAAACAAATCATATGTCCTTCTGACGTTCCACACAGTCTGTTATGCCCTGCCATACCTGTTTAAATAACAATCTTGAGGAATGATCAGCTGGGGAACGGTCAATTCAAGAGTACCAAGATCAAACTTCAAGGAATCTAATCCTTCCTAAAGATTCCAAATCTAAGATCATACGGTTGCAACTACCGGCTGCAACTCCACAAGCTGATACAAACTGAGCTAAATTGATGATCCTCGGCCCCTCATCTTCGCTCATCTCACTGGTGCCTCATCTCGTGCTTCATGTCCTTGACCAACCTCTATCTTGTACAATCGAGGTTCACTCTCTTTCGGCCCTAAGCTTTCAGATTTGGTGGCAATAGCCTACATTTACTTTGTCCCATGTTTAGACGCTCATGTGGCGGCGTGAAACAAGCGCCGTGAGAGTTTAGTGAGTCAGGGGGTTCACTCTAATAAATCTTGTTGCGTTGAAGTGAGCTTCGTCTCATACGATCATCATGATGAGTTGGACTGAATGATACGCTGAAAGGCTGCTCATTTTCCTTCATAGAGGTTACGTAAAATATTCGCAAGTTAATGTCAAAATTGAACTAGGTAGTCTTGAAATATTGATCGAAAGACCAGGCTTACCTCGCGTGCCCCAATTCTCACCCTTTCCCGAATGTTTCGTGTGCATGCTTCTGAGCTATCAAACAAGCTACCGTTTCCGATCCGTGACAAAACATCGCCGCTCTGATAGATCTCCGACGATTACAAAAAAAGGGAGATCTTGCGGAACCTCGAAACCTTGTGATATCGCTTCCGCTCCTAATTAGTGACCCGGAGGGTATCGTATCGTTCCAGTGACTGTTCCAAAATTATGGTGGGTCAATCTTGGTGTCTTGGCCCAGACGATGCTTCCAACCCCCGGTGAAGGAATATATACAACTTCCCTTGCTCCCTGCATGTACCACTTGCGAGACTTATGCTATAACTTCAGGACTTGATGTGGTGTCAACCAGTGGTGGGACAGATCTTTCTAGATCAACTGCAACATCCTTTTACGGTTATAATGATTCCCATTCCGTCCTCAAAATACTTCCTGTCGCCCTTTGACCCAGTGTTTGATCTTCAAGATGCTTTTTTGGAACATCCTCTCTTTTTGCGTATACCTTTCTTTGCTTCGATATAACCAGGCGACCCTAGAAATCCAAATTAATTCTCCACACCACGGAATACAGGATGTTCCGCAATCACATCAGGATGACTCCAGGAATTCGATTGGTCCTGAAAATCGCCTCCTAAAGAGGGACTTCTTGCATTTCGACAGTGAAATGAGACACGTTATATCTCCACAGCCCTTCCACCCGGAAGCTTTTGAACCGACAGTAAATGGCCTGTGAGCACCTTGAGCGTTTTTTCCTTCCCGATGAATGCAGGCGGAACAACTTATCACATATCAAATTTGCTTGACGCCTGATGAAAAAATTGCGTTTTCTGCATTGTGGAAGTGATGGACAGCGGTTCTCAAACAGCCAACACTCCGGAACAGGAGCATCAGACTTGCACTTAGAACATGCCCTTTCTCCCACAACAGAAGAATGGATGTCCTTGCTATTGCAAACGGATGAGCCTTCCCCACATTCTACTCCTCCTGCCCAAACCGCAACATCTCATGCATCTCCGTCAAGATTACAAAGCAGCAATTCTATAGCCAGTCCAGAACTCATGATAACCCCCCCAACACTCAAGAGAAAATTTCCTTTCGCAATCCCAGTGAACGATGACGGTTCAGAACTTGTACGACATCCGGGTCAGAAACATCAGGATTTCGCTAGAAAGATAACCGACGCTTTCATTCAATCTGAGGCTTCTAGTTACGACATGAAATCTATCGCACAGGCTTACTTCAGAGCTCAGGAACGTGAAGATGTCAATCCAGAAAATCGCCTGCCTGGCAATTTCTTTGGAGAAGCTTTTGTACACTCTGCTGATGATCCCCCACGCTTAAAGAGAGCGCTAGGCGAGGCAAACATCGATATGATGATTTTCTACGCGCCGGAAGATTTCCACGGGCTGATGGACACATGGACGAAGCAAGGCTTGAATAGTGACGGGGATTTCTTTGAAGACCTCAAAAATGAAGTTGAAGACGACTTCGCCCGTGGAATATACTCTGAACCACTCGTGAACGAGGCATTATCACTTTCTCAATTCATCGGCGATGTGAAGAAACGGTTGAGCAGACATGTTCCTTTGACCTACAACTATGAAGTAATGATCGAAATGGCAAAAGCAACCGAGTTCTGGTCTTCCACCAGAATCTTTACCGAAAGTGAAGCTCTCGACGCCTTAGAAAAACTCAATCAACTACTTCGCAGCGATCCTCTCACTTATTTTATTGCCGAGAATTGGCTCAATGAATTCTCCGTCCCCCGAGGTCGCTGGAGTTTGAAGATAAAACATCTGAAAGAGCTCGAAACAAAGGCTTCTGATAGGATATTGCAAGCCATTGCCTACTCTACGGACATCTCGCCGCGAGGAGTAGCAGGCGACGAGACTTTCAATGCAGCTATGTTGGCAGGATTTAATGCAAAAAATGCGTGGAAACAGCTGGCTAAACTACCACAGAAATCACCATTCAGATCACAGCTGTTGAAGGCCTTGAATGAGTGGGACTTGTTGACGACAGGTAAATTGATATCATTGAAGAATAAGGTTTTTCTTGATGCAGCTGTAAAATACCATTCGACAGTAGTGACTCTGAAAGCTTTTCGCAGGAAGGACATCACTGGAGCAGACTTGGCTTTATCTACATGGGTCGCGCTTCACAACACTGATCTTTCCAGGGATACCATAGAGAAGACTTTAGAGAAACAGGTCCCAAATTTATCCCAGGCCAACAGATTATTACAGCAAGGGGCATCTGCCAGACTCCAACTTCAAAGCTTAGTGGCCATCGTATTCCCTTGGGCGTATGAGCGCTATTATGCGTTGCCTACGATGGGTCATGAAAATGATTTCTCTGTGGCAGCTTCGACATTTTTGATAATGAGAAAGCGACTCAACAACGTCTTAAGATTTTCTCCTGAAGAAAAGATTAAATTCAAAACCGAGCTAATAGAATTTCTCGGTACTGAAAATTATGACCAAAGGATGAAACAGATTATTCAAATCTCAGATGAAATAAGACATGCTATCAACATGAGAAATATGCAAAATTTAGCCGCACAAGAAGGACTCGAAGTGGCATCACGTAAGCATTGGTATCATTACCTAAAGCATTTAAATAGACTTCATCAACAGCGTCCTGAAACCTTTGAGCGGCTAGGAGAACTTTATAGAAGCTTTTCAGAGGTCACAAAAAATCGGATGCCTCCATTCTCAATGAATCAGTTCTATACTTATATCAACCATTGTGCATATCTGTATATTGAGGAATTATTTCATTCCGGAATTTCACTCGAGACTGCTGCAGAACTAACAGCCGCGAATTGGAACCTATTCAAAGCCATCGAGGATGCAAATGAGCACATCTTATCCGTCATCCAAGCACGATTCCCACCGGAGTCAGATGCGAAGGCAGTTTATGTACTAACGCAAGGTATACGAAGAAAGGCTGCTGAAAACTACGAAGGACTCTTGCGCTGGAGAGAAAAGTATAACGTCTTAACTCAAACGATGTCAAAAGACTTTGTGAAGTATATTCAAGAAATTGATTCTGAAGTGATATCGATTTCTGATGTCGATTTCGAAGAAAAGGGATACCCAGGTTATCCTATAATAACTGCAAAGGTACACAAAGCTCCGCCGCATTTCCAATTGACAAGAATGGTACAAAACACTCTGGGACCGAACTTCTTTTCCAACAGAAAATATCTCCTCATGCACCGTCGCAATAATAGCAAGAACTAGATCACAGAATACTGAAATTGTGCAATCCCACAATTGAGTGGTATAAGTATAGTTGTATCTCTTGTCTTGGGTGTAATCGAAAATATAGCCACAACTTAACTATTCTTTTATTTCAAAAATCATAATAATCCATTCTGATAATATCCAAAATTACTTCATGTCGTCTCTATTCTCTTGCGATTAGACTTGACCTCAATGCAACAACATATCAATGACGTGCACGCATACCCTTGCTTTTTCGATGTATCAATATCCCCATGAGTTTTGTACCTAAACATCAAATAAGAGTCTAGCTATTGACATGAGTAAACGTCATATGGGTAAGTGTTGCTCTGCTTTAGAGTTATTTAGGCTTTAGGCATCTCTCAAAAATAATGTGTCATTAAAGGCATCTAATAATTTTTGCCTGTTTCACATCGAAATATGTACCCACCCAGGTCTTTTTGCGACTGTGTCCATGCGGGACATCTTTCTTTGAGAAATTCTTGTGCCAAACATTCAAAGTAAACAGTGACTTTGTGTACTCAAAAGAGATCATGATCCGAGGATAATTCAGGTTTCACAGCTTGAGTTTAATCAAGCCGATAATATCAAAGATATAACAATGTGATAGTCCAATAAGAAGCTTAATGTTCGATCTAGGATGTCTTTCGCTGCTTTTTCAGCACTTATTCAGAAAGTGAGATGTGACGCAGAAGCAGGACTGGCTACCTTTTTGTTCATTGCTCCTAGTAGCAAAACATGAAAAAGGTCTTTCGACAAAATTGCAGCCGAGTACAATGTTTCTGTACTCTGCTTGTACAATGTACCCACAAGGCTGCAACGGGCACGGCAGATTTGTTCCTACTGACATAGGCTGTTCAGAGCTAGTCTTTGAGAGATTCAAGGGAAATTCAAAGGAGACTCTTTCTCAACTGGCACGGGGAGTTGATGAGGTTAGGCACAAGTTGGGAACAGTTCTCGCAAAGGAGAACAAATCATAGAGCTTAGGACTTGTGGGACAGCCACAGTACAATTTCAAACTACTACACTACTCAGTACAAAGATGAAATCCCAAAGTTCATTTGTGTTCAACCATGCTTCCAAAATGCAATATCTCCATCTTGCATCTCATAAGGTTTCCCTTGTTGTCGATACTTTCCAGCAGCCTTGACAGCTGTTTCTGATCCATGTTCTTTCAGATCATCGTATGCCATGATCTGTAACGAAAAAAGTCAGAGAGGAGAAAACATTTGAGAAGTTAAAAACTCTGCAACTCACCTCACCACAAACAAACTTGTTTTCAAAGTCAGAGTGAATCACACCCGCTGCCTGGGGTGCTTTGGTACCTTTCCGAATTGTCCATGCTCGGACCTCAGTAGGACCCGTTGTGAAGTAACGGATAAGATGAAGACTAGCATAACCAGCGGTGGTGATCTTGCCGAGAGCAGAGGTAGTTCCGAGTTTGGTCAGTTCTTCTTTCCGCTCTGGAACCTCGTCATCAACACCCATTTGCAGTAAACGTTCCTCCAACGAGACGGAAAAGGGAATCAGGAGATCGCCGGGGTTGTTGGTGTCGATCCAGGCTTTGATTTTCGCTAGCCACTTGTTCTTCTTGCGAATGTAATCAGTTTCAGATAAGTTGATGAGATAGGTGACTGGCTTGGCGGTGAGCAGTTGCAAAGAATTGATGACATCGATCTGGATTGAAGGGAACACAGACATCAATACTTGAGACAAGGATGATTGAAGATATGGACGATTATGACAGGTCCAAAGTCAGATTGATACTGTTTTTCTCAGACGTGGTGAATACCACTCGATGAGCTGGGTATAGATTATCGGGCGTTCAAATACGTGATAGCCGCCCTTGTTCATCATTTGAGGACATGTCATAAATCAGAGGAAACCGAGCTTACTTCTTTGTTAGACCAATCTCCTTTCCGAACGTCACGACCTTCATCTTTGAGCCACGCGAGCACTTTACCAGTGATATCAATCTCTTCCTTCTTGGCCTTATCAGCGAGATTAGCTGTACCGGTACCACGGAAAGCTTTCTTGATCGTCTCATAGTGTTTCTCGACCCACTCAATGTCTTTCAACTTGAGTTCAGTAGAGATGATTTCCATATCTCGGATAGGATTCACATCACCTTCCACATGGATAACTTCGGCATCATCAAAAGCTCGAACAACTTGAAAGATTCCATCGACGGCTCGGACATGTGAAAGGAAAGCATTGCCGAGACCAGCCCCTGTAGATGCACCAGCGGTAAGACCAGCGATATCAATACAGGTGAGAAAGGCGGGTATCTTGTTGGCAGGTTTGTAAACACTGCAGAGCCAGTCGAATCGTTGATCAGGGACCGGGACCCGTGCTTCTTCAGGATCAATTGTAGCACTGTCAATCGGAAACGAAGTTAGTTCTGGTTAAAGCGCGTCTTCGGCAGGAGAAAAGTTGTGTTGACTCACTAAGGGAAGTTGGCACTCTTGCCCAGATCTGAGAAAAGATAAGCCACCAAGGAACAAAATGAGGTGAGCCTGGAGTCAAAGAGTGGAAAGAAATGAAAAACACTGATAGATATGAAGACGTGGCGCACCTACCACACTTGGCGATGACGTTGAAAAGACTACTCTTTCCTACGTTGGGCATACCAACGATACCAATCTTGAGATTGTTCGATGGCCGACCAAGTAGGGCCTTCTTCTCTACTACTGTCTTTTTGGGTGGCATTCTTTTCTTGATGAAATGAGCAGAAGTGGATGAGAAGAGTGACAGAGATGAGGTAGTGAAATGGCGAGGCTGATTTGGGTAAGAAAGGAAAGTCTGAGGAGTAAGTGATGATCTGATGAAAGTTTTGAGGAGAAATGGAGGTATGGTAGGTTGAGTTAGTGCACCGATCGATGTCAGTCTGAGAGTGAGAGAGGTTGGCATTACATAGTTTTTTAAATTCGGACCGAGAAGAGTCCGATCGGGCGATAGAAATTATCTCATGGCGAGACTGGTTGCAGGAGGAAGGGCTAGCTTGTGGGCATTTTGTCGATTTATCTATACCTGAGGTTAGGGTTTACTTCCAGAAGACTGGGCTTAAATTTGCAAGTCTCATTATTCTGGGTGATGCGTCGCACAAACGCTTCTTTGCTTGCCCTACGAATGCCGGTGGCACGAGATACGCCTCATTGGGATCGCCTGTGTCAAAGGGATGGGCTTGGGTGTGTTGAATGTTAATTGGTTCAGTCTTGGAGAGTCTTGGTATATTTCGCAGTGTGCTTGAACATGGTGCAGCAAATGTTTGTACTTTGAGGTTTCATGCTCGACTTCCTACAAAATGACACAGTGCTTGGGTTCAGTATGATTTCTCTTGGGTAGATTTTGTCGCCGTCTATGGAGTGGTAACAAATTCTCACAATCAGCATCTCCCCGCCTGAATTCTTTCCACATTTCACGAGACAGCACCCTCAAGAAAAACATGAGAGCAAAGGTTTCCAACTCTTATTTTCTTCTATGAATTTGCCAGTGACTCTTCCAGCCAACCATCCTTCAGTACATTTAAACCTTCCTTAAGTTACTGCTGGTGTCAGATTTTTGGTATTTGCATGTGATGAAAATAATCGTTAGAATATCTGAAGGTGCTCAGAGAGAAGCACCCAAAATATGGCACTAGGCACCTGAATTGCATCTGCCTATATTCCTGTTGAGCTCACAAGTATGAGATACTATTACCAGATTGAGTATCTTACCAGATTGAGCATCTGGTGCAAGATCATTTGGGCCCTAGGTATTTGAAAAGTGGTGATCACAAGGTTTGCTAATATACCAAGTGTTGGGCTTGCAAAAGAAACACCTTTCAGCACTTTGCTTCTCCCTTGGAGATGAGTGTGGACCTGGTAAATAGATCATCACCTTCAAATTGGGTCAGATGAGATAAGTCCTTCTCTACATTGCCCATAAAAATTGTTGGTATATTACTGCTAATAGAGCCATGAGGTTGAATGGTGAACATAAATTCCATGCTTGTAATCTCTGACATCTGAGACTGGAAGCAATCATGAGTCAGCAAAATTGAGCCATGGCCCATCACCCACAAACTAGACCAAGACTTCATTGTCAATTTTCAATGAATCAGCCTCTACATACTCAATCAAGAGGTATTGTGATATTTTGCTAGACGAGATTGATGCACTTGAAATGCGGGTTGCTCTTTGAGGTTGGCAAAGTTTACAAGGACATATATCAGCCTGATTCTCTCTCCAAAAGTCATAAGTAATGGGTTGATTATTAAAGTTGGCCAGAAATGTCAAAAATATGATTTACTTTGGCCTCCCTGCCCTTCAAAAAGAGATATTCAAAAGAATCACGAGGAATGTGCTTCTCCGGTGGGGCTTTCTCCGCGTATTTTTAAAAAGGATTCAGTAACATTTGATTTTTCATCTTAGAGTGGAGACAGTTGTGCTTCACGCATTTTGACAACTTGAACATCCCTCATTGGAGGCTCATGATCTGGGGTGTGTTCTGCCAACAGACTAGCCTCGGTGCCATTCGGATGCAGTGCAAAAAAATCAGAACACCTATTCTGATCCCGACTCTTCCAGTGTCTGCTCTTTTTGACTCATCGAGAGACGGTAATGAGTAGGAAGTTGAACCCAAAATTCCATAAGAAAATGTCCAATCGATACCAAGTCCGATTTAGAAAACAGGACGCGAAGTTTCAGACGGGATACAAACAGTCTTGCTCACATCTGTCGGATTGTTTGACGCAGCTAGCTTTTGGTTTGACCTTCATGAGTTCCGAGTCCACATAGGTGAATCGCTCGTACAGCACACGAACATCCAAAATCAATGAAAGCCGCACAAGTTCAACCTTGATAAAAGTCACTTAGGCAAAATATGTTGTACTGATTCACGCTGTTGATCCAAGTTGATGCGATCCGAGTGTTGGTTGACCGTACATGTTACTTGTTACGATAATCGATCAGCCTGTTAGCGGATGACGCATTAACCAAACGTTTGTTCAGACTCAGACTCAGATGTGACAAGTTCGCCTTTGTCTGAACCGCTGCGTATGGATCAGTTCAAGGGGGTGTCCAGTCGAAAACCTTTGATAATTCCCTTCCACAGCTCATGTATATCTAATTGATTGAAACGATCTCTGCTGTGAAGCGCAAACATCTGAATACTCGCCCCCTTTTCGCTCAATTTAACGTATGGTATTAGTATTTCCTTTCCGAACAATGAGCACGTCGACACGTAAGGAAATGACTGCTGTTTCTTCATCATAACGCTCAATGGATACTCAGGACAATGGATAAACGGTACTTGGTTTTCATATATATATCACTGGGAATCGAATATCTCTTTCTCATCGATCTCTATAGCCTCCTGCTCTCCAACTTCTTCTAAAACACAATCAACTTATTGATACCTTCATCAAGCATGCCGAAACTACAATTTGTGACTCTTAATCTCATAGGACGTGATGGGAAAATCATACCCGAGAAGCGACAAAAACCAACACAATCTTGGTCGAGCATGAGTGTCACTTGCGATGTACCAGGTGGAAGTTTCTTCGGTATCAGATTATCATCAACCCCATTACCTTTTGATGTAGTGGTGAAAGTATGGTTGGATGGGTTCTTTGCCGCTGGACGGTGTTTTCTTGCTGGAGACTCGCAGCCAATTATCGAGTATGACATCTCTCACATCCAAAATAGCTCAAAGTTGACCGGTAGTAGGTTTCGGATGTTGGATTACGAGGATCCAAGGGAATACTGTAAGTCAAGTCTTAATCTTAAAATCAGCTCGACAGCCTATCAGCAAACAAAACTAATTATTTTGATTAGGTGAAGTCCAGGTGACAATTCACAGGTGCTGCATAGGAGAGAAGTACGCATCTGATCTCACAAGCCAACATGACGAAAATCTCAATCAAGAATCTCTTCCTCCTTCACCTACATCATCACGGTAAGTTTTCCATCTTACCCGCCAATTTGACTTGATATCTGTACTGATGATATGCCTCAAACAGTGGAAGTTCTTTTGCACGGCGCGGGTGTCTTAATCAAGTAGAAGAAAGTCCGATAATCCTTCACGAGGACCCCAACCCTTATCTCATGATTACATGGAAGTGCAGAGCAGTTTGAGATCGGATCACTAGTTCATTTCACCTCACTTCAACCATCAATTCTCACATGCAGTCAAGCTATAGCTACCGTGAAATTTGGTGACTTCTGAACTCTGTTTTCGAAAGAGTGGATTCAATGATCTCATCAGCTCCAACTGACCGCCGAATCACTCGGTCAAAAGATTCACCAAACCACTGGCACTCAGTCACATAAGATTCTTGATTGTTCTCCTTTTATATTTGCACCTCATAGATTTCAATTTTTCTCTAGAATCTCAAATACCAGATGTACCATATTTCAAAAAAAAAGTTTGAGTTCATCAAATGTGTATAACTTCTCACTCGTGTTCTTGATAAATTATCCCCTTGGGAGTTTTTTGCATTCTTAAATTTCTTCTTTGATGAATCATTGAACACGATACTTCTGTTGTGTATGACGCACCATACATTTTGACCACATCTCGTTCTACAAACCATGAGGTTTGATGAGAAACTCCATGGAGTTTGATTGGAGCCCATAACAGGTGATATCGAGTAAACCTTGATCAGCACAGCAGCCCGCCATCCACAACAGCCGTTGCACTATACACCGAATCCCGAGATAATGAGTTTTTCTTCAGCTTTGTTTCGTGCTGTGATATCCATCACAAGATTTCTTTCATGAGTCTCGAAAAACAGCTATGTGTACAGCAACTCATGAATAATTTACATAATGACTCAAGATTTACATCCTCATAAACCATGCAATACTTCACAAACACTCCTGATTTCTCCAATATCAAAGTCCCCATGTCCCAACAAGAATAGCAGTACAAAAATTCAACCTCCAACAAATCAAAGTATGGTTTACTTATGTCTTTTCAAATTGCGCAAAAAACATATGGTGAATGATATTTCAGGAAAAGGTAGCCAGAAGTGAAATGAGTCTGGATTTTAGGTTCAGAAAGATGAAATACACGGGGGATGTTTGAATTGGTTGGGCCAAATCAAATCTTACCCCATTCTCGTACTTTCCGGGTCAGATTATCCGCAAGATTTTTTCAACATGACCCTTTCTTGAGGTTCAAGATGGTTCCATATAGGTATGTTGACTGATGTGCAAAAGTTTTTTACTCAGAAGGATCAAAGAGATGTTTGGTGTTATGATTAAGTTAAGAAGATAAGTCTATACTTTTGAGTAGAAATTGACTGTATTGACTAGGTGGTGAGACATGATCTCATTGGTTTCTGCACGCAAACCTGGGATCACCCAGCTGACCTGGGTAAGGGTAGGAAAGACTGTGAATAAGATTGCCAAATACTTCAACATCCTCACCCTCATTCCCTGGGTTATGATCCAAGATCCAAGATTGGATCATAGACTTCACCCTCAAATTCAAACCTGATGAGAAGCAAAGCATAGGATTTGTATCTAATCCAAAACCGTATATAAATCCTCATCTGAAATCACTTGGTTTTACCTCTTTACTTCTATAAAATTAAAGCTTTATAATTGCAAAGATATGTCTTGATATTAACAGGATTGTCTATGATCTAACCCCCGTCACACTATGTTTTCTCGAATTCAGGGAATTGAAGTGTGATGAAGTGATTAATTTTATTTCTGCAAATTAGGAACCCGATTCGGTTGGATGAGCCCGATCAGGGAATGATAATGATAAAAATATTGATACGTTCTTGCCGCAAAGTACTACGTTATGGTGGGTCTTTTGGTAGTTTCACATGATTCAGTTCAAACTGATAGCCAAAAAGATGTTTTCCTCAGATATCTTTCATCTTCGCCGAAACAATTTCGCTTATGGTCACGAAACAGAGAAAGAAAGGATGAGTAATGAATCAATGATTAAAGAGATTGTTAAAAACTTGGAGCTTACATCCAATAATTATCCGGGTCATAGATAAACTATTAAAAATTTGCCAAATTGTGATAGACAAAAGGTCAGCCATAAGAATGAGCTGCAGATGTCGCAAGGGATGCACAATAACTCACAGCACTGTTCATGACATAATCCGCATTCAGTAAGACGATAGAAATGAATTGAGGTTCAAAGGAAGTGAAGCAGACAAAAAACATCAGCAGATCTTCTCCAATCGAGTTTCAAAAAGAAATTCATACATGTTACGCATTTTACCCTCCTCAGGCCTTTTTTTGAACTTGACACCCATTTCGGTGAATCGTTTACAAGCTGCTTCGATGTCATCCACAGCGATTGCTATATGACCAAACCCTTGAGGTTCATCATTCCCATTGTGATATGCGAAATTAGCATCTTTCTCGGTACCTTTGTTCCAGCTAAAGTAAGAGAAAGCCAACAAAAAGAAAATCAGAATTGGAAATACATTCAGATTGTACAGATGAAATCCAAATACTAACGTGAGTTCGAGTAAGGCTTCTCTTTGACTACGAGCTACACCTTTTTGATGATCATAGCCTAGAAAAAAAAGCTTAAAGTCTCCCCCATCATGTTCATCGATGAGCTTCATACCCATGATATCTTGATAAAACTTTAGACTTGCTTCTGGATCTTTGACCCGAAGCATCGTATGACTGCGAAATGAAGAGAGCAAATTAGCTCACAAGTCAAATCCACATCATCACACTTTCTTAGTCTTGATGGATATGTAACACCAGGAATCCAACTTACTTGAACCTGTAACTTGAAGTTGCTAGAGAAGAAAGCAGATGAGCAGACGTTCCAAACGATCGAGTTGATATGGTATTCCGAGAGACGGGTAAGGAAGAAGACAATTGATTAAGATTGGATGGATTATCCTCAATTCTCATGAAAGCTCTCCCGAAAGATGGAATAGGTTTTTGTCCACGATGACAAAGAATGGAAAATGGTCTAGAATGACCAAATGGTATGCCGGTTTGTCGTAATGTATGATAAATCGTTCGCCCACCTGATGAGTTTGCCATACTTTCCGATATATAGTTGGTTTACTTTGCTAGTGTTGATTGAGAACAAGTCGCGGTGAGACAATCGTAAGTAATGAAGTTGATGTTGTTGAAGTTGAACGACAGAAAAGATCCGATCCACCAGGTTCGTTGACCAAAACTCCCCAAAAATTCATCTGTAATCGCTAATTGAGCAAATCATTTTCACCTTCCATTCTCAGCACTTCATATCGATCCTTCAAGGCACATCATAGCTTGCAAAGGTGACAGAAGCACGCTAAAAATCATTATGCCTACTTAAGTAAATGGTGACCATTCAAGTCATCTCGTATCATATAGCTCGGCATCCATTGTTCTTGTTACAGTTTCGTTATGACATCAGACCAGGACTCCATAACAAGGACGAGATGGAGCAGATCTCAAGGAGCTGCACTCCACGACGCCACCCGGAACATCGGAGGCTTCAACCAGCATCAACACTATGTATCTCGGCCCGCTTCATGCATATCATGAATCCTATGTATGCATATGCTTCTTATATCTTGGGCTGTATGCGCTTGTCGATCAATAACAAAGTCCTTTGGATCTGATCAAGCTTGCATCTTCGTGAATTTCACCTTGTCTTTCACAGCAGATAATTCCGATATATCATCTCTCGAAAACTGGCCCCTCGAACCATCCATAATCCCAGAGGATACGAATCTTGATGTCGGTGCTTGCACTTGACAGTTGGTCCCACAGCTTGACTGTGCCGTGCTTTGTTTACACAGGCTCTACTTTATAAATGCTCATTTACGTTACGGGGTGAACATCAAGAAAAAGATTTGCTTTGACCTGTTTTCTTTCTCATTTGATATACCATTGACCAAGTACCTAGCCTCTCCCTATTTTTTTCTAATTTCTTTGTAAATGGAGACTTTGCTACGTTTGAACAAACTTTTACAATTTTCTGTTATTGTATTTTACAAGAATTTGCAATATTTATATCTGTACCCCATACGTCGGGTTTCAAGCTTTCTATGCGCTAGATCCAAAGCAGACTATGCAGCTTACTATTCGCATGATTTCCTTGCATTCAAGATTGTTTCTCGAAGAGTGAATATTTTTAGAAGGGCAAAGATACACAGCCATACAAAATAGACAAGGTGTGAACATATTACATAGTTCCACTATGTTGAATCTTGCAGTCACATTGGCTGATGCTGTTCTCATATTTTCTGGAGTTCAAAATAAAGCTCTCAAGCAAATGGTCACAAGATCGCAGTTTCTGACAAGCCAGCAACCCAAACTCTCTGCTTGCATAGCATATCTCGGATAGCTGAGTTATAAGCTTTAGTGGAGCCTTGAAAGACAAGGGCCACTGATCAGGTCGAGAATCGAGATGGTTGTGATGGGTTCTGATTTCTTCCAGCAAAAGCACAGCGAAAAAAGGGGAAAAGGAAAAGGGGAGATGCTGGCCTGAATTAAGATGCTGTGCTAATGATGATTTTAAGGCACGTTAAGGTGTAGAGCGTTGGAAGTTGAAGCCCTGGTTTTTGCTATTTACCAATATAAACTCTAAAATTCATATCTTCCTCAATCGTTTCGTCTTCAGCTTCCATTAAAACTTTATCAAACTCATCACTTTAAAGAAAGAACCGTATCATCAACTTACCATCAAGATGACTAAACTCATTCAAACTCATTCAAATGATTCTCAAACTCATCATTCAAAATTAAATCAACTCGATTCAATTCTCAATCAAATCATCTTTCAGGTCTTCATTTCATTCAAATCCATCCAATAACTGACTAACCAACTTACTGACTGACTGACTCTTACTTCTTTCTTATCCATCAGGCTGGTTCTGATCATGAATCGCATCCACTATTGATCATCTGCGCTTCAAGATTCCCTTCACCTTCAACTTTACCAATTGGAACTGATTTCAATATGCTTGTCAATCGAGCACTTTCACTCTTCTCACCTATCACATCTATCGAACCATACTCTCTTGTCATCTTTGCTTCTCCTTCTGAATTTGGTCCCAATGTCACTCAAGTCATCTCCTCTTACCTTCGACTCGATAAATCAACTCGTAAAAACTTGAAATCACTTTGGGTGGTTCATCCCACTTTTTGGGCAAAGATGACATTACAAGTCTTTTTAAATGGGATTGTAAGTTGGAAGGTAGGTAAGAAGGTCAAGTGGACCAATTCGCTCTCAGAACTTGCGACTCAAGTTCCACTTCATCAGTCAGTCTTCCATTATACTTCTTAACCTCAAATTCTATCGTAATATCCAAACTTATCTTTTTGTTATCTTTTGAAATATCTTTTTAGGATCTGCATCCCTCCTGAAGTTTACAAAATCAACCTGACTCTTGAGCCCCAAATTGTGATGCCACCAACTTGGAGAAGGAAACCTGTCATAGGTACACCTCTTGAACAGCTTATGGGTCCACAAGGCGAAAGAGGCATTCCTCAACTCGTTCAGGACTCGGTCAACTGCATTCGATCTTTAGGTTAGTATCAACCTATTGGAATTATCCAACCAACCGAAGCTCACACTCTTTCTACCTCAGGTCTCGATGCTGAAGGATTATTTCGAAGGCCGCCGTCACTAGCCACCTTGAAAGTCTTGAGTGAAGCCTATGATCGCGGTCATCCAGTCAAGATTTCAGATTACCCCGATGCACCACACTTGGCAGCATCACTTTTGAAACTTTTCTTGAGGGAATTACCAGTCCCAGTCTTTCCATCATCACTATACCCTGTCATTCTAGCTTGTCCACCTATCCAGGCTAATTCGAGCAACTCGGAAGTAATGGCGTATATCCAGGAAAAGTTGATTGACCAACTCTCCGCTCCCGCAGTCAAGCTACTGTCTTACGTTTTGAGTCTTTGCCACGATATCGCATCACATGCTGGTATGTCGTTGTTCGCAATTCTATTTGATCACGAGTAAAAAAAGCAAACAGACTGATGGCTTTGATTTGAAACACAGCTGAGAACAAAATGGATGCCCATAACTTGGCCACATGTCTCACACCCACACTTCTTCGATCCGATGACCTGGCAAAGGATGCTGCCATGTGCAAATTATCACTTACTGATGGCTTGTCTGCTACAACCAGCCCACTGAATCTGATATCCAATATCTCAGGCACCAGCCTTGGATCAATCCTCAAATTCATGATCACCAAGTAAGATTTCATTCTCATCTGTACTCGAGTCCGCAGATCAACCCTAACATCATGTTTCTTTCATCTTCTAGTTTCCACACAGTGTTTCAAAATTTTGAAATCACATCATCAGATCTCTCGGGTTTTTACTCAGCTCCGACTAGCCCCAATACTTCAACAAGTTCAAGATCATATCAAGAATTTGATTCAGTTTCACCTACAAGTAGTCGACCATCAGTCGAATCACCCAATCAAAGCTCACCTCAAAAGAGTTCAAGGTTTCAAGATGAAGATAGAAGAGCAAGTTATTCACATTTATCAAATTCAACTCCTTCAACTCATCGAACACGTCAAGCAAGTCATAGTCTTAACCCTAATCATCAACTTGTTAATCATTGTGTAAGAACCAAAGAATCCTTTAATGGGTTGTTTTTGTTTAGTGGGATCAGTAGTGGGAATAATAGTAGTCGGTTTGCTACTACTGAAGTGGATGGGACTAATGCTCATGGACGAGTTAGTGTTAGAACTCTTTTTCCTCCTCTTCCTGTTTCATCATCAGAACATGATGTTGATTAAGAAGACTTTGATATAAATTGATATTTCAGTGATCTGGTGATTTGTTTTTTTCTTGTACGTTTGTGTGAAAAAGAAGCATGGTGATTTGTTTTTCTCTTGTGGTTTTTTGGATTTCCATGATTTTTTGGGTTGTAGGTTTCTTTCTTTTGCAGATTTTTTTTAAGATATTTGATGTGTTGTATGATAAACCGAATTGGAACTTGTCTATTAAAACCCGTTTGTTTTGTGGTTTGAGATTTGTCTTTGTAAGAATTATGATGGCTTTGAATTACCTTATTATATATATTGTGACATTTGTATATCATGTGACTTGTTTTTTTAGTTGTTTTGTTTTACATACTTTTTTTTTGGTTTTCAAAAGAAATGATGATCACTGTAAAATGTTTATGGTGTTGTGATTTATTTATTAAAGTCAGCATCCACTCTTGCACCCCGCTTCATCATGGATCCGGCAATATTCCTTGGTAAACAAAAGGTACAGAAGGCTTGCAAGGATGTCCCCAGCCAAACTCTTGTTCATGACCTTTGTCTATGAGCAAGTTTGAGGTTTGGCACAAAGAGAGTCACTTGCTGGGGCTTGGGTCAGGCTGGGGGCGCAACCTTTTTGCAAAAGGAGCTGTGGCAACTCGCCTTATTCTGCTTCACACGCTGCTCTGGTAAACAAAAACTTTTTTCCACAAGAGTTTGTCTATTGAGGGTTTTCAGGCAAAATTTCATTCAACATGACTTCTTGATTCCGCTTCTCCTAGCTATCAACTTGAGTTCTTTGATTATTGGTATTTTTGATCTAATACATAATGTCGGAATCTATAATTTGACAAATCACAACCAAGCGATCTCTCTAACCAGGAAACGGCCAAACGACTTGTGAGCGCGCCTGTGTCTTTGTGAGGTTTTCTGGGCGCGCCCTTTGGCGCGTTTTTTCAGATGCGCCTCTGAGTATTGGTGACATGTTGGACACAATCACACCTCATGCGTCCAACAATATATACCCGCATGAGACTTTATCAAGTTCTTTGAGTAAATTTTCACAGAACAACTCAATGAGAATTATGGATCGTGTGTTTTTGGCAGGAGCACGAGATGGTCCAACATTGATGTTTATGATTGATTGATGATCGAGAAAAGTTAAAGATTGCATGGGAAGGGAATAGGGGGGATCAAGATCAAATTTGCATGTTTGATTTCTTTACAAAAAAAAGCAAGGGGGGGTGACAATAATTCCTGGAATTGCTATACCTCCTGGAAATGTGTCTGGTGCTGGGTGTTTGAGCACACATCTCGTTGATCATCAGTGAAGCTATTTCAAGGTGGACTATGCAATATTCTATCTTGATTCTTGAAATTGATAAATTTGAAGTTGTACTATGCTGTTGTGGTGAAAATAAAGAAACCTTAATTGAGTAAGCTGTACCAGTTAGGATGTATTTTGAATTGAACTGTGTTATTTATAATTTCCTTAATTTATTCGTTTTTTAATTTTAATTTTGTAGTTTTTGAGTTTTTAATTTTTAATTTTTAATTTTCCTTCCTTCCCTCTCAACTTCTCAACTCGGCTGTATCATTTTATTCAAACTTCATCCATTCAAACTTATCTCAGCTCAGCCTCAGGAATTCATACATATCTCAAGATTGGTCCCTTATATCATCAACTTGGAACACTCACAAGACATCCATCAATCTACATCAACATCTCAGAACATTCAACTCATTCATCTCCTCATCACTCTTTAGAGCTTCGCTGGCTATCTTTACCCTCATTTCATTCTTCCAATGGCTAGCTTAGTTTCTAAAGAGAAGTCGGTTCATCGACTCAAACATGATGTCGAAGATTCTATCTTGGAGGAACGATTGAAGATTGCCAATGTCATCTTACCTGAGGATAATCTTGAGGATTTGGTTCAGTGTGTGATTCTTATGCTTCTATACAAAATACCAATTAACTAATCTTCCCCAACGTATTCCCTTCAATTCTTTATCACAGACTGCGGATCGCGCCAGAACTCGTGTCTCGTCGTCTTCGGGCCCGTCGTGCTCGTGAACCTACCACTACTTCTGTTTCTCCTCGGCTTGCACTTCTTCATCCTGACCGCGCTTTCACTCCTTCCTCTTCGAGTGAAAACGAATCCGGTTCGTCAAATGAACCTAAAAACACCAACCTTGCCGGCTCTCCTACTCAATCTGTATGGTCTTCACCCACAACTCCCATTGATATTCATCAACAGAATCGTCATGCACTCAACTTTAGCCCCACACCTGAAGCCTCTTTCAATCATCAATCTTTGACTACTCCCATAACTATGATTGATGACGAAAACCAGCAGCAGCTTAATGTGAAATCAAGTGCATTAGGATTGAGCCAGCTTCCGTTGATCTCCAACTCCTCACTTACTAAGCAAGCAACCACCTCACCTGTAGAACATTCTCCTCGACTACGGTCTACAAGCGGGATGACTTCAGCTTCCCAACGTTCCCCACGCGCTCAATCCCAACCACGTAATGCCGACCCCCCTTCACGTCGTTCCACCAAAGATTCACGTGCGCCCTCCGTCAAACCATCCATCACATCACCATCTCCTTCTGGCTCTCATGTACGCTCTAAGCCGATTCACAGTCCCAATCCCGATCTCAGTCCTCGTCCGAATGGCCCTAGCAATAACTCTCCTTCTCTACCTCGTCAACGTGCAAACACACAAAGTACTGCTCATACATTGTCATCCAAACCTCGACTTGGGGTGCGCTCTAAGCCGACTCCGACTCGGAATACTACCGCACCTCTCAACCGAAATAGAACCGCTTCAGCTGGCAGGCCACGAAGTCTTTCGGTTTCCTCTATATCATCTTCTATCCGTGAGAGCGGCGCGCTTCCGCCTTGGTCTACTGACCCTAGTCCGAGACTCTATCGAGTGGATCCGAAGGCAGAAGGTGTAGAACCTGGATTTGATGACATGATTCTACCTGCTGTTGCAAGGCAGCTGGAGGCCCAACAGAAGATCAAGACTGATCTGGCTGAGAGTTCAAAATTGAGCGCAGTGGATATTTCTGAATGGGATCCGGCAGGCACGCCAATGTTGATCAGGAAAATCACGCCACCACCACCTCCTCTCGCGGAACCCAAAGCGCCAACTCCGACTCCACCCTCCGAACATGACCACTCTTCTCGAACTTCTTTTTCCTCCTCTTCTCGTGCCCCTAGTATTGAATATCGGCCGACAGCCGATGATGATAGACCCATTCGCCCTGCTCAGGTAAGATTGCCCTCTTTCGTACCTTCTCATCACCCCGCTCTTGTTCTTGTATCCTCCAGGGGTGAAATTTCTCAATGTCAGCTAATATCTGTTCGTATCGTTGGATTTGAAAACAGCCTAATACATTTGATCTTGACATTTCAACATCACTGGAAGATGAATCATTGGTCCTGAAATCAGATCCAGTGCCATCCTCAATCTTACCATCACCACCTACAGATCCGCTGTGCTCGCCTCCAACCCATCCAACAGCTAACCGAGACTCTGTTCCAAATGAATTCAAACCCTCTCCACCATCGCCTGCTCGGGCTTCATATCGTTCACCTTCACATCCCCCTCAAACTTCGAACCATCCAAGCCCATCACTTATGCTCTCCAATGGTCGATCTCATTCAGCGTCTCATCCTTCAGAGACCTTTCATCAAACACCAATACCTATGATGACTATGCAGCAGCAAGAGAATTCGGTAGAAGATACACATCGTCAATCTGTTTTCGATTTACCATCAGCAACAAATGTTCAAGTGCCGCAAGAAACAGATCATCAACAACAATCTTCAGCTAAATGCTGTTGTACTATTATGTAGTATTTCAACCTTACAAGGTTTCTTTAATCTATTTATACTTTATTATGCTTTATATATACATATCTCTTATATATATTGTACATACCTTTCAAACACATAGACAGTGATTTCTTTTTTTTTGGCTCAAGGTTTTCTTTCTTTTTCTGTCATTGTCTTCGTCTTGCTTTTCTTTTTCATTCTTTTTTCATTCTTTTTCATTTACTATACACACGATCTGTTTGTCGTTAAACGTTTTGCTTTTTCTTTTCTTCTTTTTTGCAAACTTCTTTTTTTGGGTTTCATAATTTTTATCTTTTTTTTTCTGATATTGACAGATAAGTAGAGAATTGTTTTAATTTTTTTTGTTGAGTTTAGATGAAAGGTTTTTGATTTTTGATTTTTGATTTTAAAAAATCATGTCTTGGATATTATGTTTTTTTTTCTTTTTTCCCTTTTTTTAACTTCTTCTTTTATTTTTATCTTTTTGTATTTGTTTTTTCTTTCTGTCTTTTTTCTTCTGCTTTTTGGTAAGAAAATTGATGGTTTAAGTTGTATCAATAGATACATAGTATGTTCTTTTTTTTGCTTCCTTTTTTTCTTTCGGGCAATTTATGATTATTATTTTTTTTGAATAAAGAGACAGATTAACCATGTGTGTCATATGGAATCAGACAGTAAGAATGCATTTAACAAAATTTGGTGATTATTGTCAAGATTAATTTTTACCAGGGATGCAGCAACGAGTTTTACTATGAATTTTAAGGTTTTTCAACCAGGTAACAAGCAGAAGACATGAGATTTAAAAGCTTTCAAGGGACAAGAGCCGCACAGCTGTTTTTGCTATTGCTTGTCCTGGCTTTCTGAAAATAAATAAATATTTAAACCATGTGAAAACCTACTCACATATCAAATCTGCCAATCAAAGTCAGGTTTTATCAGGACCCCAGAAAGCCCCCCATGGGAACAATCCATGTCAAGGGGGTTGTCAGATACCAGCTCATTGAAAGCCATGTGACAGGGTGCCGGATACATGAGAGGTGCTAACGATGTGCCTGAACAAGGGCTATCAGATGGCACACATCTAGGAGCTTTGCCAATACCATGTCTGGTTCTTTTGGAAATGTGTGATTTGACAAATTCCACAACCCCCCAAGATCACATGGATATCTCAGTGATCATAACAGTTGGTACATACATTAGTGAAAATATATGTAATTAAAAGCCCTGGCCAAGGCAGATCTCCTGCAACACAGGAACTCAACTCAACATACCTCCTCTTGATGGAAATAGTGAAGGTGCAAGCCTTGAGGCTGGAATAGGCATAGGACAGGTTTTTTATTCAGCACTTTCTTTACCCAATTGAAACTTGGAATTTGAGTCAAGTTTCATTTTTCATATTGGAAGACCAGGGAAAGCAATGGCAAAAGAGCTGCAGGTTGTAAAGTAAACAAAACTCTCACTTTGATTTTCTTTATGAAGCAACAAGGCAAACATTTCTGACAAGTTCATACATGTTCAAGGATTGGATTCTTCTTTACAATTTTGGTCACTTTAGCCAAATATGTTTCTACATGGTGAGATCCCCATGTGAATCAAAACAGGGTCCTTCATGAACTGGTAAAACAATGATCAAAAACAAACTATGTTTCCATATAATCCATGCAGGTACCTTTGGGAGATGTTTTACTACCAAAGACAATGAAACAAAGAAACCAGATTGTTTTTAGGTTTGTGAAGATGTTTTGTGAAATTATGGCCTATCATCATGAATGTATGAAGGCTTTACTTGCATTGGAGTTGAAAGATTTTGATCTTTGGGTTGAAATAGGAATTTCATGAGATTGATGGGGTTGACTAATGAAATGAATTCAATCACCAACACAAGAAGGTATTGGTTTGATAGCTGAAAAAAATGACAAATGACACAAAATTGATGGTCATGAGGCTTTTGGGACACTCAATATCCACAGTGAATGAGATACTATATTCTCATCAACTGTGTTTCTAATACCTTTTTCACACCACCAGAATGTATGTAACCTGATTGAAGAAAGTTGCAGTGACTGTGTTTGCAACTTTCTCCTTTGCAACTTTCTCCTTCGCAACTTTCTTCAATTGCAAGTCTTGTTTGCAATAGGTTTGCAATGAGTTTGCTGATCACCCTTCTGTAATTCACTACTGTGGCTTATATTGGATAACTCTTGAGATACATGATCAATCCTAAAGATAAATATGTAGCAAGAAGTATGTGAGGTTAAGGTTGAAGATTTCCAACTATACTGTTCTTTGCAAATCCTTTTGGATTGTCAATTTTCTGTAAGGACTGTTTCATTGAGTGTCAGAAGGATTAGTTGGGATGGTGATTGATATTCCTTGCCCAAAGTCAGTTTTTGTTACATACATGTTGCAACAAACCACAAAGGTTTTGAACAATGGGTGATCAGCAAATATAACCAAAACATAATTTGTCCCCTGTGGTCTTCCCTTATGGGCAGTATTTCTATATGTCATTGTGAATTGGACATGAGCAGTCAAATTTTTGCTTGATTTGTTGATTCTAAAGGATATGAAGAAATCAATGGGAGTGATTTTTTGGAATTTACTATTTACATGCATCTCAATCAATTTGAGCATGATTTTTGCCTCTTATCATGTTTTATCAGTGTACTTATGTGAAGCCCTTTTGGCTTCTGCTCTACAAAAGCTCAAGGGCTGACAGCACCAGTACTTGGCAATCTGCACTGATAGCCATGATAAACTGCATGGTGTGCAAACATCAAAAAGTCAAACACTGTTTCCTTAGGCCCAGCAGACTCTCATGTCATATACAAGTTAGATACTGCGGCCTCCAATGTTTCCTAGAAATTTCCCTGGAGAAACCAACTCCTGTGTCTACTCTCACCAAAAATCATCTTTCTTGACCAACTTGAAATCCAAATTCTTTACTGTCTCTGACATTTGGCAAAGAAGGGATCAAGAGACTTGGACAGCAACCTCAGTCCAAAAAAATCTTGATAGTCCATCAGACCTTTTGAAACAAAAGGTGGTCATGATGATTCAAGTTTAATGAGGCCACATCTCTTGCAAATCTTACCTTAGCAAATTAGAGATACCTGTAGACCCCCCAAGAGTTGAGGTAGTTGACCATGTGTGTTTGATTAGCAATAAACTTTACATTGATTCACATCAATTCATCCTCCACATGAACAAACAAATCCTATCATACATTGAAGCCTACAAGGCAATTATCTCTTTCTGCAACTTCACATGGAGACTCACCAATCATTGAATCTGAGCCAACACAAATGGACATATTCTGTGCAACAAAACTCAACCTTTGGAGTGATATCACAGAGCAGCCATAGGGGGTACACCTGGGATAGACATAATGATTTGATACCCTTACAGCTCTACAAATAATCGGGACCATGCAATCAAAGTAGTTCATGGCTTGCAAGGATATGCCTCAAAAACCAATCATCATCATCATCTGTTTCCCAGCATCTTATCCTACAATAAACGCAATTGTTAACACAATTGTTTTTGAAACTGATCAAGAGCACTATGATGCTTCCAGCAGGAGTTGTACAGGCTTTGAATTTGAATTTGATTCCTGTTTGCAAAGTCTGATTTGATATGTCGTCAAGCAGCGTTGTACGATGTGCACTGCACATCTCGGAGTATCTGCATACATGATAGAGGATTAGTAATCTTAAGCATTATCTGCTAAATTAAGTACCAACTCAGGACTTAGAGAACTTGACGCGTCGAATTCCGTGATTTTAGCAGACAGACAGCCTGTGAGCCTCAAAAGGTCAAACTTATAAAAACCTTAGACGCGTTTCAATTTCAGTTCCCATCCAAGAATAAATTGACTCAGAACTTCGACTTACATTTTACCATCACTACATCTTCAGATTAACAGTCTAGAACTCATCATCCTTGACTTAGACCTCTTGCAAACCTGTAAACCACAGCTCTCAGATATCTAGATAACCGCGATGGCCTTTGTACGCTACCTTTCGAATCATAACCCATTTTCATTTTTGATCGGCTGATCGGATCTGACACTTTTTTATACGGTTCTTGCAGGTTTACAAACGTGATGGACGCCGAGAGCGAGGTACGTTATTCCGCCATTACTCTTCATCAAGCAATCTGTCTCTTACTAAGGTATCTTCTTTCCACAGTCGCTTTTGACAAGATTACCGCTCGGATAAATAAACTTTGCTATGGTCTTGACAATGTGCATGTTGAACCGATTGAAATGTAAGCTGAGCTAACGTAATGTCAAATCGAGACAACTACTCATTTGCTTCCCTTCCTTCGATCTAGTACTAAGAAAGTTATCAACGGCGTTTTCAATGGTGTTACAACAGTCGAATTGGATAACTTGGCAGCTGAGACAGCTGCTTATATGACCACGCGACATCCTGATTACGCTGTGCTTGCTGCGCGGATCGCTATCAGCAATCTTCACAAAGAGACCAAAAAACTTTTTAGCCAGGTCATCGAAGATCTTTACAGATATGGTAAGCACCAGATTCGCAGGCCTGACTCGATTCCTACAACTTTTATTTACGCGTGTGCGTCTCTCCTCAATGACAGTCAACCCGAAGAACGGTCGTCCATCACCTATGATCTCAGATGAAACATACGAAGCCGTCCAGGCAAATGCGGAAGCTTTGAACAGCGCAGTCATCTATGACCGTGACTTCAACTACAACTACTTTGGCTTCAAGACGCTAGAGCGATCCTACCTCCTGCGTATCGACAATAAAGTTGCTGAAAGGCCACAACACATGCTCATGCGCGTCGCAGTAGGAATTCATGGGACTGATGTTGATCGAGCCATCAGGACTTACAATTTGATGTCAGAAAAGGTGCAGCATCCGTGCTACGTTTTCTGTCTATGATCATTGATAATCTTGCTGACATGGTCACATTTGCTAGTATTTCACACACGCATCACCTACCCTTTTCAACTCTGGAACTCCCCATCCCCAACTCTCGTCCTGCTTTTTGGTCAGCATGAAGTCGGACTCAATTGATGGTATCTATGACACTCTCAAGACTTGCGCTATGATCTCCAAGACGGCTGGTGGAATCGGTCTTAATATCCATGATATCCGGGCCACTGGTAGTTACATTGCTGGTACCAACGGGTACTCAAATGGGATAGTGCCTATGCTGCGTGTCTTCAACAATGTAGGTAGTCGACTTCGATACACTCCTAGCGTCGCGATGTTGATGAGTGTCACGTTTTTAGACGGCCAGATACGTTGATCAAGGTGGGAACAAAAGACCAGGTGCTTTTGCGATTTACATTGAGCCATGGCACGCAGATGTATTTGATTGGCTCGATCTACGTAAAAATCACGGAAAGGAAGAAAGCAGAGCTCGTGACCTTTTCTACGCGCTATGGATTCCAGATTTATTTATGCAGCGAGTGGAAGACGTGAGCCTACCTGCTCACGCTACTATCATGTTAATCTTAACTGACCAATTATCACCATCCACTAGAACGGCGATTGGCCCCTCTTCTGCCCGGCCGAGGCGCCCGGTCTTTCCGACGTTTATGGAGAGGCGTTTGAAAAGTTATTTGATCAATATGAAAAAGAAGGCCGTGCCAAGAAAACAGTGAAAGCCCAAAAACTTTGGTACGCTATCTTGGAAGCTCAAACTGAGACAGGAAACCCCTTTATGTTGTACAAAGATGCCGCGAACCGTAAGTCTTGATTTACAACCAGGGTCTCTCAAAACTTCTCATCTGATGGAATCTGTCTGGTCATGAACAGGCAAATCGAATCAAAAGAACCTTGGTACCATCAAGTCATCGAACCTATGTACTGAGATCATCGAGTATTCAGCCCCAGATGAGGTGGCGGTTTGTAACCTGGCCTCGATCGCGCTGCCGACGTATATCACCGACGGAGTCTATGATTTCCAAAAGTTACATGAGGTGACGAAGGAAGTCACGTGGAACTTGAATCGTATAATTGATGTGAACTACTACCCCGTCCCAGAAGCTAAAAAGTCCAACATGAGACATCGACCCATTGGAATCGGAGTCAACGGATTGGCAGATGCCTTCCAGATCTTAAAGCTTCCATTCGATTCCCCGGAAGCCAAAAAATTGAATGCGCAGATCTTCGAGACACTCTATCACGCAGCGCTCGAAGCCTCGAACGAGCTTGCCGTGGCGGAAGGCGCATACGAGACATTCCCCGGGTCGCCCGCTAGTCTAGGAGAACTCCAATACGATATGTGGGGCGTCACACCCTCCGACCTGTGGAAATGGGACGATCTGAAAGAAAGGATAAAGGCTACCGGCTTGAGGAACTCACTTTTGCTTGCGCCAATGCCTACTGCTTCGACCAGTCAGATCATGGGCTTCAACGAATGTTTTGAGCCGTACACCTCGTATGTTATCTTGCTCTGATATCTTCACGGTTCTACGTATGCTGAAGTGTTACTCGACAGTAACATTTACACGCGACGGGTCCTGGCGGGCGAGTTTCAAATTGTCAATCCTTGGCTGCTCAAAGAGCTCGTGGAGATGGGTTTATGGAACGATGAAATGAAGAACCGAATCATAGCCCATCAGGGATCTATTCAAAACATCCCTGATATTCCCACCAAGATGAAAGCAGTGTACAAGACCGTTTGGGAGATTAGTCAAAAGGTAATCAATATTTGATTTTTGCATAACACGCTTAATACACGTAATCTGACTAGTCTATGTCCAATATCTCACAGGTGATCATTGATCTAGCTGCCGATCGTGGAGCTTTCATTGATCAATCGCAATCACTCAATATTCACTTGCAAGCTCCGACATTTGGCCAACTGACATCTGTAAGCTTTTACCATGGAAATGATTGAAGAGAAAGATAGCTCATCTGACCGCGAAACTTTTTTTAGATGCACTTCTATGCATGGAAGAAGGGTTTGAAGACCGGGATGTACTATCTTCGTACCCGAGCTGCGGCCAACGCCATTCAGTTTACGGTAGACAAAAAACTACAAGATGAAGCCAAAGCAGCAAACAAGGCTGCTACCGCTACTACAAGCTCACTCAAAGCTCTTCTTGCACCTACAAAGTCATTATCGTCGCCGATGAATGACATCACAAATGCGACAGCTGTAGCTAGCAAATTAACTCGAAAGGTCTCTGGAGTTGCACCCTCTACCTCATCTTCATATATATCAACAGGTTCTCAGGTAACAGTCGAAGCGCCTACTTCCAAAGCACCAGAACGTGAATTGACCTTTGAAGAAGCAAAGAAACGGGCTGAAGAACGCGAACTCGAACAAGCGGCATTGATGTGTTCACTAGAAAACCCAGGAGCCTGTACGATGTGTAGTGGATAAAAGATTCCATAAAAGCATCTTGGGCCCCTTGTTTTCCTTTGTTCTTCTATTTCTTGATTTTGTTGGTTTATACATGCACTGGTGTGGAGAGATTTTTTGTCTTGTTTTTGTTGGAGGAGTGGGGTTTTTTTGTAAATGGTTGACTATGAATGGGTATTGAAGAAAAAGAAATTAAACACCTGTCAATAAAATTAAACCCTAATTATGTAAAAATGTCTCTTTGATTTTGTTTTTGTCTATAATGGGTTTGTTTGTTTAGTCTATTTATGGTCATTGGTAGAATTGAAATGAAAGAGGACTGCTTTGGGAGTATGAAGTGGAGCTAAAAACTGTGTTCTTGACTGATGTAGTTGATTGTGGTAGTGGATTCCTGTGGACTGTTGTACTTTACTGTTTGCCCAATGATCCATATTCAAGACACAATGCCACTTCCCAAAGTATCAAAATCCTTGAGGTAAAGTGCCAAGAAGTGTATAATGTTAGACCGGATATCTACCAAAACCACACTTCAAGACAAGAATGGCTGTAGAAACCAAGTAAAACAAGAAGTTTGAATATTGAATTTTAAATCATATATTTGGATTGCCATTGATGTCAGAATTCTAACAATACACTTGGCCCACAGATTGGATGACTTTTGTGGCTTGGTATCAATTCAGAAGAATAATATTTGGTGGTCCAACATTAAATGCTTCTTGGCACTAGCAACTATAGTTTAGATGAATAAAACAAGAGAAAAGATTTTGAAACTTGAAAAGTTAACATTTGCTCTTGAAGTGATTGATTGGGATAAGGAAGGGTATCAATGACCAATCTTGAAAGAGCCTTAGTTTTTCTTCCATAAATCAATTATGTGCATATTTCACTTAATTCTTGTAATGTTTAGTGATATCAAAACTGATATAAAACCTTACCATAAGTGCCAGTTGCACTTATTGTCAGTGGACTACAAAATTCCATGGAGAAACCAGTCAATTGGCTTTCTGGTGATATGATCACATTTTATGATTCTTATATGTGCAAGATTTGACTACAGTCAACTGTGTGAAAACCATACCAATTTAGGGACTTCAAAAGGTATGGGTTTTGATAGAGTATGTCTTAGCAAGATCTCTCTGACAAATCGTAAAGCCTATCCTGGGGGTCCAGTTAAGGGGGAGGCCAGAGATTGTTTTGAATAAAGGACAGTGCATTTCTTGCCTTGACTTGTCCACAATGAACTTTTCAATATATGGTGATATTTGTTCTAGAATGTTGTGCATGTGTGAGATGTTTTTGGTGATGAATGCAAGTTGTTCACCAAAGAGAGTGTGTCCAAGCCAAATGCTTCACTGGTCTTGAGAATGATTTCTTGTTGTGGGTGTGGCACAAACAGTGAAAAGGGGACAAAAAAGTTGTGCCTGGGCACAGACACCCCCAGGGGTGCCCAAACCCAAAAATATCTTGGGGTGCACCCCATAGTTATTCTGCATATTGTGACAGCTTAGTTGACCTTTGATTAACCACTTTTTTTCAAAGGACATCTTTTGTTTGGACACTTCTACCATTTTAGGGATGTTCCTATCACCATTCACTGGGTTTTATGTTGTGTTTTCACATTCCTGTACATATATTTTTTGAGATTTTTTTGTTGCTGTAATGCTTAATCCCTGCCCCCAAAAAATAACAATCCCTGTTGAGCCCCAAGGAGAACAGTTTTTTTTGCCTGCCAGAGCAATCCCCAGGAAAGCATCAGGCCGAAGCAATCCTCAACCCACTGGGAAGGACCATAGCAATCTTCAAACTTCTGGGGTTAGGGGCATCTTTATCCGTACCCATTAAAAGGTTGACTTGACCAAGTCCCTCCTCAAAGCGCGCATCCTTTGGAGCTTGCAGAGGAGGCACTTACAGCTTATTGCAATTTTTCATGTGGCAGTCAATTCCAAATTTGACATTTTCAGTGGGTTTTGGCCAAAATCATTAATAAACATGCCACAATTATTGATATCCAAGATCTGAAGATGCCAAGTGTTTTCAAGGCATCTTGTACACATCCTTGCTCAAACTTGGGAGGACTCCAAAACAATGCTTTGTCTTCAAGCTTCACTGAAAGAGTGTGACTTTTGAGGAGATCAATCATACAACTGTGGATGGTTTATCAGGGAGATATGTAAAATATAGTCAAATGTGGGAACACACTAGTGATCACAGCAGAATCTCATGTAAAATTTCAATGATAAATAAATTTATACATTGAACTTCTTAGGCAGTTGTGAGCAATATGGAAAATCTGAAGAGAGCAAAAGAAGTAGAAAAATTAGCACTACAACCTTCAACATAGCACTTTGAATGGTTTGTTTGAATGCCCCAAATGCTAGCTGGAGATAGTCCTAGCCAGATTGAAATTGTTATTAGGCAAATTTGATGATGAGTTGCAACCCCCCCCTTGCCGCAGGCTCTGGGGACGTCTCTGCGGTTGGTGGAGCTTGTGTCAAGCAAGACCAAAAGGATCTTTTTTCGCACCCAGGCTTCAAAATCAGAGTACCTCTACATCATGAGAATAATCACACCATAAGTATGGGTTTTGCACCTCCAGTTTGCCCCAAAAAGCTCTTGGTTATGGGGTTCCTGACTATTTCCCCCGGCGATGCACAATGACTGTAAAAGTACGAGTCAGCTGAGAGTATGGCTTATCGAATGGATTCTGCAGTTGAAATTATGAGGCTAGGTTTTCAAGAAGGTAGAAGTAATCTAAATGAGACTCAAGTATCTGGCTCGAGCAGTGAGCAGACTGGTCAAGGTCGTGAGGAGGGGAATTAGTCCAGTGTAGGTCAAGCGTGACATCTGAGGCCCAGAAAGGGATACTTTCAGAGTGAAATGGCTCGTTGACGTGATACTGCATGAAAGTGGGGGCAAGACAGGATACTTGGATGAGTGAGGCAAAGATGCACATGCGACTGCGGCAAATCTCTGATGGGTTCTCGGTGCAGCGTGATTAAAATAGTGACCGGGCAAACGCAATGGTATCGTTGCAGCACAGGGAACAGAGTACCCGCTCAAGCGGTGATGAGAAGATACAAGGCGGAACAACACACAAGACGGGATGAGGCACTGTGACATAGAACGTGAAGGAGAGAATTCTCTGTTGATAGAACAAGATGAAAGGAATTGCATTTAGCTTCAGGACGGTCTAGATGATTAGATCAGCGACAACTTACATCCGAAGAGATCAAGTCCCATATCATCATCTTCCTCCTCTTCGGGCTCTGCCTCCTTGACGGCCTCGGCGGCGGCAGGGGCGGCAGCAGCAGCGGGAGCGGCAGCAGCAGCGAAAGCCTCAGCTATCAACACGGTAAAAAAATATTAGCCGCAACTTCTAGGCTTCAAGACATACCAAGAATAAAAGCAGGACGTACGGTTCTCGAGATAATCTTTGGCCTTTTGAGCTCCCTCGAACATGTAATCAGTGACAAGAGCAATAGAGATCAAGTTCTTGTAGCTGTTGACGAGAGAGTGTGTGACTGAGGCCAAGGTTGGGTAGTTGGTGGCAAGCGAGATGGCTGCGATGGTCTTGATACCGGACAAGAAGTTGTCGATCAAGGTCTTTTCATCGATATCGAGGACTGAGGGTGCGAAGATATTCCCGTTGTCGTAGATCATCTGAACAGTCATACCATAGGTGAAGGGGGAGATCTTGAGCAAATTGAGCAAAGTAGCCTCGGAGGCTCCCACACGACTTCCAGCAGTAACGATCTTGATGTCTGACACAATTTCGATGGTACCACGTTGAATCTGTATTACAAAGTCAGATCAGTTGTTGAGAAGACTGCATAAGTAGGGACGAAAGCTACTCACCTTGGTTGGAATACCAAGTGCTTGGAAGAAAGAAGTCTTTCCGGGTTCCATTCCAGTGTTTCCGGCTGGAACCATGACATCGAGCGGAGCGAAGGCACCAGCTTTGGCAGGAGCGGCAACCTTGTTGGAAGTGATGATGTCGCGAACTTCCTTGAGGTCACCACTCGTGAAGACGAAACCGATGTTTCCTTTCACCAAGGGCAAGAGACGCTCGTACTGGGGGTTCTCGGCGAGGACACCACGGATGGCTCGTCGGACCATGGTGTTTTTTCCCATCAAGACGATACCCTTGCCACGTAAAGCTTGTCGGATTTGATGCATCTGGTTAGATCCGACATTGTCCACGTTAACAATGAAGGCCGAGGGGAACTCGGCCATCAAGTCCCTCAATTTGGTGAAGTACGCCGCTGTGGGAGGTGATAATACACGGAGTCAGTAGCTTGCCATAGTTTGAAAACGATAGCCAGACATACCCTTGAATTCGCGAGTTTTGCCCATTTTGAATAGTTGTTATACCGAATTGATAAGAGAAGGGAGGCAGCCTAGCTACAAAAACGTTGTTTTGAAGCAGAATTTAAAGGCTGCTGTTCGGTATGTATGCGTTCGTGAATGCGGAAGGCCAAGTTGGGAAGTAAATTGAGAGGTTGGTCAGGATTATGCGGTACATAGGTTTCATAGCTCTATATCCCTCACTCACTTAGGTTTCGCTCTCATCCAAGGCCAGCTGCACTGCACGCCGGCACGGCCGCCACGACCAGCGTCAGCAGCGTCACCCACGTGTTCTCAAATGATGGGCACGCTCATGGACACCCCTCCACACCTTGGACATGGCCGCTGCTCAGGAGGTATGTACAAAGGGCGCGCACGGGCACAATTCAAATTCCGTGTCTCTGAGATAACCTGTACCAGTTTGTGAAACCCAAAAACCATGGGTTGTTGCAGAGGTTTTTTGCAGAAGGCAAGACAGTAACACTTTTATTGCATACAATTCAAGAAAGACAACAGGTTGGGCTGGACTAGTGTTTTGGAGTGTACTGCACTACATGCTGCGGAGCTTGCTGAAGAGCCCTCCCACAGCTTTTGCTTCCTTGGCATCTTTGGGTCTGAGGTAATTGGTGACAACATTGGCAGACTTGAGTAAATCAGAGTGTGGTGGACACGGAAGTACCTCAACCTCAGACTACTATTAAGCAGGAATGTTAGAGTTGTTGTTGTATTTGTTGATTACTGCAAAGATTTCCTCAAGACTCCAGGTCTTGAGGCCACTTGCCTGCTCATTTGCAGGATTTAGGAGACCCAAAACTGACATCATATGTTTTTATGAACAAAACAGCTCTCAAATATCCTGCTCAAGCTATTGCTGAGCAGGTAGATTGCTTATTGGGTCTGTATCAAGATCAAAGTCTTGAATTTCAGTTGCATTGTTGTCCTCTAGCAATCTATTGGGTGGAGAAAGGTGACAAATCAGGAGGAATCATGTTTGGTGGTCAATGAGTTGAGGTGTTGATGATGAGTGTGGAACTTTTGGAGTTGGAGAGCTTTCAAGAGATTTGCTGATGTGTCTCAAAAGTCTATGGTGCAGTATCTGTTTTTTTGTGGGAAACTATGTTTTTTTTTGCTGATTTTCAAGAGAAAGCTATGGGTCACAGGCTATGATAGACTTGTGGGTTTGTGGCCCATCTTCCTGCCCATAAAGAATATGGAGGGAAAACACCGTGGGTTAGGGTAGAGTATTGCTTACTGGTTACTTCAGAGTCAACTTTAATTGAAACCAAAGGAGTCTACACAAGCATTTCTGAAATATTGGAGTGATGCTCAGTCTGATAGAAGTGTCTGCCAAATATTGGCCATTGTCTAGTAAGACTCTGGATCCATGACAAGAAAAGTCAACAGATAAGACCTGGAAGAAATCAAAATCAAATTTTTCACAGTGGTTGTATGGCTTTTGTAGTTTGGTTAGTAGTACCATGGACCAGGGTGGCATGAGAAAATTTTGTGTGTGAAATTGAGCGCTATCCAGGATTTGGAAGCTGATGTATGAATATTCCTTTACGTGCAAAAACATTTTCTCTAGTTTCTCCCTGTTGAAAAGTATTGAGTACCAGAATTCATCCAAAATTCATTGGATGTTTTTGGAAGTCAAATTTTTGACTATTCCTGATTTTATTGTTGTGTTTAGAGCAGATGTGCTTGTTGGTGTTATATAAGTAAGATCATCATATTTATTGCCTTCATTTGATTATACTTAAGGATCCAAACTTCAAGCAAACTCAAATCTTTGAATGCCCAATGGCTCTTTTTGAGGATATCTAGATACACCATTCAGTGCACTTACACTGCACAGATGTAGTATTTTTCGGCTATGCAAAATGATTAGAATTAATGTCAAAAATGATTAAAAATGCTATGTTAATGCATAAAAATGCACCATTAATGCACCATTAATGAAAAAAATGCAGCATCAATGCAGAAAAATGCAGTGTTAATGCACATGCAGAATGAATGCAGAATTCCACCTTTTTCAATTTTGTTTGTCCTTCAGGTCAATCATTTTTCACTTGGGAAAAATACTACATTTGCCCAGTGTTAAATGCCCAGCATTACCACAATGACCTGGTATATGGATCTGTGCATCAAGGCTTTCTAACTTTGATGTTCCTTTTATAAGCTCATCCAGATGAGACAAGTCCTCAATTTCACAAAAATCCCTGGATAATTGCACCTAGAGACCTCAGCAATTGTATTCTAGTATTTCTATGGTTCTTCTAGATGTACTCAATCATATCACTGTTTTCTATACCTCTGTAGTGGCCTTGGTACATTTTTTAGATTTGGAGCAAAGTTCAATTCATCTCAGCAGTCTTTGTGGGCTTTTCTCATTTCAGCTCCATTTTAGAGTTACAAAAATTTAGTGAGCAGCTAAATCCAGATTAGAAAAGGTTTACCCTCACAATGCATCTATTTGTAAGTATAATGATCAAAATATTCAATAGGTGCCAGGTAGTGGTGAAGTCAAGAGCTTTTTATGGTCAAGTATATACTCTGTCAAGACTTTGAGCCAAAATCCTCAGTGTTCCTGTTATTTTTTTTTATATCAGGCTTCCAGAATTGCGAAACTTTCTTTACTGAAAAGTTGAATACTTGATCATAGTGGAGTGGTAAATCATTATGAGAGTGAGGCAATGTGCAATTGTTTGTTGTGGCATTGCTGATGTGTCAAAGTCACATGAAGATGCTTATGTCGAGTGATGGCTTCCGAAGCTCCGACTCGAGTCCGAGTGAATTTACATATGTTGTACATATTTACATACTGTGCGATTGGCAACTTTTTCAAGATTTGTTGATCGAGTGTGACAAGGACAGTCATCCTCAAAGCTCTTCATATCCTTCTCAAGCTCAAGCATTCGTTTTGGACAACTTCGCCAGGAATTCAGGATTCATCTTTAGGGAAACTTACACCTAGAAGGACATGCAACGCTACTTTCACAGCTGAACTCAAAATCTTGGACTGGTCACCCACTGCGTCATCAATTCCGAGGTTCGAGATCAGGATTATACGGGATCAGGCGGAGTCTCGCGTGATCAGCACATGGCTGCAACCATTGCAGTACGAAGCTTATCAAATTGTAGTCCTACACGCTTCGTCTTAACAACCTCCTCAAGACAAATGCTTTCAACCTCACCAAACTCCGCCAGTCATTCATTAAAGCCAATATTCTCAACTCGAAACTTTTCCGAAGAACTAGCTCGCTTTCAGATCGCACACTCCAATAGCATGGAAGACCACATTGATATCCGCCTCCATCCACAGGATCAGCAACTTCCGACGATCGGAGGGCAACCCTCAACAAACGAGCGTCGAGGCAAGGATACTCCAGCCATTGAAGACCGTTCGCATGTCTCGCAAGATAACGAAATGTTCCTTTCCACATCGAAGAATTTGATTGAGCACCAGGATGCAAGCGGTTTGGAAGTGGCTTCGTGTATGTCACCATTATGATACCCTCTGGTACGCACAATGACTTTTCACAGACATTGATATCTACCGTACCTTCTCTTGAACTAGACGGGGATTTGGCTGCCACAAATAAATCTCATCTGTCTCCAGAAACTCTCATCACCCGCTTTGAAAGTTGCAGCTGTGGAACCGTACCAATAGACCCGCCAACACTTCTCGCCGATCTAAAGTCTTTAGAATCGCTCGCCAATTCCAGGAAGCTAAGTTCAGTTTCACGGACGGTCTTGCAATTATGGAGAAGATGGCATAGTTTTCTACTCAATCCTAAACGAAAGGCGATTAAGCGGACCACGTTTCATCAAATTTCCCGCGCCTTTCTCTTTCTATGTCACCATCGGCTATCCGAATTACTTTGCGATATACGAGTACAAGAGCGATCGGGCATTCATTTTGAGCCTCGGACATTCAGGTCATTGGGTGATGCTAGCTTGAAGGCCAAAAATTGGCCTGTTCTTTGTTGGGTATTGAGTCACCGGAAGCTTTCGAAAGAAGATGTGATCATCTTGGTCAAAGCCGCTTGTCGCAAAATTGCATTCTCATCTTCAGAGGAAAATCAATCATTACGAGTACAAAATGTTCAAAAGCTCTCGAAGCTGGTTGAGCATCGAATGCAACACGATGTCGAATTTGTACAGTTGGGTGGATCAGCGATCCAATACATCAGTTGCACTCTTTTCAAAATGCGATGTATAGATCAAGTGGTTCCCATGATCTTAGACATCTTATACAACCATCCAGCTCTAGCAGAAACCCTATCTCCTTCCTTTCTGCACAAAGTCATGCACACCTGTGCATCTCATCAACTTCTGAATCAAGCACATCAACTTCTAGCAGCCATCCCCCTTGCGATGCAAACACTAGATCAATATAAAGCGTGTCTAACTGTATGGAACCGACGCACACCACGACCTTTGATTCAATCCGCTTGCTCCCTTTGGTCTACATTGCTTTCTCATCCGATTCTCAAGCCAGACATTGATGCCTATAATCTGTATTTATCATTAAGATCTCGTTTGGGTCATGTCGAGGGAGTCTCAAATATAATTAAAAGACTGATTAGAAGAGGACCCGTTCCAAATCAACACACATACGACATTCTTCTCTATTCAGTCGGCCAGAGAGAAAATGTTGAATGTGTCTGGAATACGCTTCGACAACATTTACCCCCCAAGTATACCCCAACCTCCCGAACCTCAAATATCTTATTGAGTTCCAAAACTCGCTGCGCTCTTCAATGGGGCACGACTACATCCCCAGATTCACTAATGGTCGACGAATTGAATTTTGTCAAGTTGATGAAGCAAATTGAAGACGCTACTTATGAACGCGACGAAGTGACCAGGAACATAGTCGTACAAAAATTTCTCTCGCGCTCACAATCACATAATCCCGAACAAATATGGGCCCTCAAAGAGCTCGTCCTACCCAGTAATCCAATTGACGAAGAAGACAAGCGCCTTACCCGTACCGACTTTAGACGGTTCAGAAGACCATTATATTCTATGCTACGGTCTGCTTTCATTCGGGCTGGGCAAACGGAAGACGCGGCTCGTCTGACCGAGGAATGGGAGCGCGAGAGTCGATTGGCAAGATCACGTGGCCCTTCAAATATCACAAATACACAATGAGCCCTCAAACTTTGATACCACTTTTGCGGTCTCGGTTCCGTCTATCAGCAAGCACGGCTTTGCATGGTGGACCCCAAGCTTGTATTAATCAATTGGGACTCGTGGTTTTGGTAATGCTCCGTGCGTTTAAGCCGGCTTGTTGATTGTTGTCGTGCTGCTCGTCCTTATCTCCCACGTTTATGTAGTCGTTGTATAATGCCCGCTGGGGTGCAGAGTGGCTCACACTTACAAAACGCCAATAAGTCAAGAAATTTATATGGGCGTGTAGCCTAACATGCAGGCACATTCGTCGACGCAAATTACTTTTGCTATCATAGAGGTCAATAATGCAAATTTCTTGCGTAATACAAATTCAATGTTAATGGCAACTATAGACTCTAATTATCTGTATAGTAGACCTTTCATAGGGCTACAAGCTTCTAATGTCCAGATTGCATTGAAATGACTTGACAAACAAGGTAGATCTTGTCTGATAATCAGTAAGATGTGATGATGCGGCACTAAAGGTATTCTAGATTATCATCAATGAGTAAGCTACTGATAACATGGTTGCTTGGAATATCTGACCCTCACAGGAAGCATTTTGACCCTGTGATTGCTTAGGCAAGTGATGGGCAACAACCAGCTGTACCTTCAATCCTGTGATGTGGGTACTGAGCTTGTCATGCTGATTGCGTTGGTTCCAAGTACTCATCAAAGATTCTGATGTAAGAAACAAGGTTAGGGGTAAAGTACAGCATGGGGGTGAAGATACCTCATTTCACTAGTTATCTCCAATTAGTGCTGCAAGTTATTGCATGTTGGACCTTGGTACAACATAACAGCCATATATGTGAACCATTTCATACTACTTGAGTAGACTTGTAGATAAGTTGGACTTACAACACAAAATGCACAAATGCACGCATCTTGACACATCCAGTGATTGTATCATGCCAACAGCCAATTCAACATAAAAACCCTTTTTTAAATTTGATCAGACTCATGGTGCAGAACTTTTGCCTTTTATTTAGAGTGATTTTTTGTCTTGTGTGCATAAGCTTCCTACTGGTGATCTGAACTAGGGTTGTGACTCCTATTAAGCCCTGCAAAACTCAAAATAGGCTCTCCTGGCTTAGGCAGGGCCATGAGAAAAGGCTTCTAGAATCTGTTACATATGGTAATATCAAAAGCCCTGTCAGTGTTTGCTCACCTAAGGCTTCCACACCTCCACAGTACCAATATAACCTCCAGGCTTGGCTTGGCCTCAAAAACACAAACAGGGTTGATCCAAGTCAGGTCAAGGAAGTCGATTTTCCATTAGATTTTTTGGTTTCCTTTGATATCTCCTAAATGAATATGAACACAGACTCTAGACTTCTTTTTGCCATTGTGAGAATCTCTTGCCCTGCTCTTAGCCCCCTCCAAAAAATGACCTGGCCCTGCCTGGCACAGGAGATCTCTGAGGTTCCTTCAAGTTGCAGAAGAGCTTGGACCTGCCTCAAGGTTGGCCAAAATTGCACAAGGTCAAGTCACAGCCATGATCAGAACATCCAGAAGCTGTAGAAGCTGTTTTCAGGTTTTGTCTGTGGTAGCCCTTTTTCTTTAAATTTGATCAATATCTGTCAAATCTGTTGCGCATTACATTTCCTAGATCATCTGATAACTATCATTATTCTAATAGACATATAGTTGGATTTCTCTATTCTAGAATGGCAAATACCTCAGCTTGATGTTCATCAAAATATTGGAGTAATTTATGGTTCATTTTTGTCACAAAGAGGCTCCAGAACAAATCAAAGTACATAATTATCTCACCATTCATATTTCAAAATATGATATGTATTCTTTTTCCAAATTAAATTTTCATACTTCCAGAAAAACCCTCTGGATGCAATCTTTCTTCGAGTTGCAATCTGAAGTCAAATTTTGAGCATTGAGACATAATCAGGCCCTGAATTGCAACACAAAAGCTGATTAGTCTTTCAGTATTTGTTGGGTAGTCACATGGATTATGAGGACACTCAAGAGGATTTTTTTGCCTATATGAGGATCAATGCAACACTTGGGACCTACAATTATCTATGCTCCCAATGACAAGGCTGCATTTATTTTCTGCTTTGCCTTATCCATGATCCTTGATATCATATTAATCATATTCTCATAATCAGGATTTGAAGATGTCAAGAGGTCTGAATGGATTAGTTTGAGACGAAATATGTCTTTCAATGACAAATTCAAAAACAGATGATACATCTCAATATATGAAGTTGGAATCCCAACTGCCTGTATCAAAGACTTGGCCAAATGTTTGTCTCTTCTGTCAACTTTGATCAATTTTCTTTTTTGAGATTCTGAGTTGTTGCCCTTGACTGTCTCCAAATCTTTGGGAAATTTCAAGTTATCATAATGTGATATCAGAAGAGACATTGTGACTCCCTGTTCCCTCTGTGTTTGAGGACGTCTTAATGTTTTGGGGTTTTTCAAAGCCTCTTGATATGATTTATAAATAGGTGAAAGTGCCAATTTGTGATCTGGGTCTTTGCTGTTTTGGATATCCATCTGGGATAAAGTCCATGAGTGCCTGTCAGGGTAAGTTTGTAGCTCCAAAGCTTCCATGATTGTATATTTTTCATCTGCAGTAAAAGCAAAGCGTTCTAATTTGCGTTTTATTGCGTCCGTCTGTCTTTGTGAACATCCAATTAAGAACTTGTCTGGAGTCTTCATTACGTACCACAAGGCATTTTCAAAGAATATGTTGGTTGCAAGGATATTTTTCTTATAACAAAGTACCATTGCCTTTGTCTTCAAGTGCTCAATGTTATTAAGACTTTGACGGTATTTCAGTTTCCACAATAGCATTCTAAGATCGCTTTTGTCCGGTAAAAATCCAACCTTGTTAGAGATATTCAAGAATTCCATCGCCAAGGTTTGATCACTCTGTCTTTCTGGGAATGTTTTCCATATCTGTATACCTCTTTTGATCTTTTCCCACTCCTCATGTGTGAAAACCAATGGTTGTATCCTATTTTTTAGCTTCCAGGCAATGGTCAACTGCTTCTCGGATAATTCCCTTTCTTTCAGCACTGATTGTAAGAGCCTACTAATGCTGAGATCATACTTTTTTTGTCTTTCAGAGCCTCGCCAAATCTTTTTCGGCCTACGTGTTACTGCACTTGCAATATCAGTACCAAAAGCCTGGATACATTGAAGCCTCATTGTCTCATATCCATCAAGGTTACTGAGATCGCTTTTTCTCAAGATTTCCAAAAACTTGAAAGTTTTTGATGACATCGATTTCCTGGAGTTGATGTTTATCTTATCCAGCATGGATCCTGGGGTGGATTTGGGCTGTGAGATGATCCAAGAATTGTGGCTTTCGAAGGGCTCGCTGCTCTTGATCTCGAGATATATTTCGCGATCTAAGTTATTGACAGCTGCCTCAGCTCCATTGGATTTCCTTTGGCCGACGTGTGATTTTTCACCCGTTGGTTGGTGAGAAAGCTCCATGGAGGGATAAAATTCTTTCACAAATATGTGCCTTTCTGTCCCATGACTTGCAAGACGAGAAGTTTCGGTAATTCCCTGGTCATTGGACCTTTCCTTTGTGTTGGTCTTCGGGACAGCCAAGCGAGATGGCTTTGGTGTCACTTCCGGCGGCTCTGTGAGGCTCAGCCTATAATGAGGCTTGTACCCTACCTCATGTATAACAGTCTGGTCTTTCAAATCCTCAAGTTTATCGCTGTGCTTTCTTTGAAAAAATCGAAGCGTAGTCCTCTCCCTACGATCAGGTTCAAAGGGGCCTTTACCACAAGATAACGATGAGAGTCTGGTAGCTTCATGTCTTTCTCCTATCCTCAAAAGAGACTGGAATGTAACCATCACCTTTGACCAAAGCCACAGTAAGAATGTGAGTAACCACGGTTGTTTTGGGTCTGTAGTAGGTCTCTCTACGGAAGTTGCAGTATGCCCGTTTAAAATGTCTTTTCGTGATCGTGATGGTGATGCGCTTGCTTTCTGACAGAGTCCGCTTTGGTCACTCTCGCTGATTGGGATGCTGTGGAGAATGCGATGTCTAAGGACATTCCAATCTACATTCCCAACATCAGCAATTCCTTGGCAGTTGTTACCCGACCCCTGCCGCCTGGTTTCCTCCGGCAGCTGATGTATATCTTTTCCTGATTTTGTAGGCCATTGTGCGGGTGAGTCTGGACAGCTTACTTGACTTTCAAAGCTTAGGTTGTTACTTTCTTCGAGCAGGTTCTTATGTCCTTTTTGTCTCGTCAGTGTGCGGCTCAGTGCGGCTGTAAAAGGTTTTGGGGTTATGATTGTCTGGTCTGCAATCATTAAGTGGTCTCCTCCTCCGCATTTTCCATCCGTAATACGTGAAATCGATGATAAGCTACTTGGTGCCACCGACCGACACGCTTTTCCGATATCTTCCACGTGCAGACCTCCAGCTTGACTGAGCAGAAAGGAGCAGGTGTACAGCGTAGCCCAAAGAGATGGTGAGATTCCCGTTTCTAAGCCATTTTGAGTGGAAGGTCTTGTCCGCATCTCACAAAGAAACTCAAATTGACACGTCACTTGAGATGCCAGTTATGACCCTGCGAAAACGAAATGGATTGTGGCTACATGGTAAGGATGTGTTGGCGTTATTCGACTCTTTACTTCCAACTGGATCGTAGCTGATCATAAAATGACTCACCCTTTTGACAATTGAATATTGAGATGAATACCTCTGGTCTGAGCGCGCTTTCTGGCAGGAAGATTCGATAGTTTCCCAAGCGGTGATCACAAGGTATTCTTGAGTGTTCGAACAGCCAATCGTTGTCCTCAATCCGTGATTTCGAAGGAGGGTGTAGAGCACTCGAGCTACAAAACTGTGGACTCGCGATCCACAGATCTGACAAACCAGAGAGTATGTCAGTAAGTCCTCAAGGGACCTCGATACGATCCAGAAACACATCTTCACCGTTGGTATTGCCTCAGCTTCAACGAAGACAAGCTTAGCATCAACTCGTTAGAAGTCTTGTATACCACACCCTTGCTTGCCCCGCAACGCTGTCCGGCAAAGAAATTGGCATCAGCGTAAGATTTCTGGATTTTTGGTCGCAGCTGCAGCCACGACACACGACGGGATCTCTTGTATGGAGGAAGCAACGCATGCAATGCATTCGATGGTCGCACTGCTCGCGACGCCGCGTCAAACTATAAGCGGAACGAGAAGAGCGTGTTTGTACAATTGTTGTTTATATAAAATCAGCAAAATGAATCTCTATCATACAACCTCTATTTGTATGTGCTGCAGAAAGCTTTCAGGATTTCGGCACTACATGATGAGGGACAAAAACCATGAAAGGAGTTGTGTCATTGTTGTGATTGTGATGGGTCCAGCAATCTTAGTACAGTCGACTCTGATATAACCAATACCCAAAAAATGTATCGGTTTTCACGTGTACATACAATGTAGGAGTAGTCAAAGGCAAATTCCTACAATTCAGGAGACTCTTAGGTGCAGAACCATCATATCCCACTGGTGCATTCAAGTACAATGTGTGATCTGGAGAACCAAGAACCAACGGACATTGTGAAAAATTAAGGTAGCTTCCAAAATCATAACCATTCTTATCCAGATCCCTATTTCACAGAGACTGCTAAAAATTTGCATATGCCAATTGGTTTCCCTCCTCTTCCCTTGTTGCTTAAATCATACTGCCATTGTGATCTACAAGGCCTTTATGGACATCAGCATGGAGCAATTGTTGATCAGAAAAAAGCGCAGATAATGCATTTTACCCATAAAAAACATACAAATCCAATTGTTTTATTTGGAAAACAGGTACTACTACCACAACAGAAACTGTGATGGCTAGGAGTGTGGTTAGACCCCAAGCTAAAGCTTGGATCACACATCCAAAAGATGTACCAGATAGGAAGAACAACAATCACACAAATAAGCAAAATCAACAAATGCTATTGGGGTGTTAGTCCTAAGGAAGCAAAAGCATTGATCATGTCTATTCTTAAACCATGTATCCTGTTTGGCTGTATAGTGTGGTTCAACACAAGAAGAGAAGGTAAAGTCACAAAAATATTCAACTTATTACAAAACACAGCTAACAGATTAATCCTAGGAGGTTTCAAAAGCTCACCAACAGACCACATGACCCATGCCGCTAACATGATCTCATTTAAAGATTTAGCTATAAGATACAATCACAACTTTATTTATAAACAACAAACAGCTCCAAAAACTTGCCCAACAAGACATATACTGGATATTGAATTATTTAACACACCACGTAACCTTTTGAGTTCAATACATCGAGTTTTACAAAAAGCTGACATGTTTGTATCAAATGACTTAACATTAGAAACAATCCACCCATATCCTGTCCCCCATGGATCAAACCAAAATGGGAGGTGAAGAATAAAGGAGAAAAATGTGATGTGGTGCCAGTGAAGAAGAAAATACCACAGCAACTGCAAGAAGAGAAAACTAACGGTGCTTGTATCATATTCACAGATGGCTCTTTCATCCCTGACACAGGAGGAGGTGCTGCGGCGGCAATGGAGAATAGCATTCTGAGCCAACCTTTTGGCCCAATAGAGGGCATATCTAACCATGAAATGGAGACTATGGCACTGATACTTGGTTTATTAAAATTTAGTACAACAATGACAGAAAATCCAACAAGATACACATCCCTAGCAATCTTTAACAATAGCCAGGCAGCCTTAGAGCTGCTAGGGAATCCGATCCAACCTAAAACTTTACAATACTTAGCTAAGATGTTACGCCAGTCACATAGAACTGTTCCAACAAACAAGACAATATCCTTGTATTGGATGCCTGGGCATGAAGAAACTGAATTGAACAAAAAGCAGACACTGCCGCTAAGGAAGCAGCTGAAGGAAATGATGATTTGGTCTTATTACCAGTAAGCCTAGGAGGTTTACTCATACATACCAAAGAAAAATTTAACAGGGGAGCGGTATCCATAAAAAGATTTAAGACAACAGGAAAATACATAGCTGACACATCAAATAATTTAGAGAAAGGACAGGCGGCCATGATCTTTCAATTACAATGTGGTCACTGCCCACTCCAAAAATTCCTCCATTGGACAGGGGTTGAAGAAGACAAAAAATGTGAAACCTGCGGAGTAACAGAGTCACCAAACCACTTTCTCATATTTTGTAGAAGATATAACAAGCAACATCAAGCATTTAGGAAAACAATCAAAGAAGAAAAAATCAAAGTCAATTTGAACTCTGCACTAGACCTGCTGGACACACCAGCAGCTTTTCCTTACTTAGCTCAATATATTGAATACACAAAAAGATTTCATTATTTCAGAACATACTTAGATAAATAGCCACACACTCATTTGTCCAACTTATGCAAAATTTTCCTTTTTTCCTATGTTATCAATTTCTCTATTCTTTTGCTTCTTTAGTGTATTAAAAAATTGTTATAAAATGGTCTGTTGTGAAGGCTTAGTAGTCTGGCTCATAGTAGAAAACATAAAGGATTTTGTACGGTAGTTACAGTATTTGCACACATTGATAGATAGTGCGCTCTGTGAAATCAAAAGCACTTAAAAACAAAAAATCTACAAGGCCTTTATGGACATGAAACTCAGACTATGTAACCTAAAATACATAACTTAACAAAGTCCCTTGTGCAGGGGTTTAAACATAACAAGTGAGGCCCAAGGCACGAGGGACTTACCGGAAAAGATTGAAATTTGGCACAGAAGGTAGTAAGTTTTAGTAGAGGAACTCTTAGATTTAATCTTAGATTTACTCTACATCAAATTCCCATTTACCAACTGTTTGGAAGGGGGTCAGGGAGATGCACCTCCTTCTTCCCAACATTTCCTTCTCTTCAAATTATGGGAGATGTTTTCCTAGATAGGACAGATAGATTGTTGTTTCTTTTCAATTTATGGATCTCTTTTTTGCAAATTATCAAATAGAAAGCCTTTTGGTGTTTTTTTCTCACTTGTTTTATCTGCATTTCCAAATCAACCCAAACATCTGATCTTCATGATATCTTTCAATTGATCTTTACTCTCTATAAATAGAGGCTGAAATTATTATGGTATAATCCCCAGGAAATTCAATGTTTTGGGGTCTTTGATACACTTGCATGTGCCTGAGTCTTGGCACCTAGCCTTGTTCTACCAGTTAATTTTGATGCCCATGTCTGTAGATAGAGGCCTCAATTATGCAGCACAGAGGTTATAAGAATATCAGATTGAATATCACCTACATTCTGTTATGAGCACATTCTTATGCTTACACAATAGTCATGCTTGTAGCATATTCATTTCTAGTTATATGACTGGAGGATTAGACTCTTCTAATCCTCATGTAGCAATCTATTATCTATACTAGACAACAAGTGTAATTAATGTTACTCACAAACTCTACAGAAATTAGTTTATATTGCTGATTCTGCACTCAAAATTACATTACTTAACACACTTCCAATGACTCGATGCTTGAAAACAGCCAACCCAAACCACAGGACCTTGCTCTACTACATGTAAAACTGTGGGATTCTTTGCTTATGCCGAGTATTGAGGGGCTTGAAATTTTTGTAAAGATGCAGAACATTGCATTGATCTTGAGCATGTGCCAGAGTAGACTTTGACACTTCCACATGTTTTGGTGGCCTGATTATTCTCATGACAAACAGAACACTCCCAAACTACTTGGCTGTGAAAAGCTACACATAGATAAGATGAACCACTAGAATAAGCCACCCATTCAGCTTTGTGGAGTGAACTGTGTTGGTTTCTAGTGAGAGCCCTCATATTGCCATGATCTCATACTCCTTACAATATTCTCAAATTGACGCTCCCTGTCTTACCATCACCTTGCACAGCCAATCCCTTTCATGGCACCCCCCAGATTTTGCAGATACATCCAAAACTCCTTTACTAAGTGCAGATGCCAAGCACTGTCCTTGGCAGAAGCAATTAGGGGTTGGGCAAAAAACCAACCAACCAGTTTCTGAGTGCCATTGAGTTGTGATTCAATTTTTTAGGAATGTTCAGGAAAAATTGCTCAAACAATATCAAAGCCAACAAAAAAACTTGTTCTTTGCTTTGCTTTGTGAAAAAAAACCAAAAGTTGACTGGTAAGCGGTGTTCTTCCAAAGCCCAACCAATTCAAAAACCAAAAGCAATTTGTGCCACTCAAGCCACACAAACAACATCTTTCCACCTTTCACAAAGCAGAGAGCCGGGTACCACCTAGGCTCTTTTGGAGCTCAGCTCAGTTGAAAAGGCCTGTCTTCAGACCCAAACACTGACTTTGAGTGACCTGGCAGAGCGACAGGTCTGTGAAACCTGCACACAGTTGTTTCCGGCCATCTTTGACTTGCTTCAACTCCCTTCTGAAAGGCGCAAAACTGGTTGGTCGGTTTTTGCCCAAGCCCTATTGTACCTGTCACCACCAGATCAAATATTCACCAGTGTGAATCATAAACAACAGTCTTGAAACATGTCAGAAAAAAAAATTCATAGTGGCAGAAATATCAGGTAAAGTTGTTGAAGTTTTCTCCTATATGATCAAACATCACCCCTGTTGAATGTTTGTGGAACATCAAAGTCATTCTTTCTCCCTTAATAACTCTACCTTACCAGGTGGATGTCATCTTGAGTCTGTTCCTGTTATGCATAGGTAATTTTGCCTCTTCAGGAGGTTGATGGGCTGTTTGGATCAATTACACAACAGTCCCAGAACTTTTTAGACAAGCTTCAAGTTTAAACAATCTTGCAAAAGGGATCAGACAGTTTCAGGTACAGACATAATTAAGCTTAACTACACCTCTCTATCAACATGGTCACATTGGCTCTCAAAGAGCCCCAACTTTGGCCTGAGACCAGCAAGATTTTCAAGTGCTTTTGCTTGAGATTCCTTTTTGGGGGATCTAAACACTGTGGAACCTTGAAATATATACAGCAGAGTTTTTTCAAGCCCTTCTGCTTCTTGTTGTACTGATTTTAGCCTGTCACCACTTGGAGATTGTGAGGAAATTTGATTCTGATAGGTATCACATGGTTTTGAAGGGGTCAGTGTGTGAGCCTACGCGCGCCTTGAATACTTAAGACCCAGATTCACAAGAACTCAACAACTGAACTGTGCCACTTTGCTCAAGTAACATGGTGCTAAAAGTGGGATGAGCATGTGTACAAGGCTTATAAGGAGCTCTGTTCAACTTTTTGTCAGGTTGCACAATCTTTAGAGCCTTCAAAGAGAGATTTCAAGCAAAAGTGCTTAAAATTCCTGCTGGTCTCATCTCAAAGTCGGGGTACAAGCCAAGCCCCTCTTCGAGTCGAGAGGGAGGACGTCGCCGCGTCGGAAGAGGGGCTTAGTTAAGCTTAAGACATAATGGTCATTGAGTCTGCACAGGTTTGCACAGAAACACAATAACGGGTGATCGAATCAAACCAAGCCCTTTTTTTCTCAATTGTCACGCAAATTTGTCGGATGAAATTTGATGGATTATTTGAAAGCGGAACTAAATTGTGCTTATGAAACTGAAACAGACTGAAACACAACTCTGTCCCGTGTCACTCATCGCTCAGCTCATCTCACCATTCCTTCTTTTTCATCCCGACCGGCGACAATTCGCTTTGAAGCAGCTTGGGGCCAATACATGTCGATGCATTAGGATAGATTAGGATTTTGAAGTCTGATTGAGGAAATCTGTGCGAAGACTGCTCAAGAATCTCAGTGCTGAAATTAAATTTTTCATACGCTTCTTTGGACTCGATCATCTTGATAGATTGTGATTTAAGTCCTGCGGTGTGAGGCCATATCTCGAAAACCCTTGAGAGTCTCTAGAGATCATAATCGATAAGCCAATGGCTAATATCATCGCAGCGCGGAGTTTATCATCCTATACCTCACGATCCATCTTGTCATCTCTTCCAGTCGGGCACAATCGCCGACGTTTACTATGTTTCACCCAAGAGACTCGACTTCACGCTGAGGCTCGCACAGGCTTAACTACGAATCCATCAACACCAATCTTGAGCATTCGAACATTTTCTCAAGTTGCATCTCGTTTACAGGCCGATCATACCGATTACCTGCCAGAGCACCTCGATGCCTTTCCAGTTCAACCTCCAGATATTCCTTTTTCGCAGCTTGTTCCGGACTCACGCAACGGCGAAAAATTATCTCAGGACTCTTTAGTCACAGACGAGCCTTCTAGTCAACCTGAACTTCATGCTGTCGTGAGCACCTTTGATCTATTTTCGATCGGCATTGGCCCCTCGAGTTCCCATACAGTTGGACCTATGAGAGCTGCCAAGATTTTTGTCAATGATCTGAAGAAGGCAGGCGTGTTGAAAAACGCTCGACGATTGAAAGTGGCCTTATGTATGTCATTGCTGTGATGTTAATCTGATGCGCATCGAATCATACACTGATCTGCAACCCGCGTCTCACTGTATCAGATGGGAGTTTGGCTGCGACAGGTCAGGATCCTTTTTATCACTCAGGCACTGTACTCGAGGTATTTCACTGATGAGTAACAATGACATCAAATTCTTAGGCAAAGGTCATATGTCTCCAGAAGCTTTGATAGCCGGCTTCGAGGGTTGCGATTGTGAAACAGTCCCAACACACACGATCCCTACAAGGTATCAAGCAGTCTGCGATAATAAATCTATTGTTCTTGGCGCGGAACTGAGTGATGGTGAAGGAGGTCAACTCACACAATTTGACATCGAGAAAGACATGGTCTGGTTATGGGATCGAGTCCTTCCTCAACATCCTAATGGGTAAACCCAGCTTCTGCGTTTCTTTCTATACCACCTCGGCTTTACTTACAATGAATGCGCCGTCATATAAACACAGAATGCTCTTTTCGGTCTATGATGAACAAGGTGACTTGATTGCGAGTAATACTTACTTTTCAGTAGGAGGAGGTTTCGTCGTCAATAAAGATACACAATTTTCTCGAGAGAATCTTTACTACAAGCAAATTGATAAGAAAGGAGCGTCAGCCGTCCGCTTGGAGCCATTTCATCCTGCTCCCGTTTCTCAGCTTCTCTTGGAATCACAGTCCCAGAATGATGGTGAAAGTGGCAAGGATTCGAAGGCGGACATAGTTGACTCCAAAGACAGCACTTCTGGACCCAATCAGCCTCCTTTGCCATTTCATAATGGCGACAGTCTCTTAGAATTAACTCGGATACACAACGTAAGAGACAGAGCACTCTTTGTCTTGAAAACACCAGCGCTCATCGTGCACTCCTCTTTGGGTTCAGCTTACAATTGCTCAGATCGTTTTCAACAACGAAAGGCAATTTCTGTCCGCAAGCGAGATCAGGGCTAATCTTATGAAAATCTATCGCGTTGGTGGCATATACACACTCCTACTCGCCTTGTCCATATCCAATGTTATCATGAACTCACGCGTGTATTTTCTGTCAGGTGATGGATGATTCCATTAGACAAGGTGTCTCTTCAGACGAAGAAACCCTTCCAGGTCGCTTACGTGTCAAACGCAGAGCCAAGAATCTTTATCGACGGTTAGTGACCACGCTTATGATATGTTTAAGCTGATGAGCATGATATTGATCTATCACCACATTCTGAATCGACTGAATCGGATTTCGTCTCTAGCTTACACCGAGGCTTTTTCCCTTCCATCTCAGACTCGCCCAGCAACAGCCCACCTGCCTTGTCATTCACTAAACCAAATTTATTACCTGAAGTCTCCAACACAGCTCTTACTTCTACCTCCCAAGAAGATTCAACTCGAGCTTTATCACCACAATCAAATGCAACCATTGAGCACAGAGGTGAGACTCGTGCTCCGTTGGTGGTCAGAGGCAGATTCGATCACGAGATTCCACCTGTGATGCCTCGTCGAAATAGTTTCCCGTCCATGGACTTCCTTTCCTGTTACGCTATCGCAGTCAAGCAAGTTTTACCTCTTTGTGCATCTTTTGATCAGACATGTATTGACAATCATACTGTTGCTCCGTTCAAATTTGGTTCAAATTTGGTTTTCTAGTGAGGTCAATGCTGCCGGTGGGAGAATCGTGACGGCTCCAACCAATGGGGCAGCTGGTGGTACGCCATTTTTTCTTGCTTCGAGTATCTTTTGAGCCCAATGAATGCCCACGCAAAGGCTAAACTTGCTCCCATCTCCATATCGCACAGTCATCCCCGCTGTGCTCAAATATTTCTTGGAGGTAGGTTTTAACCAATTTCTGCAGTTTCTCAAAGGCTCTTTGCGATTTTGAAGAATAGCATCAGCTGATATGATCAAATTGCGCCCTGGTGGGTCAAAAGTTCATCTCCGAAGACCATGAGCGTGACACCATGACATTCTTACTGACAGCAGCAGCGATCGGAATGCTTTATAAGAGAGGAGCAACCATTAGTGCCGCTGAAGGTGGATGTATGGCTGAAGTTCGTAGTCATGCGTTCTCATAATGTTCCCTACAATTAGACTTGAACTCTTTAACACATTGCAGGTCGGAGTGGCATGTTCGATGGCAGCTGGTGCCTTTGCCGCGTGGTAAGTGTCTTCCGCAACGCTATCATCAAGCAAATCTCAGCAAGCAGGATACAATTTGGTATTGCATATACTGATCTTTGGCTGATCTGTTTAACAATCAGCATGGGGGGGAGTCCAGAAGTTATTGAAGCCGCGGCGGAGATCGGAATTGAACATTGCCTCGGATTGACCTGCGATCCAATTGATGGTTTAGTACAGGTACGCTCTCTTCAGCGTTCAGAGTCACAAGAGTTGGAGGAGGGGCAGATCCATGAGAATAACGCTCTAACTTGACTCTCTGATGGTGATAATGATGCACCTGGCGCTTGGTAGATTCCCTGCATTGAAAGAAATGCGCTTGGAGCTGTCAAAGCCGTCACGGCCGCTCAATTAGCTCTCTCAAGTGACGGGATTCATAGTGTCTCTTTAGACGAGGCGATCGCTGCGATGAGACAGACGGCCAAGGACATGTCAAGCAAGTATGTATAGTGATGCTCTTCTCATCCCTCTCAAAATCACTTATTAAGTATCTTGAACCTGGTTTGCACACTTCAAGATACAAAGAGACCAGTCGGGCTGGATTAGCAGTGAGTCACCTTGTTCCGCATAATTGGATCTTCCCCAAAGAATTTTGGGATGATATCTATCCCGCGATCTACACATCAGACTGATCGAATAATTCTGCACATCTCATCGGTCCTCAAAATTCTTATCATTTGCGTCGAAATCAAGACATCGGTGAAAGGCGCCAGAATCTCGGTCGCTGTCCCAGATTGCTGAGAAATGACCAACGACAGTTATACACCTCGGTTCATACACGGCAAGCCGGATGTGTTTCTTGCCTCCTGTGTTATGAATTTTGTTTGTTTGCGCATAACGGATGTCACGGACGACTAGATTGTCAAGTATTGAGCTATGCCTCTTACTCAAGGACAATATATCACATGTCGAGAACGTTTGACGCATTTTATTGAATTGATGAAAGCATTCTTGTACAGAACAGAAGATTTGAATTGAAGAGGCAATTGAATTATGCCTTACCTACCTGTGGTTCAAGTCAAAGAGCTGTCAGATGTTATAGCCCCCTTCCGCTCGAAGGTTTATTGGATTATCCAGTCGGCCACCTGGAGTTCTCTGAAGCCCGCTCAACTTTGATAACTGATTCATACGGCCCTTGATCAATGTGGTACCTTCAGGTATTCCTGGCACAGTATTTTGATACCAAGTTTCAAAGAAACCTGACTCAAGACGAAAACATTGACTGCAACCTATGGTTGAGACCAAACCTTCAGACAGACATTTAATCATTAAAATCCAAGAAGAAACCTCTGTTCAAAGGTCATTGTTGGAAAGCTGATTTGCGGCCTTGAAGATCAGAGTGGACCTAATCTTGAAATGCCAATTGTTGACCAATCAGTTTTCCTACTTGTGGACACTTGTGTTTACACATCTGACTTCAAAATGTCCAGCATTATGAGTCAATTGGTTCAAAACCTTTTAAAGGTGAAAAATTGATTTCCTTTTGTACTTCAACATGCAAGGCTCTCACTATTCTTATCTTTTTATCAAAGTATCAGTATCTGAACAAATGAAATACTGTGTATCAATGTCTTTTTATCAAACATGAAACTTGCACATCAAGTTTCTTTTTTACCATTCAGATCAAGCTTTGAAGCAAGTTCTACATTCAATGGACTATCATCTTATTTCAAGTCTCTTCCTCCAGTGTACATCAATACCATCCAATATCTCCAAAAGTCTTAATCAATCTTTTAAGGTGAAGGGATAATACACAATTCAAAATTTTGATTTGTGAAAAACTTTCAATTTCCCTCTTCTAATTAGAGAGTGAGATATGGTCAAGAGTGGTGGTGGTGGGTCTTGTTATTTTGATCACAGTGTTTCAATTGCAAAAAAAATGAATAGAAGACCCCATAATTGAATAAAAAGGATCTCAAATGGATAAGCTTTCACTTTCTCTTAGTGTTTCCCTAAAATGAAATTAAGAGAGAAATGGGTTCACAGAAATTGACCCAATGGCATAAGATTAAAGTTTGATATTCAGAAGGAATGGGTGATAAGTAAAGGAGGACAAGCATATGACTGATAATTCTGTTGGTCATAAGATGTAATTATGGTTCTCAAACCTATGCAAAAATTTGTGCAAGTTTTGAGCAACTTCTGTGCAAGACATGAATAGAACTTGCACGGAACTTGCACGGAACTTGCACGTCGGTCTTGCACGGTTTTTGTACCAGTTGGAACAAAATAGCTGGGGTCGTCAAAAAATTTAATGTGCAAGATTGGTGCAAGAAATCTTGCACAGATCTTGCACGTCGGTCTTGCACATTTCTTGCACAGGTTTGAGAACCATAAATATTGACCAATAAGACATAGAAAGATAACCATGACATAGAGACAAAGTGATAAGAATAAATTTGACAAAGATAACCATTCATTCTAATACATCTCATGCAGGTCCTCTTGTAAGCAATACCCAGACGCATTGAATTTGTCCACCAGAAGCTCTGGTGTGATGAATTCTAATACAGTTCCTGGATAGGCCAAGCAGCATTGTTACCTGACTTCTCCAAAATCTCACTTTTCTTGAAGTGAGCTTTGATAACCAAGAAACACATTGTGATTAGATTGAATAGGCTGGTAGATATACTAAGCTGACAACTGTGAAATCTAACAAAGTCAGTGTCATACATGGTGTATGATCAAGTAAACAGACTTACCAGTGGTTTTGCAAAGTTCTTCAATCCAACCTCTGTGATGATGAATCACACAGTTGTCCATGACCAGGATTGAATTTGGAGCTGGATAAGGGTTCATTAAGCAAAAAAATGACCAGCTGGAATTGCAAGAAGGTTTCAAGATAGCTGTGGTTGATGCTACCTTCACAGACAAACATGGTGATCAAACCACATAGTCTAATTAAAGGAAGCAACAAGTAGCATTTTGGGTCAGAACACTTGACCCATTGTGTGACACACTGACCAAATGGTGACTGGTTGTTAACCTGCATTGGATCACGTTCACAGATGGCACTCTCATCTGACAGAATCAGAGGAAGATCATGAATCAATCAGCAAAAATTTGAATGAAAGCAAAGAAAAAGAGTCAAAACAATAGATTCACTCACCAGGGAATACAAGGAATTCATCTGGGATAATCTTCATGTCATTGATAAACTTTGCAGTCTTGGCCTTCTTGAGAGTAAGGTAAATATATGTGTTAAGTTCATGTGAGAGTTCTTCACAAGACACCAAGACATTGGTTTTGTTTTAGCCTCACAGATCTTGTTCAAGAAAAGGGATGGTTGACATGCTATGAGTTTTCTGATGAAGACACAATCTTCATCATTGCAAATGAGAGGTCTGCCTTGTTTCTTATACTCTAATGGATTCCTGATAACTGATTGAGGTTGCTGATAAAGAGCCATCCATTGGTTGAAGGTAAAGGTTCAATCCAAAATGTCCTCACCAAGGATAAGTAGAAATTGTAGTTAGATACGGAACAGAAAAGGAAGGAGCAAACTTACAATATTGTCGAATTCCATTTGTATTTCTTTCAACACAGCCTTGAACATCTTGTGAAAAGTCATCAGATCTGCTGGGTTTGGATCTTTATCATACCTGGGTGGGAATAGTTGTATCTTCCATTCATCTGCTTTTGAATGTATCACACTCTGCAATATAAAATTAATCACAAGATGATACAAAATGAAGACAAGAAACACTTACCGTGACTTTTGAGGTCAGGCAGAGAGGAAGACTGTTTTGATATCCTTCTTTATCTGAAGTTTCTGTGTACGCTTGGATGTCACTTTCTAGAATGTATTGGAAAGCTATCTGTCGGACAAAGTCGTGAAAGAATCACCCAATTTTTGGTGTTTGAGTTCAATGAAAATGAATAGATTAGAAGAAACCTGATCTCCAAAGAATTCACCCAACCTTTAGGTGAGAGGTGTTCATCGGATCCAGCTCTCAAATTCGGAAGCTGGCGGGAAATATCGCGGCAACAGGAAGATAGCTCTTGAGGAGTCAAGGGGATTTTGTTCGTCCACGGCATGAACTGATCTTCATATTCATTCGCCTGTAAAGAAACAAAAAAATGATCAGTGATATTATCTTATTGAAGGACCGCATGTACTTGCATCGCAGTGCTGTCGGCCCATGTCCAGATGATCCTCATCAAGTCCAGCGTCGTTTGCTAGTTGATTAACTATACGTAGAGGAGTCCCAGCGAGGTGGGCTGAAGTCAAGCTTGAGGTAGCAGTGGGAGTACAAGGAGGAGGTAGTGGCACTCCAGCAAGTCCATCATCTATGTTATGGCCAGTGCGCAAAATAAGTCAATTGAAACTTGTTGAATGTGAACAAGAAGCAAAAAAATATGGACTTACCACTGTCTGCTTTGTCGAGATCTTAGACTTGATCAAGCAGTGCAAAAAATCAGTAAGTGAAACACATCGTATTGGAAAAACAAACAAAGATAAACTGACCACGGACTATTCCGTTGTTTTCTTGATCAAGGACTTCTTCCCGGGAAAAAGAGGACTTACGAGGTGAAGAAGATGACTGATCGGGAGCTGGAGCTGGAGTTGTAGGAGCTGCACGATAGGAGGGTCTTTCCATTTGCTGTTATCCGTTGATTGTAGCCACACTCTGCTTAGTTCGTCAAGAGGCCGACAACATTTTACATCTTCGTGTTTATCTGAATCTATTGGATCAGTTCTCTTCAATGTATCATTACCAATATGACCAGTGGAATGACTTTCTGGCTCCAGATTCCGTTGAACTGGATTGTTCTCCAAAGACATATGATTGTTAGCTTGGTCACGAAGAGCTGACCATTGAGCAAAACGTCCACTGTGTGTTTCTGGTATATCATGCCTTCGTATCGATTCATACTTCATAGTTCTTTGGGTTCCACAAGCCAAACAATGATCAACAACTTCATCTGGGCCTTCAGAGAAACACTCTTTGGTGTGACTAGGTTGCCATAATACCGAACCAAGTCATGTCTTGACATAAGATAAAGGGATATAACTACAAATATACCTCATGAGAAAGACAAAGAAATAAATAGTCAAATATTTATGACAGCTGAAAAAAATTGCTGTCCTTGTTGGAAGAAAGACCAAATTGGAATTGAGTAATATATGTTCATAGATAAAGATGTGTGAAGGAGAGAAAGATAAAGATACAACACTTCTTATACTGATTTGACAAACGTCCAAGCAGTCTCAGTTCATGAGCTTCCTAATCTGTGACAAACTCGTGTTCAACTTGATTATCAAGGATTGCCATGGTATTGAGTACTGCAGCCTCAGTAGGTAACGCAAAATCAGTAAGACCTTTTAGTCGATCAAAGGTCTTTGTTCCATCAATTCGAGCAAAATCAGACTGTAACACCAAGATGTAGTACCTGTTTAATGAAACTAGTCAGATAATCGTCATTACGCAAAAGAGATCAAGAGGTACATACGCAGAACGATAACGCTTAGATTTCTTGCGCAATCCATCCAACGCTTGATTCACAACCGAGCGATATACCTGTTTGTCGTAACTTTGATGGTTCAAGCTCCAATGGATGGCTTGCATTCTCTGTGAGTAACCCACAATTTCATCAGCCTGGTTTAAATATTGGGTTCAAAGTCTCAAACCCACAAGCCATGCGTATCGAGCTCTTCGAAAATGATCAACATCTTTCAAAATCTCCCTGCGAGAACGAACACGACCTCCAATATAACCATGTTCTTTTTCATAGAGCTGATAAAATGAAGAGACATCAACCTGTTGAATACAATTGAAAAGTTCCTGAAAGAGTCACTGACCTTAACAATGATTGTATCAAGGACTGGTACATTCAAGGTTGAAGATCTGGGATCTGGTTTTGTGATCGGAAGATTTATGAAAATCTGTGGAAAGGAAAGGTGTCTTGTCAGATATGAAAGAGAAAATGAAGATGAAAACTTACAATCTCATCAAATTCCGTTCGTACTTCTACCAAAACAGTCCTGAACATCTTGTGAAAACTATTCACATCTTTTGGATTTGGATCCTTACCATACCTAGCTGGGAGCAATCTGTTTCTCCATTCAACGGGTTTGGAAAGTATCACATTCTACAATGTATATGCAATTAGAGATCAAAAGATGATAAAAAAATAAGGAAAAAGATGTTACGAATTTGCTTACCATGACTTTTGTCGAAAAGGAGATTGGAAGTCTATCTTGATCTCCTTCTTGATCTACAGTCACACTGTACACTTGAAGATCACTTCCCAAGATACATTGAAATGCTATTTGACGGACGAATTCCTGACAGAACAACCCAAATCGTCAGTATCTGAGTTTGATCAACATCAATAGATTAGAAGAAGATATATACCCTGAGCTCTAAAGATTCTACCCAACCATTAGATGTTGGGATTCCATTGGATCCACCTCTGATTTCCGAAATCTGACGGGTGATATCATCGTGATAGGACAATATCTCTTGACGAGTCGATAGGCTTGTAATCATGGACATCATGAACTGAAATTCAGGGCCAGTTACCTGTAAACAAACATACAATGATAAGCAATAGCATCTTATAATCGATATACAATTGACATGTTGTATGCACATACATACATCACAGAGTCGGCGGCCCAGTTCCAGATGATGTTCATCGAGCCCAGTAGCGTTGGCTATTTGATTGAAGATACGTAGACGACTTTCATTGTCGTGGGTTGAGGCCAACCTTGAGCTAGCTGTGGGAGTATAACGAGGAGGCAGTGGCACTCCGGCGAGTCCATCATCTGTGCCTGCGTGCAAATCAAGTGGGCAAAATTAGTCGATCGAACCAAGTTCAAAAGAAAGCAAAAACATGAACTTACTGCTGTCTATTTCATGATGATCTTCAAGGTCTTCAGGACGGAAAATCAGTCAAGTGAAACAGATCGCATGGTGAGCAGAGACAAAAAGATGAACTGACCACTGTCTATTCCGTCAGTACCTTCAAAGTCTAAGGAAAAAGATGACTCGCGATGTGGAGTAGAGGACTGATCGGGAGCTGAAGTTGCAGTAGCTGCTTGATTGGAGGGTTCTTCTGTTTGCCCCTGTTGACCGCTTGCTTGATCATGTAGTTTGCTCTGACCTTCAACCAAAGCTGTCTCTTGAGCTTTTCCAGAGGTCTCACCAGTGTTGGACGGACTTGACGGTTTTCTCAATGAGGATGTTCGGTAAAGCGAGCGTCGCGAGATTGGAGGAGTGATTTTGGGAAATGGTGATCGAGAGTTAAGATTATCGAGGGTCCGACGGCGTTTTACATCTTCACTTTCAAGCTGATCTATCTGATCAGTTCTCTTCAATGTATTATTACCAGGATGACCAGTAGAATGACTTTCTGAAATCGATTTATCTTGAACTGAATCGTCCTTCAAACCAACCGATTCGCTAGCTTCTTTATCACGACGAGCTGACCAATGAGCAAAACTTGCAATGTGTGATTCTAATTTCTTATGACCTTGAATCGATTCAGGTTTCATAGTTCTATGAGTTTCACAAGCCAAACAGAAATAAACCACTTCATATGGACCTCGAGCTTCACCTTGAAAGCCTAAATCAAAGCAGATCATTAACTTTGAGAAAGTCTTTAGAAAATGAAACATTGCAGATATTTACATTGTTGAATGATACCAGGTCTAGCCATTCCAATAGAAATCAAAGGTGTTCTGAGGTTTGTTGTGGCGAAATGGGATGATTCAGGAAGATAGTTTGAGAGATGATGAATTATGAATTTAATCCACAAACGGGTTACGGCACGGCTAACCTCCTCCTGTCACGACAGGTCAAGACTCCCGGCCACCCAAAGCCATAGACGTTAATTTGTGGCGCAGATTGACCGGTTCCCAAATTCATACAAAGCATATCCCAAAGCGCAAAGCTGAATGGTCATGAAGCCAGATTTTCTAGAAGCAGATAGTATAAAGAGACTTCAATGCGAGTTTGACCGTTTTCTCTTGATCAAATCCCACTCGTCTTAAGCTGAGATACCCCAATCAACGTTCTTCTTCCTCTTTTGTTGACCTCTCCAGTATCCAAAAATGCTCCACATCTTCCTAAAGATCTCGCTTCTACTCTTTTCTCTGTGGATTCATGGCATAAAGGCCAATTCATGGTCATGTAACGAAGCGCTTACCACCACGCGTGATGCTGCCGGTATTTGATTTCATTTTTGTCTTTCTTGTCTTCTGAGTCCAACATCACTTATACCCACGGCTAATGCGAACCTCTTTTGGATCGTTGATGTTGAAAGTATGTAAAATCAGGAATGGGAACGCTGTAAAGTCGTATAGCTGTAGTTACAAAAGCTGCTGGAGTGATAGTAAGCCTATTACCAGTCTTTTTCACCTTTGATAAATCTCATCATAATTCTGATGATGAGGGGCCATTCGCTTTGGACACTTTTTTTAGATCATCAATATATCGAGTTGGGAAATTGTCGACGCTACAAAACAGAAGGATTTAGTATCCAACAATGTGCTCAATACGAACACCAGGGGGATGACGTTTACAGTCAGTATCTTCCTTGAACCCGAGAGTTTTGTCAAAGTGTCTTAATTGCAGATTTGCTTTTTCGCATCCACATGGGGGATAATCAGAATGCACCAACCCTGGGGGTCTAGTCTATCACTGCCTATACCATCCTCAAGAATGGGTTATACCCATGGGTGAGTCATGTTTTGTGATCAATCAAAAGCTGACTTTACTGAAGAGTAGCCATCCTTTCAGATTGTTCAAAGTGCCAACCGATACCGTGATAGATCACCCGATAAGACCTTTTGGGCATCTCCGAGCAACCTGACAAAAAGGAAACAATCAGAAAGAGTCAAGAAATTAATCAGCGATCTTAGCCATATCCTGAGCTTCTCCTGACTCGCATCAAATCATTCCCTTATTCGTACTTTTTCTCGTATCTTGTCGATGGGCCTTCATGTTAACCCTGCAGTTCTCCACACACACACTTTTAAAAGGTTGTGCTTTTCATCAGTCATACAAGAGGCTGGCTTATTGCTATCTAACTCATTTCTATCTCTCTTTTGACACTCATCTCAATCATATTTTCATCAACATATATTTGAAATCGTGAAATTTGACGTACAATATTTACAAAATCAAGCGCACTGGAAGGGGATTTCGACATCCGTTCTTCGCACTGAACCACTCGTAGGTCCAGGTAGCATCAGTTCCTCATTCTGAATCTGAGCCATGCTCCAAGATGTAATCAAGCCAAGATTTGGCAGTTCCATTTTCCAAGGCTTTGGACTTGAGTAACAGTACTTCATCATAGTCTTGCATGGAGCTGCAGAAGGGTACAAAGATTGAATTTCATTAATTGAAGCTCCATATTGACTTCCAGCTGTTGATCAAGATGAGAAACATTGAGATCTTAAGTAAGGAAGTCATCGGGTTGAGAAGATAAAGAGCGTACATTCTCGGCTACATCTTTAAAGAATTTGTAATGACAAGATGGATAATGATCTTACACAGTGGAATTTTTCTGATACATCTATTCTATCTATCTATATTATAAAATCACAAAGCAAGACAACCGTCTCCATTTCGTGCTTCTCCGGCCGCTTCATTCTGTAACACAAGACATCTTTCTACCCTTTCTCAAAAAATCAAAATACTCACTCCATCTCTTCATAGCACACTATATGCCAGTTTATAGATAAGAATGTGGCATTGGATCCCACAAGTACCACGCTCCATCATACAATAATACCCCCTCACTTCAGAGGTAACCAAGATCAAAATGAATTTAGTCAAAGTGTTGAGTATGCGGTTCAGTAAAGTTTCTTTTAGAGGTATACATATATGACTTCAAGAGAAGGATGAGAATCTGGTTCAAGACAAGAAATTGATCAAGTTGACTGAATGATAACCAAATTCATTAAGTCGTTCTTATCCTCTGAACATAACCACTCACAAAAAGATGTGTTTATAACCCAAATATATCCATCATGAATGCAATATATCAACAAAGAAAATGACGATTTCCAAACTTCTGAGTGGATCAACCAAACCCTTTAAATTTTCAATCATTTAAAATCAATCAAACGCTTCAAGTAAAGCACTCGAAGCATTCTTCATCTGATCCTTCCAAATCCCAAACCATTTCAAATCTTTTCCATCCAACCCAATCTGATCGACTTTCAAACCTGAAATCAATTGATGCGAATCGGCCAATAATTCATCAAGAGTTTTCGAAATCAAAGCTTTCGAATGAGGTGAAAGATCTAATTCTGAAACTAATTCATCTATATGTTCTGGAAAGCTTTCGATAAGATGAATGAACTTTTCAATTTGTTCTGTTGGAATGGATTTTAATAGACTTAAGTTTGGTTGGGTTGGGTTCACTAATCTTAGACTTAAGAGTCTACATAATCGGATGATCGGGATTAAGAGATTAACTCTTGTTCTTTCGGTTTCGGTTAATTTCACTTCATCTGGTGTTGATCCCAAAAAGTTGTCAAATTCTTCTGCTCCCGTTACAGCTTCAGTTTGATTAACATCGAGTCTTTGAAATCCATCTTCTAATCTGATCGAATCATCCGTCCTAAGCAAAATCGTTCGAACTTCTTCTAATGCATCTTCCATCATTTCCACTGATTCTTTAGCTTTGGTTTGAAGAAATTCGTAATCAGATTGATTAAAGGATTGGATGAGTTGATCTATGAGTTGCCATGATTGAGATGTTTTTTGTAAGATGATCTTTCGATGGGTTTCGATTTGATTTAAATCTTGAAGGTTTGAAAAATAAGTTTGGTATGCGTTTGTGATTTGGATTGAGATCGTAAGTAATTGATCAAATCGATTATCGATTTCTTTAAATTTAGTTTTACCTATTGATACCAAATTAGATTGGTTTATGATAGAGTTTGTTGTAGTTTTTTGTTGTTGGATTGAAGTAAAGATTAATTGAATGTGGTTATGGAATTGATGAAATAAATGTAAGAAATCATTGAATTGATTTGGATTTGATTTAAGTAGATCTGTAGGTTTGATTAGGATTGAGATGGAAGTAAGTTGATGTTTAAGTTTAGGTAAAAGGTCATTTTGAATTTCTGATGAGATTTGATAAACAGATGTGGATTGGTTTTGATGAGAAGAATTGAGTTGTTTTCTTGATTTTTGAGATTGAGATTGTAATTGAATCAAGTTGAGTAAGATTTGATCAAGTGCTTGAAAGAAACTGGGATTGATTGAACTGATATTAGCAGTAACAGTACCTGCTAAATTGGAAAGCTTTGGTTAGCAAGATCTCAATGAATGAAGACTTGAATGAAGTTGTTCACTTTACCATTTGGTTCATCCATGGCTTTGGTCATGGTGCTCATCGAAATCGTGTTGCAAAATTATCTTGGTCACCCATATTCCAACTCTATAACCCGGTCTCGGCCCTGACCGAAACCGGTATGCATCTTGAACGGGCTTTTGGATTAGCCCGAGCCGAGCCCAGACCAAGGCTTGCACGGTACGGATAGTGATGCAAAACGGTGTTCATGTTGATCTGCTTCGATCATTCTCAAAGTTGATCAAAGTTCATTTCGATTCATCAAATCAAGAAGAACAACTCATCAAGAAACATGTCAAAGACCAACTCAAAACAAAATCAATATCAACTAAAATTAAATATCAATAGGTATGTAAACCAAGCTCATTCTTCAACATCAACAAAGAATGTAACCTATTCAAAGTTTGATTGATTTGAACCTTTTGTTTTTGTTTTGTTTCTTGTCTGAATAAAAGAAATCTTAAACCCATTCCAGCAATTCCAAACCCACCCAACTTTGTACCATTTCAAAAAGTAAGTTCAAAAACCTTCAAAAACCATCTTCATCATCCAAATCTCTCAATAATAATGTTGATACTAATCACTTTCGTTTGTTTTCCTTTCAATTACCATTTTTTGATTGTTTTTAAAAAACGCAATAAAGTCAATCAAACTTAAATCAAAAGAAATCCAATCCAACAAATCTCAACATGAATTAGATAGATTAAGACAACAAAAAGCATGGGATTTAGCTCTAAGTCCAGCCAAACAGATTCCCATGCAAGCGTTTATGATGTGGATGAGTGGTAATGGTGTTCAAATCTTTAGGTAAGTTTCCTTATGTACCACTCACTTTCTTGAAGGAAAAACAAACAAACATGGAAAACCCAAATTGACCTTTTGGGGGGTTTTGAATTGTGATCGATTTCGTAGTGTGATGATGGTGTATATGTTAATAAAAGGTGCAATCACTTCAACCTTATCAGTAAACCAAGTTTTCAAAAGCTTTATGCCACAACTCAGCTCAAGCATTGGAAATCCTTCTTCAACGAACGGTCAATCCACTTATGATTTAAGATTTCAAAAACTTTCATTTATTACTTTTCAACTTGGTTTACTTGGACTTGGACTTTATAAAGTTAATACCATGGGTCTCTTACCTACTAGACTTTCAGATTGGATTATGTATGAACCTAGACCGGTACGTTTGGTTTCTTACGAAGGTTCACTTACACTGGAATTTCATCTACTCAAGATTTGAAAACTGATCAGGATTTTTCGTTTTGTAGGCTGGAGCTGAAAGGTTCCTTAGTGAAGAAGTTCTGGGAATTGTTATTAACCATTAATTCGAATCTAAAAACTTTTGTTTTCTATCTCTCTTCTTGAAAGTTTTTGACTTCCAAACTCACTCATGTCACTTCAATTCACTCAATAGTGTTCATTACTTCTTCTTTTATACTCTATTTTTTATTCCATATTTGATCAAATCGATTACTAGATCTAGTTAATCAAAACTTGTTTTATGTTGTAAAGTAAATCTAAGATATAATTTCAAACATGATCAAATTGAATCTTTTTTTTCTTATTCTAGATGAGTCGTTTTGATATATTGTAAGAAATTCAATCCATTTTATCAATCGATTCTTTTTTGAGAGGTCTAACTATTGAACTTGAATAATATGAAAAAAGAATAGATATCTATGAAATTCAAAAACAAAGTCTAATGAATGTCAATGATCAGCCAAGATACAACTTCTGATTAAAAAAAGATAAAGCTGAATAAACTAACTTGATCAAATAACCAACCGGATTTCATTCATTAGACCTTTTAAAGTTACTCTTCTTTAGCCAAAGATTTCCGTATAGACCTTTTAAGTTCTTTTTCCGATGATTTCTTAGACTCGAAAAGTTCCATCAAAACATTTTTCCTTTCACCTTTATGATTCATACCTCTAGGTAAAACCGATCTAGGATCACTTTCAGCAAGTTTAATAGATTGAGCTTTAGACCGTTGATAAGCATTTAATGAATCTGAATACATATAATGATCTTCTAAAAACTTGATGGATTTAAAACTAGGAAAAAAAAACGGTCGATCTAATCCGATCCAAACTTTTTTGAATGTTCGATTCGAATCTCTTGATCTTAAAAGTCCTCCAGTAAGCTTAGACCTTAGTTTTCTAATATATTTACCTCTATAGATTGCTGTACGAATCGATGTGATGCCTAATCCATATACTTGTCTTAAATAATTATAGATATCTGGTTTAGTTAATCTTAGATCCGAATGAAAGATTGCAGTGAATGGATCTGATTTCTCATTTATAGATGGTCTAACTAATTGTAATGAGATATTTGGAAAATAAACAGGTGATTTCGCTTTGGAATATGAACTACCGATAGGTGTGTGTGATCGGTTTAATGATCTGATTAGGTTTTCATCATGTTTAGATTTAGGTTGTGAATCTAATCTTTGAGGTCTATCTGGTAATTTTTTGAAAGCTTCTCTTATGAATTGATTGGGTTCTTCAGTGGTAGTTGTAGTTGTGTTTTTGATTTGTGAAATGTTTCTTTTTTGATGGAAATGTTGATGAGTTGGTTTGAAAGGATTGGGTATTTTGAATTTCATCATCTTTTTCGTTGAACTTGGTTAATTTGGTTAATTTGGTTTATTTTCTTTTCTTTTTCGATCGATTCGTGGTTCAGATTGAGAACAACAAAATCTTCATTTGATGAACTTCACTCTCAACTATCCGGAAGGCTTGGGATAATCTTTGGTACCGCCTCCACGGGCCGCCGGGTAACAGGTCTTCCTCACCGTCTCAAGAGCTCATGAGCCTCCAAGGACCAAAATCAGACGATGTGAACAAGAAGCTGGAACTCATTTATGTAAATCTATATCTCTTTAAAGAGATAGGAAAGCCCAGGATTCAAGACGAGCAAACGTGATCCAAATCATTAACAAATGTCAAGAATCATTCATCACCCAGAACTTAAAGGTCTAAGAAGTTCATCATAAATTGCCCAGGTAGAACTCATTTCTAGAGTGAGCCAAAAGACAGAAAATAGTTCACGGTACTTTGGGTCTGTTTGATACTTGCTTTATAATGTGATATATTTGACAATCAAACTCAAAAAACTTCTCTGACAACTGATACTTTCTACCTTGATATTATATTCCTCATATCAAAGAAGATATCCACACACATTTAACTAGATGGACTCCTGAGCCTTTCAATAAATTATACCACCCCATTACATTTATTAATGACTAAAGAAACTACAAACAAACCGTACAAGTGCGACAATCATCTAACTCAAAACAAATAAAAAAGATCACAAAACGACCACAGAGATACTAAAGTCCATTAAAAACATTAAAACTAGCTATATCCTTTCATCTTTCTTGAGTGATTGATTTCCAAGTCCCAGCAAATCTTTTAATGTCCAGAGATGGAATGGAATGGAAACAATTAAAAAGGTTGAAATGATTAGTAACAAGATTCTCAAGTTGAACGGAATGTAAATTTTCAAATTGAAACCAATGAAAAGACGTACCCATGATGAACAAAAGCTCCTTCGTAATCTATCTCTTCAGCACCCTAAAAGTCAAGCAGACACGAAGAATGTGTCAATCAAATCATCTCAGTAACAGTAACAACTGAAGCCTTAAAGATTTCATTCGAAAAAAAAAAGTAAATAATAAATTTACCATAATCTTAACCCCGGGACTAAATCCAGAGATAGGTAAAACAAGTACATCACCAATCCTAAGTCCACAAGCTGGTAAGTTTCTCAAAGAATTCCAAACCACTTCACCTCTAGTGATCACACCTAAATATCTAAGTACTGCATCTGTAAAAGGAGCCGGACCGGTAGCTTTGACCACTCTCATGATCCGTTCGGCTTCTGATTCGGCTACTTTTTCAGTAAACAATCTTGAGTTGGATAATGAGATAGGTGGTAAATCAAGTGTAGAGACGAGTCGTCGAAGCGTGTCGATTAAGATTGGATGTCCTGGTGCGGCTGCAATTGTCCATTGGACTAATTGGATCGGACCTATTAAAAACATTCAACAATCAATCAACAAGTTCCAAGTGATAGTTTTGAGAAACATGTAAAAAAAAAGAAACGCGTCACGTACGCGGCCACCATTCTTCCCAATCCGCTCGATCACCTACATCTGCTTCAATTCCTACAATCACACTTGGTTTTTCAGTTCCTTTATAAGTCCAATCCAACAAACTTTTCTCTACTGTGGTCTCATTCTTGGTGAAATTATTTTCAATTTCTTGATGATCACTTAAATGACATTCCATCCAAGTTTCAATCGGTTTTAAACATCTAGTATCCATATCAGAATAAACACCACCGACGATTAATAATTTAAGGTATCTCCAAAGATCAGCTCTCATGACTGGTTCGTTTGATAATGAATTCCAAGACCTTAATAAACTTGATTCTTGAAAACTTAAAATCCTATTCACCCAATTATTTTCTTCCTTATCTTCACTTAAATGATAATCCCAATTTGGATTTAAATCTTTCCAACTCTTTGGATCCCAGATCAATAAACTCTTCTTTTCTGTAGGTTTTGGTATAAATCCATCTTCTCGATTGGTTTGATGAATGATATGAGGGATTGATGTGAAAACTTTCTTGGTTTCATTTGATTGGATTTCTTGAATTTGATTTTGATTTAAAAAAGAAATCATACGTGATTTGATAGAGTCTGGGTTTTTTAAATCAAGTTGTTTGAATGGAAATGCACTTGAAAGAAATGAATCTAATTGAGAAAGATAATCAGGTAAACAGAGTGATCCGATAGTTTCAAAGACTTCATCTGCCCGAATACCAAGTTGAGTAGAAGGATACTGATGTGTTTTAAGAGATGATGGTTTGCAAGATGAGGTATTATGAAGTTGTTTGATTGAGAATGGATGATTAAAGTGTCTTGAAAGCGTAAAGGTTGATAGTAAGACGACAGAAATTAATAAAAGACGTCGAAACCATAGAAAGAATTGAAAACGATAAGGTAAAAGGTTACTTGGAGATTTGAGAGGCCAAGTAGGACTGATAGGCCAATAAGTAGGACTTTTAGGCCAGTTTTTGGGTTCATAGGTCGAACTAGTAGGAGATAGAAGTGGTCTATCTGATCGAGCAGTTGAAGGACTAGATGGAAGAACAGAGATTGGCTGCATGTTTCTTGATGTTGATGTTGATGTCAATGAGAATAAATTGATGAAGAGAATTGGTAAAGGTAAATCAAGTATCTAGTCAACAAGAAAGACTGACTAAAAGATTATGGAACCATTCAAGCCATTCAGGCACCATTAGTAAAAAAACACTGATCGACCATACCACAGTGTCAGGCAGCGGTGTAGAGATCAAAATGTTAATGATTGAAAAATCTTATCGAATGTCTTGTGATTCATCTCGTCTTAAATCCAAACTTATGACATCTAGAACATCAGCTCAGCATCAAAGTGTTCTTTACTTGACTTTAAAGAACTTCGTCAAAATGTGAGATTCAGCTAGAATCTGAGAAGAGAAAAATTGTGAGGAAATGTGACTCTTTTGAAACCTTGACATTGATTGCAAACTCAGTGTAAGCTGTTCATTTTAAAATAGGTGCCCTTCAGTTATAAAGTAGGCAAGGTCTATCTCATGTCTTTATCATTTGTTTTCATTCATGGTTTGTTCTCTGATAATTTTTCAGTTGGATCCTAGGTTCCAGAGTAGGACTTCAAGTTCACAGAAGATGATGATAAGGTAGATTTATAAAGGGAGGTGAATATGATACTATTACTGACCTTGAAAAGGATCGTCAAAGCTCCCTATGTTGCACAGTTGCTTGCATTCGAATTCTTAGTAGAACCAGATACATTGACGGTTCTTGTGTTGAAAAAACATCCCATCTTATCATAATTTATTCTGATATTTTATATCTCCTTCTAGCATTATAACACATTCATTGTTGAAGCAGAGTAAGACTTCAAGAAGCTAATCAGGCAACTCGTACCATCAACGCGTGATGCTTTTTATAAATGTGCATTGAAATATCAGAGTTAGTTGCAGAGAAATCTATGGTATTGGCCATTCCTCATTTTAGCACAGATGGAAATGAGATATAAATGAAAGACCTCATAGATCCTTCAGTATCATACGAACAAATTTTACGAGAGAAATCTTTTCCAAAGATGTATTCACACAACAATTTTTGACGTGGATCTTTCAAACAAAACCTAGTTTCCTCCCATTGAAAATCCTATTACACTTGTATTCGAGTGCCTTTGATTGACCTGGACCGAAATGATAAATGATAATTTGGATCTCTATCAAAAAAATTTTAAACTTTTCTCACCATTTCCAAATGAAAATCATATAGTAATTCGAAATGTTAAGAAATCTGCCTCAGCTTCACTCCAACTTGAAAAGACAGAGTTACTCAAGCTGTATAAATAATAGTACATAACCCATTAACAATTGTTAAACAAACCCATACATTGACTCTCGATTATTCCATTCTCAGTATTTTCAAAAACACATCCTCAGAGAAGGCGTTTTAGGTAAAGAAATGAATTATAAATTAATTTCTCTCTGGAAGAGTATAATGGTTCAAGATTTTGAACATTTTCGATCATCAGATGATAAGCAATATAAATAGATCGAAGGAAAGTAATACAAGTCCAAGTTCTTTAATCAAACACCACATCCTAAAATATCAATGGTCTCAAAACAAACACACGACACGACACACGCACACACGACACACACACGAAACAAAAAAAAAGATAACTAACATTAATCGAAATGATATAAGAAAATGGTGGTTGAGATTAGATCAAACTAGTAACAACACACAAAACAATAATCAAGTTCATGATCGATATAATGATGTAATAATGATATAAAAAAGACAAGCTCCAAAGGTTTTTTTCATTCTTCTCTGATTCCAAAAACATTTTCTTCATTGTACAACAATAATGATAAACAAGATCATTGAATATAATATTGAATTACAAATCTAAACAAATCAATCAGGCATGACATCCTGCTACACTAGAGTGAGGTGGTGAAGGTGGAGGTGTAGGAGGTCGATCGACGTAGGCTGTAGTAGTGGTACCAGTGATATTCAATTTTCCTAGACAACTAGTCACTGGGGACCCTTCATCTTCGTCTTCAGCTCCCACTCTTCTATGTGTTTCATCGATGGGTGATGGTGGAGGCGTAGGATGACCAGAGACTAAAAGGATGGTTTGGACCTTTTCAGCTTCTCCGGCTTCCTCTTCTTCGTCACTTGAGACTTGATCCCCATTTTCATCAAATACTTCGTTGCCAGTCCATACTTGTTGAGCTGGTGGGGCTTTGACTCGAGGTGGTGGTTGAATGATTGGTATCATCACACGACGTTGTTGAGATAAGAGCAACTGTTGCTGTTGTTGATGCTCTCGTCGAGTCCAAGCTAACAAAATACAAATCAAGGTCAGCAAGATGTCCTTTGAAATCAAGCTATGAAGACACTTACCATTCCAGAACACCCATTTTCTAAACTTCAAGCTAGCCTCGCCAGGTCCCGTGTTGGATCTCATACGTAGGATGGTCAACAAATGGGCTTTTAATGGTGCAGCCTGCGAGACGGGCGCTGGGCGATGCATCAAACGGGGAGCATACATCACCACATTGTTGGCGGGATATATCTGAGGTTGGGGATGAGTGGGATGATGGTTGAAAGACCGCGAGGCGGATGCTGTATACGAGGGGGAAGGGGCTTGTTGGGCCATCCAAGGATAAAAAACCTTGCCACCAGCGGGATGCTGTTGCCAGCCTTGGCCGGTGCCGGTCCATCGATTGTTGATAGGGCACAGGGCGCTGGCTCGACCTTCGGCAGAAGCTGGGCTACCGATCCAGCCCGGTTGGGGGTTTGAAGGTATAAAGCATGCACTGGTGGCCCTGAGACGGCTATCAGGAGTGATAGGCATAGTTGGAATCGCCATTGTGTGAAAAATGGGAGCCGAGAAAATTAAAGTTGATCGAAACTGGTGCTGAAGCTTAATTTTCTTGGTCCTATTCAAATTATCAAACCGGTCTGCAGCTGATAAAGGTCGCTTGGGTCGATGGGTGGTGTTTGTAGTAGTCGTACAACACAAAGGTTGCGATCGCGGTGTTGATCGTGGTGAAGGAGAAGGATAGGGAGGTGGGTTGGTTAGGCGATAGAAAGAAGAGGGAGGTGGTTGACTTGGTTGTGAGACGAAACCGTGTATCGATGCAGGTGATGAGGGAAGTGGACCAGGATAAGGTGGAGGTGGGTGCCGAGAAGGAGTTGGAGATGGAAAGTGGAACAGTAGGTTCGGGTAAAGAGGTTGACTGGTGAATCCAAGAGATAGTGCGGATGATGAGTTGGGTATCGATTTAATAGATGATGTACTCGATACGAAGGGAGGGGCCAAATCGAGTGATGATTGATCTTGAAGCCACGGGGATGGATTCAGATCCGTACTGACTAAAGATACCAATGAGAGAATGAAGAGAAAACGGGACGCATAGTGTGAGCAGGGCAGGGCAATATGGAAAGAAAAGATAGAAATAGAGTCAACAGGGAACCAGGACGGACCGGATGTGACGCAAGGCAATGTCCGATCACCTGTAGGCTTACTTGATGAGGATATAGATGTTTCAATCTGCGACGAGGTGGGATTGGTGGCCTGAAGCGAATTTAGGAAAGGTAGACAAGAACTTTGCTTAGAAGATATATTGATTGTCACTTTTCTCGGTTTGGCGCGTCGTTGCTTATTGTGCACCAATGACGATGATGGACAGCCATCTAAATCTAAGCCAGAGTACGTTTTCCCCAGGTTTTGCTTCTCATTGCTCCTAGTCATCAATTGTCGACCACGAGAACCATCCTCGGATGCCTTGACAAGCTTGCGCTGACTGCGCCTAGGCCCAATCGCAACCGAAGAAGTTGGTTGTGAGGCAAGATGGGTGGTAGGATGGGCAGGACCGGAAGCAGTGCCGGCAACGATGCAAGCAGTGGTAGTCTGAAGTGGAGAATTGCGGTTCGGTCGGCGGCGTGGGAGTCGAGCGCGGGTAGATTGTGATCGAGTGATGGCTGAAGTGTCCTTCTGTTTAAGCTTGTTTGAAGGAGAAGGCGTATCAACTTTAACTGAGTCTGATGTGACCGGAGTTTGGTGGGCGATCGGTGGCGTCAAGCTCAATGCTTGGTCAGAAGGATCGCTACCGGACTTGGTAGCATCATCAGATTGTAGGTTGCAAACTGGTTCATGCAGGGTGGCCGCTGGGATCTGCACTAGCACTGGCGGTTGTGTGCAATGTTCCGAGTCCTCGGTTTTGAATTGATGTAGTCGAGCCGGACCGAGGGGAACTATTAATCGATGCCGAGCGGTGATGGGCAAGATGGTGGTGCACATGTCGCGATTGGCTTTGATGGCTTCGATAAGGTGAAGATGATGATGATCCCGGGCGAGTCTCGTGGGAGGTCTCATCAAGGGAGAGGAAGAATGTGAAAAGGTGATAAGTGTGTGACAGAAACTAACCACCACCACTACCAACAATCTTGAAGAGTCGCACTCGCCGATCAGATGATTCAAACAACACTGTATTACAATAAGAAGGCGTTCCAATCCTTTCAAACTCTCCTTCCAGTCTTGCTTCGATTGACTTGCGGATTTTAATGTTGTATATGGATGTACGTAGCACGCGCTAAGATCTACTGATCCACTATCCAACAACACTCTATCTTCTTCTCCGTAAACGCAACTTAAAGTTCAGAATGTAGGAGCGAGGTTAATGGTGGGATTTATGTAGTAAAAAAGGGGGGAATAAAACCAGAAGATAGAGTGACGTCAGAAGTGCAACTCAAATTCGAAGAAGCACAAGTAGGAAAGGAGCCAACTGAAATGTGGTTCAAGATCAAAAAAAAGGATAGGGGTGAGGCCAAGTGAAATTGAGAGGGGCGGTATGTAGTGATAGTGAAGTAAGATTATTGCAGCAACAACGGCAGCCAAGTTCTTCCAGCACAACGGAAAGGACGGAGATACCCAAAGCGCAGTGGAGGCCAGACACGGCTAGGCAAGGTCTACAAGCTGATGGAAGAATAACAATAACAAGACAAATTATGTAAGATTGCTTTTGTTTGCAAACTTGTTGATCTTTTGTGGTGAAATGTGAGGTCGAAGACCAAATGGCCGTGAGTGTGACGGAAGGGACCGAAGTAAGGATCGGGATGATATCTAAAGTTGAAGTCAATCGAAAGTGGGACGAGAGCGGAAATTGATCGAAGATATGGAAGCACAGTTCAAACTTCAAACGACATAAAAGAAATCGATTACAGTCAGCATAAAAGACTTAAATTGACCGCATTCAATTCTCACAGCGCAATACAGCTCTCACAGCTTGCAAATACATCCATACAGCTATCCAAACCAAATCTCAAAAGAATCAAATTTATTTTTTGAATTGAATTTCAAATACACAATTCAACTTGAAACAAATTCAATCCAATTCAATCCAATTTATACAAATTATCAAACATGATAAAAAATCAGACGAAGAGCTGTACGATTCAAACAGGATCGGAAGAAATCGTAAACTTTGAACAAGAAAATGGGTTTAAACTTGTACGCAGACGTTTGTATAGAACTAAAGTTTAAGATTCAAATTGTGATTTATAAAGTCAATCTCACCCCTGTCAAACCAAAAAAAAGATCTCAAACATCACCTCAAATTGAAATTGAACTTCATCCTTAAATCCAATTCAATCCAATAATTCCATTCAAGATACAATTTTAAATCGAAACAGATCGAAACCGTGTCTCAAGTTTCAACTTCGGGAAGCCGTACTAGCCCCCAGTATGATTGGATATTCATACCCTCTGCCCATCCAGAGAAGATAATGGGAGCAACAGAGCTCAAAGTGAACAAGCGATTTTCTAAATAACCAGAAAACCAAAACCAGCATGGTCAGGATTTGTTCCATCGCATTCATGCGCAGATGCGAATTGAATTACAGTCAAATCGGAAAAGCTTGGCCGATTTTGCCCGCAAAACTCGAGCAATTTGGCGGGGAATTTGTGACAAGCTTTTCTGGTTTGACTGTACATGGAAGATGAATAGTTGTTTATTTGGTTGATTGGGGAAGGAAGTTTGTTGCCTGTCAAATATTTGCCGATCTTATTTGCTTTTGTTGTCTGAAGTTTGATCTCGATTGTCTTCAAACAATTGAAGAAGAAATTGTTAAACTGGATAAGTCTAAACTTACATTTCCTTTCTTCTTGTGGCTTTACCCTTCATCCTCTTGATTAAATATCACGATTTGGGCAATCAAACTAAGACGTGCTAGATAGACCTAAATAGGCTGTGATTTGGCTGAAATCTTTTACCCAATCACCCCTATGCTTGGGGGTATCTTCACTGTATATGGGCGGTAAGCTGGAGCCCCTGTTTTGAGCTCTTCTTATCAACAGTGTACGCACAGGGGTCAACGGACGACGATCAAGAGAATGAGATTGTATGGTGACTGTATGAATCATCGAAGGGCCAAAATGACGATCATCGATGCAAGAAGCTGAAGTGCACAAGCAAAGGGCCAAGTGGGGGTGTTATTAAGCGCCCCCGCACACTCCTCAATTCACTTCACCTCTCTTGGCAATCGGTGTGGCTGAAACTCATCATGCATATATGTAGGCAAATATTGTGATGTATTAGGATGTACGTATTCTGATCCGAAGGCGTCGATCACATCGCTCTGATCAGGTTCATGGAGGCCAGCGCACTCATGAGTTGAGGTTTGCGGGTCACTGTTTTGACATTGAGCAAGTTCTTGAGGTTGTTGCATAATTCAAGTTCCACTGGGTCAAGTACCAAATCTTGGTGGTTTTATATGTGGACCCTTGTGGAAATCAAAAACTTACTACGCCCACTAGACTCAGGTAATCTTAGTCAGAGTCAAAGTCGGTTCGATGATTGAACTTATCATTATTTATCTGGTTCATTTCATCAACAATCAGAATTGATACTCAAGGCACTGATCACACAAAATGATACAGTAAATATATATGAGGTGAGAACAATGAGAACATGATACATACAAAATCAAAGTAGAAACAGACCGAAAAATAAACAAACGAAGAATGGCATTGAAAGAAACCAAATGGATTAGCAGATGAAAAAGACATTCCTAATCCTATGACAGGGTGCAAGATCAAAAATGATCATGAAGGAGAAAGCCAAGAGACAGTGTGTGGCAAGAGGACTAAGGATATCAGCCTACAAGAATGAATAAAGGGAAGCTAAGCACATGTCTAATCAGAGAAGAAGAACATAAATCGTTCCATCAAAGACAATGCATTCATATAAACCAACACAATGAGAAGAATATAGAGAATTACTTACCTGATAAATGAATCAAAACGAATTCCATCAAACGTGGTGGCATTCTCTTGGGGACGTGGATAAGTCAAACATATTCCAAGTGCAAGTACGGCCAGAGTACACACAAGTCTCAAGGATGTTGGGACGAGACAGACACAGTGTCATCTGGTCGTACTTGCACGTGGATCGTGTTCGACCTATCCACATCCCCAAGAGAACATTCTGTGGCCAATGCAGACTCTCTTTCGAATTTCTTGCGGTAAATGAATGTCTAAAGTCTTGTGATGCCCGGCCGTATGTGTTCATCTGTGTTCATCGTTGTGAATTCATGTTAGTGTCCTAATAATTGTTCAAGCAGCAACTAGAGATGGATAGTTTGTTATATGGATGCTTTGATAACCGAGATAAAAAGAAATAGGAGTGTGCATACCATTGTTTATGTGATGTTCTCGAATCGCCGCATCGTCCTTTTCATTCTGCTGAGCTCCAGTCATCAGAGTCTTGGGTGGATCTGCTTGGGTGTGATTTTCTGAAAATTCCAAGTTTGGAATTTGGTCAAGTCAGTTGATGACGTTGCCGTGACAGAAGAGGACAGCACGGCGGCCGTTTTTGCTAGGCTGCGCGCACATGTGCGCCGAATCTTTAGCTCAATGTGTGCGCAAAGGAGAGGTGCAACTTGCAAGCATTGCAGCACCAACATCGCTACAATAATGAGACTAAAATTTAAAATTGAGAAGATAAAGGAATAACTGTAACCAATAACAATTTCATAGCCAGATAGAAAAATAACATCTGTCATTAAGAAAAAACTTTTCAAATAATATAGATAATCAAATAATCATATAAACTGGATGATCAAAACAAAGGTAAGAAAGTAGTCCCATGTAGCTATTTATGAAAGATAATGATTGACAAAAGAAGCAAAAATATAAACATTTAGAGCAACAGGATGATGGGCGGGTGGGACAAAACACTGTTTTTTAAGATACAAAAGGCAAAACACTGAGTTCAAAGAAAGTTATGAGTTTTGACACAAGTAAAAAATATGGGAATGTCAGAAGTGAAAGTGATCAACGACTATGATTTCATAGCTGTAGAACCAATAATGTAATGGAATAAGACCAACCTGTCAGTTACAATAACACATTTAATTGACTCCAAACTTCCTTTTGATATGTTAATGATGAGTTACCAACACCAAATCATCTTAGATATATGGCAGCTACCGTGGGTCAAAGTAATACCACTGAATTGATTTTGGCTTGAACACAGGAATGGATAGAACCATCTTGCCCTTGGACTTCTCACGCTAAAATTTGATGATTCATGGCCTGTCAACATGGGATCATTTTGATTGACTCCCCATAAAATATAAAACACTACCATCCTGTGAACATTGTGAGGAGTCCATCAATTTTTGATCTTGCAGAAGCAAAATATGAAAGGCTTATGATTATGTGGCTTCCTGTCAGATCTTAAGACAACTCTAATAATAAGTGTTTATGGTTCACATAGAGGAGTAGAGATTGAGATAATTCATTCTGCTTGAACCTAAAATTGTAGAGTTCCTTAAACAAAGGGCTTGGCCAGTTGGGCTAGAGTGGTATACATTGTTTTTGTACAAGGAGGAGTTCAGGTTTACCACCAATCATTTGTGTGGAACTATCCAATAGTGCTCATATGTATCATCATAGGTAGCCATATCATCAGTGCAGCAACAGATACCATACTAGGACCCCGGAAAGCTCCTGGAGAACAATGCGTCCTGGAGGGGTTTTCAGATACCGGTGTTTTGTGAAGTCATGTAACACAGTACCAGATATGTGACAGGTGCAAAAGATGCGCCTCAACAAGGGCTATCAGATGGTACACATGTCTGACTCTGAACATGCCTGGTTGCTTTGGAAATGTGTAATTTGTAACTTTTGCCCCTCCCAGGCCGGCAAAAATCCATACCGGGTCAGGCCAGGTACTTACATACGGATATCTTGGTAATTACATGTGGTACATAAGTAAAAGTATATGTAATCAAGAGCGCTGATCAAGGCGGTTCTTCTTCCACCGAGAAATGCATGTTAAACCATGTCTCCCCGATGCAAATGGTGAAAGTGTGAGGGTCGGGGCCGGAATGGATCCAGGACGTATTGTTCTCCAGAAGCTTTCTGGGGTCCTACCATACTGCTACCGGTATTGTATTGTAATATATCTACAGTCACCTCTGTGAAAACCAATACCCAAAAAATTGGGTCCAAAGCTATTGGTTTTCACCGAGTATCTGTTTTCTCAGAGCAAAATTCACTAAAAATGAAGATTTATTTGCTCAAAAAAGTATTGGTTTTGCATGATTATTGGTTTTTTCATGTATTGGTTCTTGCAGAGGCGACTGTACTTTGATCAGTACTGTACCAGGAGTACCATACCTCAGTTTTGGCTGGTACAGTCCTGGAGGGGCTCCAGAGTCATTTGATTCCCCAGGTATGGTACCCAGTATTGTACCTGTCATATTGGTACAGCACAGGGTACGGTACTCACCATGTAAATATCCTTGTAGCATGTTGACGTGCACACACAGGCCTTGCTTTAGACACGGTATAGACCCATCAAAGAGGTGCCCTAACAGGCACATTTTCCCCTTATCAACTGCAAAATTGACAGTCAGTTGACCTCAGCTGAAGACATAAATATATCACTATTCACAAAGGGTGCTCAACAAAAATTTCAGTACAAATCCAACCAAAAACTTTCAGATTTGTTTCAAAACTCTCTGTGTGTGCACATTAATGTGCTACAAGGATATTTTCATGGTGACTGTACTGTACCTCTTTCTGTATGGTACTGGAGCAGCAAGGGGCCCCATCCACCCTTGATAGTAATACCCTTTGTCCATTTTTTCAAGCAGCACCACTAATGCTATCAAACTGCAAATAATCACAAAATTTGTGTACCAATATGAACAAAATTGTAAGTTTCTTCAGATACTAGCCAGCTGCCGTCACCAGTTGTACCTACCTAGTTATGACACCATACTGTACTGGTGTTTGTCAGTCAGGTACTGGTAGAGTACCATACCTACCTTTCAACAATGGTATGATACTGGCTGTTGAGGCATAAGGTGGTCTCAACCCACAGTACCAGTACACAAGGTAACATATCTGTTGCTGTGTTGATATCATTGAGTACTGGCAAATCAAAAGGTATTGGGTGCAGAAGCTCACGACACAAAATACCTGGATAGTCAAAGTCACATGCTTGAGTCAAAGGGTACTAAATTTCTCCAAGTTATTTTCTGACTTTGAATTGTCATCAAATCATTACTTCTGAGGTTTTTGGGCGCAAATGTATGCTCTTGATGTAAATGTGCTTGAGACAAATAGATTTCTGCAAAGAGCTCCAAACTATATCAGACTGTGTCTGTGTGGTGGTCACTCATTGTCAATTTTACATAGACTCCCCACACAGGTGCAGTGAGACTGAGTGGGATAGAAATCTTGAGTGCTGAACTCCACAGAAGGTATTTTGGTTGCCCTTGAACTATGCCTACACAGTCAATTGCAATTTGGTTTGGTGATTTGGGAAGCTCATTTTTTCAAATCTTGTTTCAGAAAAGAACAGTTGTGTGGAACAAAGCACACTTGTCCTGTCTGAGACAATTCCAGTTCAAATGTTATAGGGCTCCAAATCACACATTTAGATATGCTAATTGCTCACCTCTCACAGGTCTTATCATTCCCAAAACATGCCAAAAACTGGCAAAATCACAGCCAAATCACCAATCACCAGTAGATTTATATGAAACCTACATTGCATTCCATTTGTGGTACTCTGCTTTGTCAATATGTTGACCTACCACTCCTCAAACCTGCTTTCAGGTTTTGTGAGATCATATTCCCCAATCTTTGGATTGACTGAAATATAATTTTTACACAAGTTGATTTAATTCCGCAGCCATACTGTCAGTTTTTATACCTACACTTTTTTCCTTTTTTCATGGATTTTTATCTCTTGAAACACAGAAATGTGTACTGATTTCATCAAGACATGGGAATGATGATATGATGATTCTTATATCACTACAAGCATACATATGCATAACACTACTTAGAACCTATACTGGAGCTGCTCATCATTCATCTCAAAGCTTGATGTTTTTCATACTGGCTCCGTAGGGAAATCAAGACCAATTTTTATCTCAATAACCTTTTGGCCAGGAAATCAAGACACAATTCAGTCTTATTGTTTTCATTGCTACATACCTCTCTTATTTCTTTTACATATACTGCTCAAGGAATTCAAGACAGATTGTTATCTCAATAACATTTGGAGACAGGTAATCAAGGCATCTTGTATTCTTATTGTTTTAAGCACTATTTCTCTAAATCCTTTTGTTTGTATATACCTCAAGGAATTCAAGATCATGAACTCAACAACCTTTCACCGTGTCAATATCCTCGGAGCCCGTCAATGTGCACACACAGAGATTTTCATAATAAATTTGAAAGTCTTTCAGTCAGATTTAGACTGAGCTTGTTCTTGGGCACCCTTTGTGAACAATGATTTAGTTATGGGGTTCACAGAATCCTTTTTCATCAGCTGGGGTCAACTGACTGCCAAAATCCCAGTTTATAAAGGGAAGATGTGTCTGTTGTGAAACCTCTTCAATAGGTCTGTCAAGTGTCTAAGGAAACTACTTGGTGTGCGCACGTCGACGTGCTACAAGCATACAAACACGGTGTTTGTGATAAGAAATAAATCATACATGGACTTGCTTCTAGACTCCAAGTCCAAATCCCACTTCAGTGGGGCTTAATACTCATTCACCCCCCAACAGAACTCCCTTTAGACCCCCTCCTGCGAGTAACTACTGGTTCTTTACAAATGTATAGATAAAAACTCTCCTTTCTTCTGTGCTTGCTTGCTTCTATGCAGGTAAACATTGTGCAGTCATCAGGGGGAGGATTCATCAGACATCTCATAGATTGGTCTTCAGCATAGGCTTAAAGATCTCAAATGCAACAGCTGAAGTTTAAGATTGAAAACCTGAAAGTTAAAGGCAACTGAACAGTGTGTGAATCAACAGGAATTGGGGTTTATGGTGGGTGGAAGTTGAGGTCTTTGGTTATGCAACCCTACCTTTGTCATTTGTTTTGATATATCAGACTTGCTGTTTTTCCTTCTATGTATGACATGTGTTCCTCTTGACTCTGATATTGGGATAGCCGCAACAGTCTGGGCGGTTTTTATCTATCTTTTGATATTTATTTATTTAACACCTTTGTTCCTTTGTATTGTTGATGAAGACTTGGGATCCCACTGATCAGGAAACCCACTTGTTGTCAATATTTTCTAGAAAAGAACTCAGTGCAACATGTCCAACATTTCACACAACTATAAGAGAACTTGAACAAAAAACCCTGAAAGAATTATGCCTGATATGGCCTTATTCACCCGACAAGTTTCTTGTGATTAAGCTTCAATGATCAGACTTGACTTGATTGTCTGCTTCCAACGTATCCCTTGACATTGGCATTCAAAACAGCATTTTGCACATGGTCAGGTGTTACCTGAGAGAAGAATGCCTTTGGTAACAACATTTCATCTACCTTGGATACCAGAGTCAAGGCAGCTTGGAGTGTGGCATGTTCAGTATGTAAAGTTTAAACTGTTTCAGCATAGGGTGAGTTGTTAAGTACATAGCAGTCAAACCACAACCTATACCCGATCGCATTGAAATTTGACAGTGTGAAACCATTGACCTCATCCTCGTTCACACTTGTCCTTCTCCTCAGCTAAAATTCTCATTCCACTGTCGTGACTCTTAATTATCACTTTCGGTGTACCCATTGCATTCCATGCCCTCATCTGCTCCCCATACTATAGTCTTCTCAGTTCGATTGGCCACTCCGCCAGACCTCGGTTCCAACCTTCGCTGACATCACCCAATCCATCATCAACTTCTAAGCTAACCTCAAGTGTTTCCGCCTAGCGTTTCGTATAGCCTACCTCCGCTTCAGATTTTCCTTACTTTCAGCCTCTCTTTCCTACGCGGAAGAAGGGGGCGCAAAAAACAAAAACAAAAACGAAATAATCCGCCCTCCCATATCGCAGCTACCTAACGTTCGCTCCTCTCGCATCATGACCGCCCCGATTTTTCCCGCCGTTCAGAACACGGCCCTTTCAGTTCTTCAGGATGACAGCTCATCCTCAGGCCCATTTGAAGGTCCTGAAAAGCTTCTAGAGTTATGGTTTTCAGCTTCGCCCAACGCTGTTCCGATCCAATCCAATATCGGCACTCGCGACTCGATCCCAGGTGTCTTGGACGGCGCGCACGCTCAGGTGAAATTGACGGGGTTGCGAAGAGTGGCGAAAGAAGTGTGGCATGGTATGTTGGACGAGGTAAAATGTAAGGTGCTGAGTGTTGTGGAGGCGGAAGATGTAGATGCATATCTCCTTTCGTAAGTATTAACACACACATTGCTTCCTCACGTCATCATCCTGATTGGTCCGTTTTCATTTTCCATCTGAACAACAGGGAGTCCTCCATGTTTGTCTGGCCTCATAAGCTCATCTTGAAAACTTGCGGGACAACGACCCTCTTACTGGGCCTCCAGACCTTATTGAAGATTGCGAAAGAGATCTGCGGTTTCCCAGGCGTTTGGCGTTGCTTCTATAGCCGCAAAAGCTTCATGTTTCCCGAACGACAATTGGGTCCCCACAAAGCTTGGACTCATGAAGTCGGTCTTTTAGACAGCCTATTTGGTCAGTTAAAATGCCTTTGATGAACATGACCACTTTCTGGTCTATGGGTGACTCACAATCTTTCTCACTTATTACAGATGGTGGTTCAGCCTATACTGTAGGCAAGATGGAAGGTGACCATTGGTTGTTATATCTCACGCCACCAAAGGACGACGTTCTGCTCTCATCTTCACCCATATCTCAAATCGGAATTCCGCAGAGCAACATCGCTAGTCCGGCGCTCGAAGCCCCTGTACTAGCCCAACTCAACCCTTGCTCGTTTGAGCCTGACTCCACGTTGGAGATCCTCATGTCTGGCCTTTCGGCCCGGGCCTGTGAAAAATTTTACACCTCTGCAACGGCTCTTGCGACCCGCTACCCCGAAGAACCTTCAGTTGAGGGCCATCGTCCTGGGTTAGCTTTGGCTCAGGAGCTCGGATTGGATGCCGAATCGCTGATTGGTGGCGGCGCGACGGATGCTTTCCTCTTTTCACCGTGTGGATTCTCGGCCAATATGATCGGCGGGTCAGACCAACAACGATACGCCACCATACATGTGACACCTGAAGAGGCTTATAGCTATGCATCTTTCGAGTGTAATGTTGATTATTCAGGTCGCAAAATGGATCTCATCAAGGTAGTCAATCGTGTCTTAGGGGTCTTTGAACCCAAGCGGATGAGTATCACCCTATTCGTATCGCAAGAGTCGGAGGAGTCGGACGAAGACAATCAAGTACAAGTACGAGAGAACCAAGGTTTCAAGACTGTCCTTGGACGTGATCTTGTCCGAGGGTACAAGCGTACCGACCGAATCATATACGAGTTTGAAGGTTATGACTTGGTCTTTGCTACATTCGAGCGCCTTTAACTCAAATATCAGGTATCGGAGTGTTGCGGGGACGTATGTGATACGCCAATCTTTTTGCCACTTTTATCATCAACACATGCAAAATCTCTTCATTCATCTTTATCTTTTCCTGCAGTTATGTGCCTTGCAACAGTTTCCCACCTTGTGATCTCGCCAATATTGCTCTTGCTGTTCCATTCCAACTACTTGTTTCATGCTTGTCAAATTTGTTTTTTTTCTTTCCGCCGGGTGAAGCACATGATTTAAACGCAAGGAAAGTCACCTAAAGTTCGTTTAGCACGTGACCTGTGTAGACAACCCCTATGCAGATATCCAATACATGTTATTCATTAACTGTAACCCATACCTCTTTGTGGAACCCAAAAGCTATACGTTTTCATAGCGCATGGGCTACCTAACCTAACAAAGTCTCTCCGTGAGCCAGCCTGCAAGAGGGGCACTTACAGGTTACCCACAAAATTTGGTGTGTGAGCAAAAAACTTTGGGCTGGGGAGCTTTTTAACCTGCCATAACTTCTTACCCCTCTAATGAACAGTCTTCAGACCAAAGAAGGCTCCTGTGTGCCTGCTCATCCTGCATATGTTCATGTGTCTGATTGTGTATTTGATGTGATGATTGCAGAGCAATGAAAGGCAGAAATTTGCAAAAAAAACTCAAAATCTCCGAGAAAGCTGTCCAACCTGTCAAAAGCTCACACCAGGCAAGCTGAAATGTTACATGTGAACCCATTTCTCAAGTCTTTCTGTAGTACTTTCCTGAAACCTAGAGAGAGATTCCAAAGACTACCATGTGTAGGTTGAGCAGGCACACAGGACCTTTCTTTGGTCCAAACACTGTTTATTTGAAGGGTAAGAAGTTATAGTGGGTTGAAAAATTCCCCAGCCAAAAGTTTCTTCCTCGCACACCAAATTTTGTGGATAACCCACAAGTCCCTCTCTCACAGGCTCACTTGCCAAGAGGGACATTGTTAGGTTAGATAGGCTACCAAGATTCTTTCCACTGACCCATACCAATGGATTCATGGATTATTGCAGACAATTTTTCACAAAATGCAAGACACAATTTTGGTGTGCTGTTATTGCATATGGAAGAGGACTGGGAAAGTAAAGACAAAAGTGTGGACTGAACTAGTGTTTTGGAGAGTACTACAACAAATACCTGCAGAGCTCAACAGAAAGCCCTCTAAGTCCCATATGCTTTCACACACGGCCTTAGAATATGTGTCTGATGTGATTTGTAAAAACATGTACAGACTTGAGTAAATTAGAGTACACAGGTGATTCAACTGCAGAGTGCTCTGGAGCAGGTATTTGTGGTTGTGTTGTTTGATGAAAAACTCCTCCTGAGTCCAGGTCTCAAGGCCACTTGCATGCTCATTGGTGGTATTCAAAATGAAGAGTTTGGGAACAAATTTTGTGTTATCTTTATGAACAATCTCCAATGATACCAGCCCTTGAAGATGTAGGAATCAGTTTTGTTGGTTGAAGAGTTGAACTTGTGATGATCTGTGTGAAATTGATGAAATCAAATGGACCTGGAGAGCTTTGCAAGTATTTCTCAATAGTCACCTGTGTAGTATTTGGCATTTTTCCTGCAAAAAACTATGAGGTTTTTGTCTTTGGTTTCCAAAAAAAATGTATGGCTTAAGGGTCATGATAGAGTCAGGGTTTTTTTGACTCATTTCCTCTGTCCGTAAGAAATATGGAGACACAAATCATGGGCTGGGGCAGTGTATGGGCTACCAGGCATATGGGTTGATTCAGAGGCAACTGTACAACAAGCACTTCAAAGGCTTAATGTGTTGTAATTGACAAGGTCATGCCATTGCTGCCCTCCCTAGACATTGATAAGTTGGCTTTACATTGACCCTTGGCATGATGCTTGGTTTAAACCACAACCAACACCACCGTCGCTCCGCCCGAGAAAGCGGCAGCGGGGCGGTAGCGGAGCGGACACTCCGCCCGTGCTATGGGTTTGGCCACATAGCGATATTTAGCCATAACTATAGCTATGGCTATACCCTAGGAAATGTAGCGATTTATTTTGGCGCTGTGTACAGCGGAATACCGCTGTGCTATATGGCTTCACAGCGAACCCGAGCGCCCTAAATCCTATAGCGCCCATAGTGCACCGAGCGCCACCAAGGGTGACAGGTTTTGGGTTGCCCATTGCCATCCCAGCAGTTCACTCACCCTCTATCCATCCCCTAACCCTTGACCCACTAACCCTCGACACTAACCCTCAGTCCCAACAGTTCATCTCGCGAGCCATCAAAATCACCGTCATGTTTTCATGCTACCAACAGTACCACACTTCCATCTCACCACCACTACCGATTCTAGCACCATTCCAGCAGTTTCTCACTCACTTCACATCTTATACGTCTCAACTAATCGGATCTCAAGCATCCAGCACTACTGTTTTATCCTAGGACCACTCCAGAACTTCCTTGTCCACATAACAACTCCAAGATCACATTGTATGTGTCTCAACTAATCGGATCCCAAGCCTTAGAGAAACCGTAAACGAAGGATGATGTTGCTTTGTGGGCATTCAAAGCCATTCGATTTGGCTATACAAGGACTCCACAATTGTAAGATTTTTCATTTCCTCATCTGTCTCATAGATCTTGCACAAATTCTTTTACATTTGTTAACTTCCATTCACTTTTCATTTCCGATTGATCATCTAATCTGATATCCTCCCAAATAGATCTCTTAAACCGCGTATCTTTCTACCATTACAACATGCCTTCATCTAGTGCCAATACCAGAAACATCACTCAGTCTACTCTTCAGTTTGGAACTATTCCGTGTCTTGTCCCTCCTTTGAACTCATCTAGATCGCTTCGAGTCCGTAGTCCAGTACGGCCTTGACCTGGCTATGTAATCCAGTCCCCGGATTCGCGTCAAGCCCTTCAATTACCTCACGAAGAATCTGACGGATTTGTGACTGACAATGATGCATCTGAAGCTTCCAAAACTCCACCTGATGTCATATCACCAACTCCCAGTCGAGTCCAAGCACACTCGACAAAGAACTCGAAGAAGAAAGCCATCAAACCTATCAAAGTGAACATTGGAAAAGGAAAGAGAAAGAGATCTGATTCTCGGAACATTTCCAATTCATCGTCTTTGCGTCCAGCACCGATCAAGAAACGAAAGTCGACTACGGTAATCGAGGTATGTATTTCATTGCATTTATCTATCACCATAGCTCTTATGTTGAGGGTTCTACTTTGTTTCTCTAGGACTATGATGTGCCCTCCGGTCTAGATATCGATCAAGATTCCGAAGTTGAAATCATTGAGACTCCAGGAGTCAGACGGGCACGTCTTGGACGTGTTTCCAAGCTCTTGGAGCACTATGATGATCCTATTCATGTGAAAGGCGAGGTGTGTTGGATTAATCTCCCAAATTTTTCTTTTTCTTTACCTTTGATATCTTTCCGAACTATCTCTTCCAGTAAGAATGGTGCTGACCTTCTGATTTACTTAGAGTGGTAATGATCCTTGTTCTTACCGGTGCAAATACTGCCTTGTGTCTTTTGTTCGAGGCAAGCGATTGTATTACAACCTGTACTCGCACCGAGATGGTGCAAAGGATCGTCCCGCATGCCCCAAGCAACATCTTGCCATCCAAGCTGGTCTAGATTTGCCTTGATCTTAT